AAGATTTTCAAAAGATATTGAAGAATCTGAAGAAAGATTACAATAGTGATGACACGTTTTAGAAAATCTTTCTATTTTGTGTCTATTTTGTCAAATAAACATATTTTCAGACACCAGATCTTGACTCGAAGAGTGTTAAATCAGCAGACAGTGGTACTCAATCATTACCGGATGGAGATCGACCATTAACCCCTAGGTAGTTGTAGAGTTGTAGATAGCTGAATCTTCCCTAATCCTATCTTTTCCATCTTCCCGAGTTGTTTTCTTGATTTCTTTTTTCTTTCCTGATTCACAGAGTCTTCCCCAATCGGGTTTTCAGCACAATTTGCACAGAAATTTTACTTTAAATGATGAATTTTTGATATTTTTGTTATTTTTTTGTGTTTGTGTGTGTGCTTTTGAATAAAAGATTATTTTTTTAAAAGATTTTTATGTATAGAACACGAGATCGGGTTCTACGAGAGATCGCTGGTGTGGATATCGGTGATGGAAAGGTTTGAGAATTGAAAGGACACGAGTCACGAGTAGCCCAGCTACCGTAATCTCAACCTAAACATTAATAAACTTAGAGTTAGAGTAATGTAAACTAATATAAAAGTAGAAACTAGATGTATCGAGTCTTTGCACTGGAGCTATGGTTCAAATTTTGTGATCAAAACAAGGCATGGCTACTACAAACTACAAAAACGAACTGCCACACTTCTAACGCCTCTAACTTGCATTAAATCTACGGGATTGATATGATCTATAGCTCAAAAGATAGAGAATCTCAAGAGCTTTCAAATGAACTCAAAGTATACTGAAAAATATCAATTCTAAAGAAAGTTACAGTGGCTTAATCGCTTCGACTACGCGCGAGTACGGTTCGTTTTGAGGCAAAGCTATTAGCCAGTGTAACTTTCTTTAGAATTGATATTTTTCAGTATACTTTAGTTCATTTGAAAGCTCTAGAGATTCTCTATCTTTTGAGCTATAGATCATATTAATCCGGTAGATTTAATGCAAGTTAGAGGCGTTTGTAGTGTCATTTTTGTAGTTTCTATTGTCTATGTCTATCTAGACCATATCTAGACTAATTTCAATTTTTAAAACGAACGTTTATACCTATCATAGATTATTAAATTTTTTATTTTCAAATTTTGATGGTTTTATGGCTTTGGCTCTGGCTCTGGCTCTTAGCCTGAGCCAGAGCCAGAGCTTTGAGCCAGGCTCTTAGCCTGAGCCAGAGCCAGAGCCAGGCTTTGGCTCTTATAAGATCTCTGGCTCTGGCTCTTAGCCAGAGCCAGAGATCTTATACTTTCAGACAGTTTGTTATCCAGATTGGCTAGCTTTTCGAGATTCGGTTAAATTCTTTCAATCTCCAGAGTTACTAGATATCTACAGTACTGGACAATGAAGTATCATATTAGGTTGATGCAAAAGTCTTTTTCATTTTTTTCGTACTTCTTTTGAAAAATAACAAAGTCATCAATTAACCTATGGTTTGCTCTAAATGAAAAGTGTTTATTGTTGAATTTCCCATCTTTTTAAGTCAATTTGGGTTCACTTTCAAGCTCAAGGGCCAAAACTGAAAACGGATTCAGAGTCAGCGTAGTCGATTCTAAGAAGATACTGTAGTCACTGTAATCCAGCTGTTTTTCAAATTAAAACAAATGAGCGAGCCTGTTTTTGAGGTGACTTAATGCCATTTTTTTCACCAAAGCTAAGGATTACGATAGATTTTTCTGGGAAGCATCTTTTAGCAAAAGAATACTGTGGCTTATCCAATGAATTCGTTCAGTTCCCAATGCTCATTCATCTCACCGTTTTCGTCATCTCAATTTCTCATTCGAGAGTGAAAACGGGTTTTTCATAAAAATCTATAAAAACCTCTATAAAGAAATTGGCTGAATCAATTTCTCTGAAAATCTGAAAAAATATCTAACTTTTTGTGCTCTATCTTTTATTTATTAACATCAAGATTGGTTTCCTTAGCTAAAGCGTCTAAAATGCATCATCGAGCCGTCGCCTTTTTTGACTACCCGACTTCAGGCTCTCAAAAAAATCTAGACATGAGACATTTTAAACTCGTTTTAATGTCATTTTGCAGAAAAATAATTGGCCTTTCGAATACAATAAACCGTTGTTCAATTGGTGCATTTGTTACTTTTTAACGGAAGTACGAAAAAAATGAAAAAGACTTTTGCATCAACCTAATATTTGAAAAACGATCGTCACTTTCGCGCGTCTGTAACTCCTTTGTCTTTACCGTGTTTCTAAATATTAATATTACCATTGTGTAGTCCTTGAAAGGAGCTTTCAGAAAATGTATAACACTAATAGTTTAAACTCAAAGACAACGGAGTTACAGACGCGCGAAAGTGACGATCGTTTTTCAAGTGACGATCACTTTTCAAGTGATGATCGTTTTTCAAATATCATATTTGTCATTGTCCAGTACTGTAATTTGTGCTCAAGAATTGGGAACACTTCTTTCGATGATATAATATTGTCCTCATGCATTAAAGGGTTGCTCCCCCAGAAAGATTTGCCAAAAAATTTCATTCATAATCGGCTACGACATATAGTACTGGACAATGAAATATGATATTTGAAAAGCGATCATCACTTGAAAAACGATCGTCACTTTCGCGCGTCTGTAACTCCGTTGTCTTTGAGTTTAAACTATTAGTGTTATACATTTTCTGAAAGCTCCTTTCAAGGACTACACAATGGTAATATTAATATTTAGAAACACGGCAAAGACAAAGGAGTTACAGACGCGCGAAAGTGACGATCTTTTTTCAAGTGATGATCGTTTTTCAAATATCATATTTCATTGTCCAGTAGTGTATCACCGTTTCCGAATACTAATTGACTTCCGAGATCTTTTTAAAGCATACATAGTATTAAAAGCAATCAATCCTCACTTATAATGCCAGATTTTGAAGGTTTCTTTTACAAATACGATCACTTTTCTTTACATAACACTAACCTTAGCAAAAAAATAGACAAATGGTTAATCAGAGTTGGTAGGAAAGTGTGTTGAAAAGCGCAAATTTGGCTCAAATGATACAGTACTGGACAATGACAAATATGATATTTGAAAAACGATCGTCACTTGAAAAACGATCATCACTTGAAAAACGATCGTCACTTTCGCGCGTCTGTAACTCCCTTGTCTTTGAGTTTAAACTATTAGTGTTATACATTTTCTGAAAGCTCTTTTCAAGGGCTACACAATGGCAATATTAATATTTAGAAATACGGTAAAGACAAAGGAGTTACAGACGCGCGAAAGTGACGATCGTTTTTCAAATATGATCCTTCATTGTCCAGTACTGTAGATCCTGTAACCAGTAGCAATTAGGTTTATCAAAATATCCTTTGAAATCAATTTTTAGATCGGCAATGATCGAAAGAAATACTATTTCCGTCGATCGATGAATGTCTATCACAACACGTTGAGAATATTGGAGAGTCGAAAAGAGGAATGTTTATACAAAGAACAGTGAGTGAAGAGTATAAAGAACAGAAATGGTAATGGAAAGATTTGAGTCTGAGTACTGTGGAAAGAGACTGGAAAAGAGTGTTTATTGACTTGATTGACGATGAAAGATAAAAAGAGACAAAGAAAAGGATTGAAATCTAATCATTTGAGTAAAATTTTTCTAAATCCCTTCAGGTAAAGGATATCCAAAAAGTAAAAAATCATAAAAATACATTGAAATCACTTTTTCTAATAGTTTTCTATCGTTTAGTAGCAGATTTTTGTAGTCGATTTCTTCAGTTTTACCGTGATTTCTCGTTTTGTAGTCCATAATGGAAAGAGACTGGAAAAGAGTGATTATTTACATTGGTTGACGATGAAAGATAAAAAGAGACAAACAAAAGGACTGATTGACTAAGCTAACTTCAAGTCTTTTATCTATAAAATATCTATATCTATTTATCTATCTATCTGTATCTCAAAATCAAATTTTGAACAGCTCAATCCCGGCTAGAGTTGCCTGAATTTGTGAAGGAATAGAGCCAATTTAACATTAAAGATTGTTCCCAAAAATTTGAGCATAGTGACGCCTAGAGATGGAAATCTTAACCCTGCACCGCTGCTTTACCGCTGCTTTGCGAATGCCAAAATGTAAACCCCTTATGCTAGGCAGATTTGCCAGGTCGCGAGCGATTGTGCGCGTGCACAAAGAACATTTCGGCATGGATCTCTCTTGCTTTGCAGCTGAATGATAGCTGAAAGATATAGCTGAAGGATAGCTAAAAGATAGCTGAAAGATAGCTGAAAGATAGCTGAAAGATAGCTGAAAGATTAGCTGTAAATTTGTCTCCGGGGTTTCACAGGGTCAGGGAATTGATTGGAGACATTCATTTCTACTCGTATAACTAGTAAAAGCTACTTCCCTTAATTTCAACTCGATCAAACCTTTTTTGTAATCTCTTTCGAAATCCCAGCTTCAAGAAAGATTGCTTCCCATTGTTCTCGGAGATTTTTCTCGTAATTGATAACTCGATATTCATTTAGATGTTTATGAAACTCACAATCCCTAAAAAACGACTCGTTTCTCATGTAATTTATGCTGTAAACACACCCTTTCCAGCACGCTAATTCTTCAATATTCTCTCGACACAAAGGCTACGAAAACTTAAGTACTGAAGTACCCTAGAAAGCTTGTGTTTACATTTTTGAGCTCAGAGCTTGTATAGCTTGCTTGTATAGCTGCTCAGCTTGGATAGCTTGCTTGTATAGCTCAGAGCTTAGCTTGTATAGGTTGCTTGTATAGCTCAGAGCTCAGCTTGTATAGCTTGCTTCAAGCCAGAGCTCAGCGTATAGCTTGCTTCTATAGCTCAGAGCTCAGCTTGTATAGCTTGCTTCTATAGCTCAGAGCTTAGCTTGTATAGCTTGCTTGTATAGCTCAGAGCTCAGCTTGTATAGCTTGCTTCTATAGCTCAGAGTTCAGCTTGTATAGCTTGCTCAGAGCTCAGAGCTCAGCTTGTACACTCGATTCTCACCATGATTGCGGTTTCATATGATCTCGCACATAAAAACCCGGGAATTGCACTTCTCCCTCAAATTCTTGACCAGTTCTGAAATCTTTGATTTGTCTAAATCTTTGATTTGTCTAAATCTTTGATTTGTCTGAAATCTTTGATTTGTCTGAAATCTTTGATTTGTCTGAAATCTTTGATTTGTCTGAAATCTTTGATTTGTCTAACTGACAATCTTTCTAGTATTATCTTTCCTTTTATTTAAGTATAAATGTCTAATCTTTCACAAGAACAAACCTTAACATCAAATCAAATTGCTCAACCATTCTTGTGAAATTCTTTGCATGAATGCCACAAGATTTCGCAAAACTGAAAGAAAATCTTTATTAGAACAAGATTTCTGTTAAATCAAGACTTACAAGCAAAGATATTTGTAGATTGAGATAAAACGATTGATCGGTGATCGAATGACGACAAAGTTCATCAGATTTTGATTGTAGTGAAATACTTTGTGATGATGACAATGAGATCTAAACACAAAAAGATTGAGATCTAGATCGATTGTTGGGGATTTTAGTTTCAACTGGCAAAAGAAGAGTGTTCGAAGCCGGGATTCGAACCCGTGATCTCTCAAACGTACCAATGATCTTACCTAGATTGAGCGGCGAACGCTGTACCAACGAGCTACGACTTGTTTTTCTTTACACCACAATAAGGTTATGGCTTAGTCCACAAACAATCCTTGGAAGCCTATGAAACTGGCTTTTGCCCGGATTTAGGGCTTAAGCTTGCAGGCTTAGGCTTGGCCAGGCTTAGGCTTGGCCAGGCTTAGGCTTGGCCAGGCTTAGGCTTGGCCAGGCTTAGGCTTGGCCAGGCTTAGACTCGGCCAGGCTTAGACTTGGCCAGGCTTAGACTTAGCCTTACCTACCCTGAATTTCTTTGATCTTACCTAGATCTGGAGCTACGTTTTGAAGCTGGCTTTGACCTAGCTTTGCCCTAGCTTTGCCCTAGCTTTGCCCTAGCTTTGACCTAGCTTTGATCTTATTGTTAGCTGCTGTATACAGATGAGCTCAGTCTTGGCTACCCTGGCTAAATTAGACTCTGGAGCCTGCTCCCTGACTCCAACTGATTACTGTAATAGAGTAGAATGAATGGCAAATGATTTGGAATTGAGGGGAATTGAACTCTTCTTACCGGGCAGATGCCATTGAGCTATTGACGCCTTCTTTGCCCAAGAAGAAATAGGAAAGAAAGGAAGAGAAAGAAAGGAAGAGAAAGAGAGAAAGAAAGTGACCCAATCCTCTTCTACAAGCACTCTTTACATCAATTGCTCTTCATTTCTGATCGCTGTTTGATTTGAGAGAAGTCGATCGAGATTGCACATAATCATTTGTCCCATTGTGCTCATGCTTTTTAGAATGAGACATGATTGAAGTTTCGTCTCTTGAGGTTGCTAAATGTGTTTTTGTACTTTATCAAAACGTAAACAACGTATTTTTTTCTGGTGTACTAGAAAGAGTTCGTTTCCATTTACAGTACACCAACCACGTAGACTGATGCTCGATCAACAAAAGCCGGGAAAACAGGATGGATTTCTCGAAATTCTTTGAATCGTTGTTGTTCGGTTTTGTTGAATTTATGGAGATATTTTGGGATGAATTGATTGAAAGTCCATTGTTCATATTCGCATTCATTGAGGGTTTCGTTCCTTAAAAGAATTTTCATTTAAAATTGTTGGCACGATTGTTGGCACGTAATTTTAGAAAAAACAAATGCTTAACCAGTCACTGTGCTAAGAGCTAAGTTCTAATTGATAAGCTCAATAAAATGGTTATCTCCAATCGATTCCCCGACCACGAAAATCCCCAGGTACAAATTTACAGCTCAATATCTGCGATCTACAAAGCAAAAGAGAAATCCTTGTGTAAATGACTGGCGAGGTGTTCATTGTGCGGCCATGTAATCGCTCGCGACCTGGTAAACCCGTTTGGTCTAAGGTGTTTCTCTCTTGAAATCTTGAAATCCCGAAAGGGGAAGGAGTGGTGATCGACTGAGCTCCCGCCGCCCGGTGAGCGACTAAGCTCCCGCCGCCCGGTGAGCCACTGAGCTCCCGCCGCCCGGTGATCGACTGAGCTCCCGCCGCCCGGTGAGCGACTAAGCTCCCGCCGCCCGGTGAGCCACTGAGCTCCCGCCGCCCGGTGAGCGACTGAGCTCCCGCCGCCCGGTGAGCCACTGAGCTCCCGCCGCCCGGTGATCGACTGAGCTCCCGCCGCCCGGTGAGCCACTGAGCTCCCGCCGCCCGATTTCCGAGGACAATTTCAATCCCGCAACTCCATCAAGACCGCGCTCAATCAAATATTACCATAAATACTGTAATAGTACCCCACCGCCATAATGAGTGGCGGAGCGTTGCGTAGTCTAGCTTTGAACGAGTTTTTCTCGACACTGGTTTATGCTACAATGCGCGCTTAGGTATCAAAAAATAGCTGAAATTAAGGGCTATTTTTTGAAAGTACGGGTGCTTTGCAAATGAAATATTAAAAAAACTTTTGCGACTACGCGACTGTACGAGGGGGTGGGGTACTATTTTACAGTATTTACGGTAATACAATCGTTTAAAATCTATCCGATCGTTTACAATATATTCCAAGTCCAATATCAAATCAAAAATCAAAAAAATAACTTAAACATTGACAAAAATCTAGTACTATATTATAGAAAGAAGCTAAAAACTTACAATTTCTCATTGTCGATTGTATACAAACAACTTTCCATCATATCCGCTTCTTTTCGATAGAGAGGAAACGTTTTTCGGTCAAGAATCGAAATCTTTTTGACAGGAATCGAATTATAATGACTATATTGACTGTATTGATTCATTTTCCAATATAAAAACAATAAAATATTGAATAGGGAAATTTAAAGCGATAGGGAAAAAAGGATTTTCGTTTTTCGATCGATCATAATATAATAGAGAAGAAATTTTATTGAAAATTTTCATAATAATATGCACGTGGTGATTTGAAATTTATACAATTCTAGAACATCAATTTTATAAATTGAAAACTGGAGAGCTACGTAGATTTATTTCAGAGCAATTTCTATGAACTTTCTAGTTCTGTGCTTGTGCTTTCTAGTGCAATCAATTCTTCATTTTCAATGGAATCAATTGATTGACTGATTTCAATTGACTACCCCAGAAAGAAGTGTTCCCAATTCTTGAGCACAAAGTACAGTACTGGACAATGACAAATATGATATTTGAAAAACGATCATCACTTGAAAAACGATTGTCACTTTCGCGTGTCTGTAACTCCCTTGTCTTTGAGTTTAAACTATTAGTGTTATACATTTTCTGAAAGCTCTTTTCAAGGGCTACACAATGGCAATATGAATATTTAGAAATACGATAAAGACAAGGGAGTTACAGACGCGCGAAAGTGACGATCTTTTTTCAAGTGATGATCGTTTTTCAAATATCATATTTCATTGTCCAGTAGTGTATCACCGTTTCCGAATACTAATTGACTTCCGAGATCTTTTTAAAGCATACATAGTATTAAAAGCAATCAATCCTCACTTATAATGCCAGATTTTGAAGGTTTCTTTTTACAAATACGATCACTTTTCTTTACATAACACTAACCTTAGCAAAAAAAATAGACAAATGGTTAATCAGAGTTGGTAGGAAAGTGTGTTGAAAAGCGCAAATTTGGCTCAAATGATACAGTACTGGACAATGACAAATATGATATTTGAAAAACGATCGTCACTTGAAAAACGATCGTCACTTGAAAAACGATCGTCACTTTCGCGCGTCTGTAACTCCGTTGTCTTTGAGTTTAAACTATTAGTGTTATACATTTTCTGAAAGCTCTTTTCAAGGGCTACACAATGGTAATATTAGTATTTAGAAATACGGTAAAGACAAGGGAGTTACAGACGCGCGAAAGTGGCGATCTTTTTTTCAATTTCATTGTCCAGTAGTGTACATCATTGTTATTGTCCAGCTTTCCTTAAAGCTTAAGTCTTTCTAAATCCCGGTTGGTAATGGGTAACCAAAAAGAAGAAAATCATAAAAATACATTGATACAACTTTTCTTAAGAGTTCAGTGTTTCCTAGTAGCACTTTTTTATAATCAATTTCTTGACGAGTTCCGCGATTTGCTGTCGTGTAGTTCATTGTGGAGAGAGCCTGAAATTGGTTAGATTTGTCAGATTTTTTTCTTTCAAGCAATTCACCAGCAATCCGGGCTGCATATCCTTTAGTTTTGGCTGGGAAAAAAAAAATGATCGCCGCTGGGATTCGAACTCGCGACCTCCCAGCAACCTCTCGCTTACCAGGTGAACGCTCTACCAATGAGCTACACCGACAAGTGTCCCCTGCAGCCAATTTATGCTTTAGTTCTAGTCTCCCTGCTGCTTTACAGCCAGTCAGGCTAGTCCATTTCCCAAGTAAAGCGTTCTATATAGTGTGTTCGTAACTAACGTAACATAACGTAACAAATAAAATGTTCTATATAGCATTCGTAACTCAAGTCTGAAAGTCTGGCTTTGATCCGTCCTTTCTCTTGTCTAACTACAGTCTTCTGGCATGCCAATTTCCAGCAAGATGCTGTTGCATTCCAGCATCTTGCTATCTTCTTCCTAAAAATCCTATCTACTGATATGACAACGTTTTCCCCATCCTGCGACTGATATCAGAATTGCATAAGAGAAGAATTTTACTGTATCGCTTGCTGTAGGCAAGCTTAATTGTAAGTTAGGCTTTAAGTAAAAAAGATAGGACTATGTGTTGGTAATAGTCCCCCTTAATACCCCCATAATACCTGTGATAGTCCCCCGTACAGTCGCGTAGTTAGCGATTCAACGTTTCTTTGGAGAAAATAAAAAAAATGAGCAAGAGATACCAACACAAATTAACATTATGAATCATCTCTTCATCACAGCCAACTCCTGCTCATAGAGCCAATTTTCTAGATCAAACTGGGTCAAACAGATAAAGCCAAAGCCATCCCTTGGCGTTGGCTTGGCTGCTTTGCTCTGGCTTGGTCTTGGCCTGGCCTGGCTTGTCTGTCTTTGCAAAGACAGACAAGCCAGGCCAGGGCTTGGCATCAGGCTCAGACTTGGTATCAGGCTCAGACTTGGTATCAGGCTCAGGCTTGGCATTAGGCTCAGGCTTGGTATCAGGCTCAGGCTTGGCATCAGGCTCAGGCTTGGCATTAGGCTCAGACCTGGCATCAGGCTCAGGCTTGGCATCAGGCTCAGGCTTAGGCTACTTACAAGAGGAAGTCAACTGGGTGTGCTGATCTAGCTCTAATCTTTCTTGATACAGCTTTTTCTACTCTTTGAATGGAACCTTTTGCGTCATCTCCTCAGAAACGCCCGCTTCATAAAACATTTCCTGCCATTGTTCTCGAAGATTCTCCTCGTAGTGAATGATTCGAAAGGAGTCACGTAATTTGTTGAAACGACAATCCCTAAAGATCTCTTCTCTAAAGATCTCTAAAGTTCTCAAAAGTTCCCATAAAAAGTCTAGTTTTGTTAACTCTAGTGAGAAGTCTCTTAGTATTACTTCTCACTATTTTTAAAGCTAATTTCTTTCAATTCTTTACCATGATTGAGGCTTTAAATGATGCCTAGCATACATTGGTGATTTTCGCATTCTTCCCGTAAATTTTCGAGCGTTTCTGAAATATTTTTGAGCTTGGGAGATTTCATCTTTACCATTAGCAATGGTAAACAAATCCAACATCCAAAAGAAAGTTAGATTGTCAATGGTAGAAGGGGCGGGGCGATTGTGAGGCCTTTTATACGCAAGGCTCCGCCCCCTTTGCCATTAACAATCCAACTTTAAGCTCAAATTTCTTGATGTTGGGCAATCCAATTTAAAGACTTTTTGTACCAATCGATAGAGAAAGACTTGGCGCATCTAGTGATACCAAGAATATTTAGATTGAACAGCCCAACATCAAGATATTTAAGCTTAAAGTTAGATTGCTAATGGCAAAGGGCGGCATAAAAGGTCCGTCGCCCCGCCCCTTCTGCCATTGGCAATCCAACTTTAAACTCAAATTTCTTGGTGCTGGGTTGTTCAATTGAAATAGTTTTTGTACCAATTGATAGAGAAAGATTTGACGCATCTAATGATATCAAGAATATGCAAATTGAACAACCCAACACCAAGATATTTAAGCTTAAAGTACCTGGTTACTTGGGAAAGTTTAAAATCGCTGTGTCACCTAAACATTCGATCGAATTGATCAACCATTTTCGGGAAATTCCTCCCATACCTTCCACACATTCGAACATAACTAAAAAGAGCTTTTAATTATTTTTTAAAGGGGGAGGGGGGTATTGATTGATTATTGATTCAAATGATCTCTTACTTTAAAGTAAGAGATCATTTGAATCAAAGATAACTTATCCCTTACTCTCTTGATCATTTGATTTAATCTCTTACTCTCTTGATCTCTTACTTTAAAGTAAGAGCTCAGGAGAGTTAGAGATAAAGAATAAGAGTAAGAGTTGAGATCAAATCCAATTTTCGTGGTTTAACTTTGACAAAATCAAAGATAACTTTTGAACTTAAGCCTTACAAAAAAAACCTTATTAAAGCGGGGTATTAATCGCGGCCGAGTAGCCATAAAAAATTTTTTACGGCAACCACCTGTTTTTTTTTTATTTTAATATCGTTGATTTTATTATAAAAAGAATAAAAATCACCCGGCTAGAGTGATTTGATGGATTGACAAATTTTTGGAGACGTTGCAAGGCTTGCAAAAAAACAAGATCGTCACTCATCAGACACCTCAGCACAGTCTAGCTGTGTTAATCTATAATTCTTCCTCTTGCTCACTTTCATCTTCGCTCAAGTACAGCAGTTTCTCAAATCGGCTTCCTATCTAAGTCAATTTCCAGCGCATCGCAGAAATGACTGGATCTCCTCCATCTTCAGCGCTTCGATTGACGCAATTAGATCTTTTTTTCCATTCGATTTTGGTTTTGCTTTTGTTTCGTAACATTGGCTTTCGAAAAAAAACGCAATCGATCTAGACTAGAGTGTGCTCCTTGTTGACAGACAATTTGTCAGACAATTGATCCGACAAACTTCCGACAACGCGTTTTCTAAAAGGTGCGCTTTTTAAGCAAAGCTATAAAGGTGGCGCGAAAAAAATTTGCAAACTTTTCTTAAAATATAATAATGGATAGTTTTATTTAAGGGATTTAGGTTTTTTTAAAGCGTGGAATTTTTTTTTGGAATCGTTCTAGTGCAAATGTAGACAATAGGCCTGGTAAATTCGTAAATAATATCATTTTTAATAGTGTTTCTTAACTTTTCCCGTTTTAAATATGTTTTCTTTAATTTTACATAGCATTTTAAATTTTTAAGTTTTAGCGAATGAGTAATAGAGTTAGGGAAAGAGTAATAGAGTTAGGGAAAGAGTAATAGAAAAAAAGAGCGCAAGATTTTAATGTACATTTGCATTTTGAAAAATTTGCTGATGCAAAGCATAGGGTTACGGTAGCTTATCCTTGGCGCGCACGTTTTTAGAAAACGCGTTGTCTGCAAGGAACACACTCTAATCTAGACTGTGCTGAGGTGTCTGATGAGTGACGATCTTGTTTTTTCGCTGAAGATGGAGGAGATCCAGTCATTTCTGCTGAGAATGCGCTGGAAATTGACTAAGATAGGAAGTCGATTTGAGAAACTGCTGTACTTGAGCGAAGATGAAAGTGAGCAAGAGGGAGAATTATAGATTAACAACTTATTGATCTAGACGCAATCGATCTAGACTGTGCTGAGGTGTCTGATGAGTCTTGACGATCTTGTTTTTTTGCAAGCCTTGCAACGTCTCCAAAAATTTGTCAATCAATCAAATCACTCTAGCCGGGTGATTTTTATTCTTTTTATAATAAAATCAGCGATATTAAAATAAAAAACAGGTGGTTGCCGTAAAAAATTTTTTTATGGTTACTCGGCTGCGATTAATACCCCCCGCCTTTAATAAATTTCAACAATATTAACTGCTTTAGATCTGGTTAATCGTCTGATGGCCCCTCCCCCCTTTAATTTGTAATAATTAAACTTACAAGCAAAGATATTTGTAGACGGAAATGAAGCGATTGATCGGATCTCGAATGACGGCAAAATTAAGCCAAAAAGACCGTTTATCGAACGCTTTTCGATAGAGATGACGGCAAGATGACCTAAATTTAATTCAAGTATTTAATTCAATTCAATTTCCTTCTCAAGTAATTCATTTTCTAAAAGACTTTTGTAGAAAGCTACCAAACTGGTGTTTTTGTTTTTAAAGAATACATTTATTTACAAGAATAATATCGTACAAACTATCTAGGCTTATTCACAAGAATAATATGGTATAAACTATCTAAAAGCCTAACTCCTAAGCCCTAAAACAAGGAAAGAAAAAAAACCAAGCAAAGAACCCAAAAAAGAATTAATAATCCAGCCGACGAGATCGAACCCTCGACCTTCCGATTGGGAGTCAGGACTGCTAACCAATCGGCTATGGCGGCGTTAGAGACCCCTCTCAATTTTGATGATTACATAAGGGATCATCGAATCATATCAAAATTTGGTTAATCGCTGTCAACTTTTTGAATACTGTAGTTTTCAAAAGTAAGCGACTTTTAGAAAACCAAAGAATAAGTGAAGATTTTCGTGCACCAGAAAAGGTGCTTTTCCCGCTGCACACAAAGTTCTCAAAGTACAGCAGGATTTAAAGCTTTAAATACTTTAAATTATTATTTTTTTGATTAAAACTCACATCAATTCCTTTTCATTTGCCACGAGCTTCTTTTTATATTTCAATTTATTCAAATTGCACATAATCATTTTGCTCATCGTGCTCATACTCTTCGCAATCAGACACACTTGCAAATTGGAGGTTTTTGGTCGCTAAAATCTTTTAGATCTCTAGATCTTTTAGATCTTTTAGATCTGTTAGATCTTTAGCTCTTTTAGCTCTTTTAACTCTTTTAGATCTTAAATTTCATGGATCTAAAAGAGCTAAAAGCCAGTGCTCCCGACTGGTAAACCAGGCTCTTAGCCAGTCGGCCATGACGGCCTTTAAGCCTTAGCCAGGCCATGACGGCCTTTAAATTTTTCGGTAAAACACATTTCGGTATTTTGAGCGTGCAGTGACCTAATCGTTACTGTTTTACTGATAATTCAAAGAGGAACTCAACTATTATAATCATTCGATAGCCCTGAATCTTTTCTTACCTTCTTTTCTTAATTCTTACAAAATTATCGTAAAACTTTCTGCAAAATACGTAACAAGATACCTTAAAAACTTGAGTTTACACTAAAAACAATCGTTATTAGTACAAATCGTTGACATTTATTGGTAATAATGCGGTATAAACAAGATAAAAGCAAAGCCTAAGTGTAGGAAAATCAAGAAATGGAAAAAAGAACCAATCAGCTAGCCGATGGGATTGAACCGGTGGATCCAGATCTAGAACTAAGATCCAGGGCTCCCGACTGGTAAACCAGGCTCTTAGTCGATAGGTTCAATCCCACCGGCTAGCTTAGGCTTAGGCTTAGGCTCAGGCTTAGGCTTAGCTGAAGATCAAGCTGAAGATTGTTCCAACCATAGAGCCTGAGTCTGAGCCTAAGCCTAAGCCAAAGCCAAAGCCTAAGCCAAAGCCTAAGCCTAAGCCAAAGCCTAAGCCAAAGCCTAAGCCAAAGCCAAAGCCAAAGCCTAAGCCTAAGCCTAAGCCTGAGCCTAAGCCTAAGCCTGAGCCTAAGCCTTGACCATGACGGCCTTTACGACCTTCTTTAACTTACAATATATGTTGCTTGTTGAACGATAAAAGCCGGATAGACAGATTGGTTCTCGCGAAACTCTTTGAATCGTCTTTGCTCGGTTTCATTGAAAGTTAGCCAATATTTAGCGATGAATCCATTGAAAGTCCACTGTTGGAGTTCGCATTCGACAAAAGAGCCGTTTCTTTAAAGAGATTTTATAGTATTGATTTGCCTTTTGATTGTTGCCCTCGGAAACCCACCTTTTCTGCTCTACTTACTTTATTTTCTAACTTTTTCCACTCTGCTACAAGAAAAAGCAAAAGATTTCCACTTTTTGAGGACAAAGTACAGAAAAAACAATTGGTTGGGTAAATCTGCGCTTAAAATTTACTGGATCAGTTCAAACTAGAGTCTGCGTCTTGTAAAACGCGCCACAAACCACCGTAATCCCGTCTTTAAATCCATTTTTATCTAATCTATCATAATTAGATACAAGATTAGATAAAAAGATAGAGCAGGATTACGATAATCGAGGCAATTCACATGTTTTAGAAAAGGTGTGGTCGAGAGAAAAGGATTTTAAAGTTAATTTGGCTGAAGTACTGGCTTTCTTCTAGTTTAAGCTTTGACAAATGGCAAACTGTCAAGAGTTAGTAACGTCTAGAGTTAGCAGCGTCTAGAGTTAGCAGCGTCTAGAGTTAGCAGCGTCTAGAGTTAGCAGCGTCTAGAGTTAGCAGCGTCTAGAGTTAGCAGCGTCTAGAGTTAGCAGCGTCTAGCTAATTTGGCTGAAGTACTGGTACTAGTTTTGTTAGGACTCTGTTGCGGTTTCAGCAAAGCTTAAGCGATTAATTTACAGCGCTGGCTGAGCCGGCCAAATGCTATTTGAAAAATCACAAAGGAAATCCAAAGTGGGGATCGAAATTGCGAGGTCTCGCTCTGGAAACAAACGCTGTACCACCGGTCCCACCGAGGGCCCGCGAGAAGGCCGTTAAGACCCAAATGATCACACTCCACAATCACACTCCACAATCACACTCCACAACCACACTCCACACTCCACAAATGACCGCAACAGAGTCCTAACAAAACTCTAGACGCTGCTAACTCTTGACAGATTGTCATTTGTCAAAAACGGAACAGATATTCGAAATCAGCATCATACTCTGCGTCGAATGGGATAGACTGTATAGCATTTGATCTTAACGGCCTTCTCGCGGGCCCTCGGTGGGGCCGTGGCCAAGTGGTACAGCGTTCGTTTCCAGAGCGAGACCTCGCAAATTCGATCCCCCAGCCAGTTAATCTTCCCTAAGGAATCCAGAACTGATCTCCAGAGTTTTCCAGAGTCTGAAACTGGGTAAAAACCGCCGAAAAGCCAAAGTAATTCTTAAGGTGAGATTTTTGCGTTTAAAACTCACATATCACTTTTCGATGTATCATAAATACATGCACTTGATTGCCATCTCCCATCTCTCATTTTCATTTTCAATCGCGGTGCGGGTAAAGCAAAAGTGGAGGTGAAATACTCATTTTTCACCCAATTTTTCTCATTTTTAAAAGATTTCCAATAAAAAATTGATAAAAAACAAAGAAATAGAAAGATAGCGAATCTTCGAAGAATCATTTTGGCTAGAATTCTATCTCTAGCTGGGGATTTTTTGATTAAAAGTCACGCTTTTTCCAGGGGAAAACGTGGTGATTGAAAAAAATATGAAAAGCAAAACGGAAAAAGTTTCCAATAAACAGACATTATACAATTTTTGATTCATTTTATATCTGATGAAAAATAAAAAATGGTCAATAGGTTTTTTGGACAAATTGACGGTGTCTAAAAGTTTAGAAATCTTTCTTTTATATGAAAATTTTCTTTTTTCTCTCGATTGCCCATCAAAAACGTTGTCAAAAATGTCAAAAATACTTTTTCAAAAAAGTTTTCCACGTAATTTTTATCGAATCTTTTAGATTTTAAGAAAAATACCAAACAAACTTCGGTTTTTTTCAGCTTTTTTTATTAAATATTGAATAAAAACGTTTAAAAAGCGTTAAATAAAATATTCGATTCAAGTTCGTTACTAAATATTGGGTTGGTGAATTGAAAACTGCCGGACTTTGAACTAAAATCTATTCAACATAAAACCATGAATTCATTCCAAATAATTTCCATTATTATTGACGATTTCTGCCCATTTTACAGGCAATTTGCGGATTCCTCTTTCGTGGTAGGATTTTGGTTTGTGTGTGAGACAAGTGTGAGACTCAAAGATGGAGGACTGGAGATGTCCCAGTTTGAGCACTTTCTTCAAAAGGAACCCATTTTGGTGTCAATGGAAAAGTTGTAGAGAATCAAAAATTAGGCTTATAGCCAAATTTCCAAAAAGATACACTTAGTAGTTTCGCTTAAAATGCAAGTTTTGTTGGAAGTTTTGTGAAAACTCGCAAATTTGGCATTTCTTGAAAACCAGTTTTTGAATCGTTCTGAAAATTTGGATATAAGCTTGATTTTTGATTCTCTACAACTTTTCCATTGACACCAAAATGGGTTTCTTTTGAAGAAAGTGCTCAAACTGTCATATATGACAATAGCCGCTAGTCTTCAATTCACCAACCCAATAGAAATTGATTGCTTTCTCATTTTAATACCAAATTTATCAATAAAACAAACAACAACAGCAACAAAAAAAACAAGTAAAACAATACTTTCAATCGAATCTGACAAAGCAAATGATTTGAAAACAAAAAAGAAACGACGACGCGGCGCTCCCATCAACTACCTGCAAATGGCGGCGACGTCAATTGGAATGCGACGTTGTGCGAAAATTAAGCTTTAAAAGGGAAATCTTTTTGGAAATTTGGGTATAAGCCTAATTTTTGATTCTCTACAACTTTTCCATTGACACCAAAATGGGTTTCTTTTGAAGAAAGTGCTCAAACTGTCATATATGACAATAGCCCGCAGTTTTAAAGCCAATAGCTTAAAAGCTACTATTTTCTATGATACCGTATTTTCCCTAATAGTAGTGCACCCTGAGCGTCACCTAAATTGCTCGAAATCTCGAGAACCGCTTATCAGAACCTATCCATGTGGGGTCGGAAAATGTAGCTGACGATGAGATCTAGTGGGGGATTAGAGTGTTGAGCTTCTGCAAAAGCTTGGAAACCGTAAAATAGTCACCAACTCGGCTCACCGGGGTGCACTACTATTAGAGAAAATACGGTATTTTTCATTGAGCTAAAACAAAATCCAATTTTTAAGCTCTCGCCAACTTTGTGAAGGTGACAGAACTTTTCGCGCCCCCGTACAGTAGCTGGGCACGCTTTAGAAGCCTTTACTTTAATAACATTATAAAACTGGTTAAATTTAGTACTTAATCTCCAAAAATTCAACCATTTCTAGGTACTCCGCAGCCGGCGCTGTGCAAGAACAGTTGGAGAGATTGTACGCAAAAGAGGCTCCATTGAGGGAACTTCTCGTTGAGAGGCTTGATGCATTGCAAAAGACTAAATATCAAGATGCACAAAAGTTTGTTGTTTGCAAAGTCGATGCTTTCATTGACAATTCAACCATATTATCTTCTTCCCTTCAGCCTAAAAGACAAGTTCGACGCTCAGCTCCAGGACGCTGTCGATCTCGAGCGATTGCGCAAATTTTTCACCAAAGCTGAGGTAATTTCGATAAAATTTTCGTATTTCAAGATAAACATCAAAAAATTTTTAGATGGAAAAACTCGAGGAGATGCAAAAAGCGAACGAGGATGAACTGGCGAGAGATTGAAATATATTGGAACAAGAACTTTTTGTCTACAATAAATTCATGAGTTTTACCATGTTCTACACAGACATAAGTATTGAATTGACAAAATTTAGCAACTCTGCTTCTGAACAGAGCGATGTTGCCTTGAACAAAGATTTTTCACTAATACCAGAAGCTTTTCACTAATACTAGAAGCTTTTCACTAATACTAGAAGCTTTTCACTAATACCAGAAGCTTTTCACTAATACCTAGAAGAGTCAACTTTTGGTCAGTAACACTTGTATAGTGCACAAATCTTGAAAATAATCATTTATTCAGCAGAAAAGCAAAATACTGCAATAGTTAATTCATTAAAGATTTTAATTACTTTTGTCATCATATTGTTGTAGGGAGAGACGTTTTCCAATATTGGACAGTGTTGGAGTCTCCACAAATATCAAATTCCTATCGCTGTCAAAGGTGTCCTCGAGCAACTGAACTTTTTATTGCCTAGAAAAGAAGACTGCCAAGTTTACTTTGTTTCGATCTCGTGTAATCAATGTCGATGGCCTCATCCTTGCCAAGCTAACGCCAGTCTCCTCGCGGGGCGGATTGTCAGTGAAAAGCCACAAACGGAAATCCATTCGAAGTCTCTGAAGTAAGACAATGTTTGAGAATAAATAAGAAAAGCTTACATTTTCCCCTTCCGCACCAAAAACCCGACTTGCCACAAATTGGTAAAGCTCTTCCAAGTTCATCTTTTTCTTTACCTAAATCAATTGATTAAAACGATTGCCATCAACCGGTACCTTTTCTTTCTGGCACTCGTCTTCAAGAAGTCGTACATCGAAAAGGTCAAAGCCGTGATGATTTTGAAATTTCTCTTCTCGGATCAACTAAAATGGAGCAATTTTATCTTTGATGAATATTTCAAACCATGATCTCCGTGAACAAATGAGCCTCTTGTTTCTCCTTCTTGCGATAAGCCTCCTCATTCCGTTCGGCCTCAAATCTTTGTCGAAGATGAATTGGGATGTCGTTATCGTTGATCGTCGAAAGGACCTCGTCTAAAGTATTTAATGATTGCTAATCCGGTTGTGCGAACACTACCTAAGCATGATTGCCGAATGTATACAAGCATGTAAGCGTTGGTGTAAATTCGCCCGGGCGTCTCCAAATCTTCTCCTCCATAATTTGCTGTGACGGCGTCTTTGAAAGATGATCGCGAGACCACATCGTCGTCAAATTTGCACCACTAAAAGCACAATAGATAAATTTTGTTAAACCAAAATATATTTTAACGTTCAATCATAACATACACAGGAATGAGGCTGATTGAGCTTAGTGTTGATGAAGACCACGTAATGCCCGCCATGAAAATCGCCGGAGTGAACAAGAACGGCATGGAGCACATAGGTAAAATCGTTGTCTTCGCTTCGGTTGTCCGCAAAATCGTTGAGATTCAGGCGCTCCGGGAATTCAAGTCTAAACAAAAAAGATTACAATAAAAAGCTCAAACTTTTACCGATTATTTATTTTCACATTTGCATCAATGGCCGCGTCGTATTGAAACCTCATGAGCTGAAGATGTAAAACTGGTGGAAAGCTAAAAATAAGCATTACCTGGGTTAAAATGTTGGCAAAACTGACGTCAAGAATTTGACTCCTTTCTCTGCAGGTTGCAATCCGTAAGCGCCGGCATCATATTTGTTCTCACCGTCCAATCTCTCCGAGTCCACATAATCACGGAATGATTGCAAGACTGAATTGAGATGTTTTAAAAAAGTTTCAACAACTGTCATTGTTGTCAAAAAACTTACTGTCATTGTTTCCTTTGACATTCAATTGCACATCGTAAAAGTCATCCACATGCGAGCTCTCGTAGTCAACGTTGATGCAGCGAATGAAAGATTTCATCTTGCCACGGAAAAGTTGTGGAATGGTGCCCTCGACCTAACAAAATGTGTAAGTGCATTTTTGTGAATTGCTACCTTTGTGCCTTTCATCTTGCTTTCCAAGTTATCCAGCAGCACGCGGCACAGTTCTTGAACGTCGTGCTGAAGAAACGAATCGAGTGAATCCCATCCAAAACTTTTCGTAAGTTTCTTCGTCCCAACCTGAACAACGTGTTATTAAAATTGAGTTTAAAATTTCTTACCGGTTTGTCAGAATATTGGAGGTCATAAAGTACTCGTTGCATTGCAAGAGCTACTGAGGATTCTGAGTCATCTTCTTCGGTTGGCATTTCATAAACAGCCTAAAATTTACTTATTGAATTTGAAACATTTGAAAATCTTCACTTTTCGCAGTTGATTTGTGAAGAAAAACGCTTGAAGTAATGAGTTCATATAGCAAGTTGCACCCTGATTCTTTAAACCAATATAACCCGCATGTTTTTTCGAATCCCATCTGAAAATGCTGATTTAAAAAAGAAAGGAAATCTTTTGACTGACTGGACTCCGTGAGGGGCATCGGCAGAAACGATTACTTCGAGCTTGATTGTGTCGTTCAAAATATACCCGTTATCTGGATTCAGTAGTTGCTAAAGAAAATATTTGCACTCAAAACAAAAGTATGACATACATCACAGCTCATGAACTGCGAGTAGCCCCAATCGTTCTCCTTTGGATAAAAAGTGTGCGAGATCCGGCGCACATGGGATTCACCTCCGCATTGATTCACGACCTAAATGTAGAGATAAGTATTTTACAGCTTATAAGCTCAGTTTAACGACAATTGCAAGAGCTTAAAAATAAAAACCCACGGGGCCCCCGACATAGATGAAAACCATGAAAAATTCGAAATTTTTTGCATTTTTGCTCTTTAAGATCTAATTTTGCTCTCTTCATGTTCTGGACACTCAATTAACCCAAAGAACTCAATTTTCTAGTACACTGTAGAGGCGGTGACTTCGGGTCTCCGAAAGTCGGTTTAAAACGCTTTTTCTCAAGCTCTCACTATGAAATTCGTAATCTACGCAAAAAAAACTGCTCTAGAAAAAGCACTTTTGAAAAAAAAAAAGTTGCCTCCCAATCCCAAAAGTATCACCGTTCCCAACTTTGAAAACAAAAGCATTTAGAGCTTTCTAAAGCTTAACAACCATCATAAATCTTATTCAAACGATTCTAAATGAAAGCAAAAGCCAAATCATACCTCAACGATGTGCCTACGTCATTCGCATCTGCTTCCAGTGCTCGCCGTTCTCCATGCGCCGAGCCCAGTTCAAGTAGTGATCGGGCGGCAATCTGTAAACCATTGAGAAAATGAATTGGAGTCAGTAACACTGAATAAACAAATTCGCAAATAACAGATTACTAACAGAATACCTTGAAGGTGTTAAATTATATTCTTAATTCTGATATGTAAAGACTTTTATTGGTTAAAAGCATCAAAAGAGTTTGAGAAGCTGCAGAGATTTGAAAGAGTTTGAAAAACAAGAACAATAAAGTAGTTCAATCAATCAGAAAGCTAGGACTTCTGGTTTTGCTTTGCTGCAGATCTGTCCACAAGAGTTGATTTGTCAGAGGCCAGGTCCGGATTTTGGCTTAGGCTTACAATTAGACTGTCCAAAAAAGGCTTTTTATTCCTTTTCGTACTTCAGTTTAAAGCCAAATGCACCAATTAAAATACGCTTATTTATTTTTGTTTCATTAAAAAGGTCAATTATTTTTCTGAAGCTTTCAACGAATCAAAAATTCAAATTCAGTCTAAACCTTGGTGTTGATGGATCTCTTGCTTTAATTCAACCTCTACTTTGTGTTTTTCGGGGGGTTTGTGGAGGAGATGGGTGATAAATGGAAGAGTGGAGGAGTGGAGGAGTGGATGGAATGGGAGGAGTGGATGGAATGGGAGAAGGGGTGGAAGGGGAAGGGGCATCCATTGGAAGGGGCATCCATTGCACCCTCCTCATCCTTTTCCATTCTCGAATCTCCCCCGGGGATTCCTCTCCCATCACTCCTGTTTTGAAACAAAAGACTTTTCTTTTCTCCTTCCCCAATATCCACCAAATTTTGTGTATTGCTAGTGCTCTTTTGTCAGAATTCTACTCAAAACTTGCTGGCTTTTCATCGATTTCTATCGTTTTCAGCTTTCTACCCTAGAAAGAGAGAGTTTACGTTTCAAATCTTGAGCACAAAGGTGTACCTTTGTGCTCAAGATTTGAAACGTAAACTCTCTCTTTCTGGCAAACTTTGTTTAGCTATTAGTACAAGAGTTTCTCAACTGTGTTTCCAACTTTCCAACTGTGTTTCCAACTTTCGAAAACTCGTAATCTGGCCTTTTGTTTTTCAATTTTATGTTTTTAGTATTAAAGGGATTGGATTGGAGGCTAGGATTGGACTTAGATCTAATATTCAAGGCTAATTGTAAGCCAAGTCTTGGCTTTGACTTGGATTTGGCTTAGCTTTGGCTTGGCTTTGACTTAGCTTTGACTTAGCTTTGACTTGGATGTAGCTTGACTTTAACTTGACTTGGCTTTTCAGTCAGTACAGGTTACTGTAAGCTACATTGGAGGAAAATAAAGCAAGACTGCGGTAGTTTTCAAAAAATGGAAACGTTTTAGTAAAAACAAATTACTCGACGGAAAACGAGCTTCAACAAATTTGTTTTTATTAGCCAGACAAGTGACTTCCGGGTGACTACTTCTTATCACTAATCACTAGGATGTAGGAGTGTGTACAGTACTTTATACTTTATACTCTTTTAGATCTATTTCATCTATTTCAATTTCAATCTAAATAAAAAAACCCACTTCTAAATTTCCCACTTTGAAAGAAACTCCGAAATTCGGTTTTCGTTTTTAGCTTTTTTTTGGGACTTCGGGAATGGGTTTGTTTCAAAAAAAAGAAACCAAAAAACGAAATGGAATCGAGAAAGAGAAGATTCGTGCATAAAAACATGGGAATTGAAGGAATTGAAAAAAATGAGTGTGCCAAAAAGGGTGTTTTTTTGAGTACAAAGTGCGGAATAAAAATCCCATTTTATTTTGTGCCAAAAAAATTTCTTTTTTCAATATCTCTAAGGATTTTCTTTTACTGATCCTTTTACTCCGCGAGAATACAATTTCCGTTTTAAATCTGTCTTTAGAAAGATCTATTTTTAGGAAAGATGAGTGAGTACACGTTACCGACGGATCGATATGGAAGCACCTATGTGGTAAGGAAATCTTTGTGTACTTTGTGCTCAATTGTTTCTCGTTCACTCAGCTTTACATTCTCTTAAACAAAGGAGAATTTAGTATGCTAGAAAGGGTGGGTTTACGTTTCAAAGTTCACAAAGATCTTCAAAAAATGAAAACGGGGTTAAAGGCATCCTAAAACTTCCGGGTTAAAGGCATCCTAAAACTCTTTTCAAATTCTACTTATCATAAGCCATTTTTGAGATACGAGCTATTTCTATTATATTTAAGCTTTTGCCAAAAAAAAAGAAAATGTTTGACCTGAGAGGGATTCGAACCCTTGACCTCTCGCACTTGGTGCAAGCGTGCTAACCACTCGGCCATTAGTGCTAACCACCAATGGTTAGCGGGGGGAGGCCGTCTCTCGCCCACACGACCCGGGTTCGACCCCGCATGTGACCATTGATGTTTTGCTTTTTTTCTGAAATAGCAAAAAGTCATAATAGCGTAAAATTCTATTAAATACATGTTTCAGCGTTTTTCAAAATACTCAAAATACGCTGTAGAGCGGTCATGAAAAGACTGACATCTCGTAATTATATAGTAAAGATAAGCCTTCTAAGTTTTGGCCAAACAGGAAGCTAACCTATTCAAGGTTGTCGCAAGCCGATCGGTGTGCTCTGTAGTCTAGTGAATAGTTTGTTTTAGAATTGGCTATCGACATTGGCAATATTTTTCGAGTAGTCGCGCAAAAATCTTCTAACTTTTACACAGAGCACTTAACCCATTCGAAACCGCAGCGTTTTTTCCTTTTTTTCGTCTACGGACCAAGCCCTTTTTTGACATTTTTGACTCCGAAGCAGTTTATTTATGGTTGGAAAGATGTAAGAGAGTCTCCTAAACCATTTATTTTTGATGAAGAACGATTTGGATTTGACTTCAGTACTTTTCAAGATCCTATCGATTATTGTTCTTATTTTATCGACGACAATATTTTAGTAGGCGAATCTAATAAACATGGAAAAAGGAAAACAAACTGGCAGGATTTCGATGCAAAATCTTTCAAGCTCTTCCTGGCTCTGTATCTTCAAATGGGAATCGTCAAATTACCGAGGATTCGTGACTACTGGAGTAGCAGGCCTGGATTAGGAGGATTTTCCCACATGTCCCCATTATGTCAAGAGCAAAATTTGAATCTATTCTTCGCAACCTGCGTTTTTGTGATAATGAACTGGATCCTGCAGGAGATCGGCTTTATAAGATTAGAGCTATTACGGAACATTTCAATGCAAAACCAGAGACTGCATTGATTCCGGGTAAATATGAAACATCTTTTTTGCCCACGTAATTTGTAGATCTGCTACAATTGGAATATACATGTAATGCTGAAAAACAGCAAAAAAAAGCAATTAATTGAATGAAAATAGCTCAATTAGCACTGCAGCGAATAATCGCTGCAGCGGTCCGTTCCTGAGTTTTTGTTGCAGCGATTATTCGCTGCAGAAGTTTCGAATGGGTTAAATGCTCTGAAACTTTTATCATTGGAAAGCCAAAAGTTTAAGCTTTATTTTGGTATCTAATACTTAAAAGAACACGCAAAAACGCAGCTCTAAAAACCTAATCGATACGCTATCGAGACCTTATCGATAATCGATAGCGTTCGATAAGGTTTTTTTTGAGATGCATTTTTTTTGGCAGTACTTATTAGGTATCAAAATGAAGCTTGAACTTCTGGCTTTCTATTGGTAAAATTTTCAAAGCATTTAGAGTTAAAATCACAAAGAGATGTCTGTTTTAACGCGAGCACTTCAAAATTTCGCTAGCCAAGTCTAGCACGTCGGTTTTTTTTTCGTCCACTGTTGACCAGACTTCTGTTTTTTTGTAGAAAAACACTAGAAAATGACTTTTTTTTGATCATTTAACTCTTAAATAATATTCTTTGACATAAAAAAGTCCAACTTTTGAATAATTGACCTAACAGCCTTTTAGCCTGAAATATAACTTCAAGAGGTTTCCTGGTTAGCTAGATCAGAAGCCAGGCTAAGTCTCGCTAAGCTAACAATTAAATTTCTCTAGTAGCAAAGTCTTGTTGCAAGTACAGAGTGGGCCAAAATTACCCGTACATATAAAAAGTCTCTGTATAAAAAGCAACTCAAAAATTTCTCTTAAAAATAACTTTTATTGTCTCATTTTATTTGATTTTATACTTTTATTGTCATCAAAAATTCATAAAAACTATTCCTTTTCAAAGAGATCTCCAATAACTTTTACACAAGCGTCCAAACGTCGTAGAAAAGCGTCGATCGTGGCGTATAGGAGAGCAGGTATAGGAGTATAGGAGCTAGTCTATTCAAGGTTGTCGCGATCGGTGTGCTCTGTAGTCTAGTGGATAGTTTGGGAGAGCAAGGTATAGGAGAGCTCTTCCCAAGCCTTTTCGAGCACTTTTTTCAAACTATCAACAATTTTGTGTGGTTGATAGCGTCAACTGATAGCATTTGTGATTCTTGTAGACCTTTAACTTGAGCTTGTTTTTGATGATTCTTCTAAGGGATGTTCCCCAGTTTTTGTGACATTTTCCGCACCGAATAGTTTGACGTTTTCAACAGGCGATTCCTCACTTTTTTTGACATTTGCTGAAGTTGTTACCGTTCGCTTTCCTCCCTTTTTGCTTTCGCATTTGGTTATCAATCATTCACAATGAATTCTCAATAGAATTTCGCTTGCGATACTATCCTTTGTCTCTTTAGCATTTAAAATCTAACCGCAATAGTCTGTTCTCAAGCTATATGAAGCTCTTTCAATGAGTGAGCATTGTAACGGTAATTTTGGCTCACCCTGTACACCAGAAATCTTGGATTTAGATTTTTAAGCACAAAATCTATTCCAGTAATCCAAGCATCAGTTTCTTTCTCAAAAATCCACTTGTCATTCGCAATATGGGAGATTTTCTGTAAGAGAAACGCTCTGATATCGAGAAAATTCTAATCTGAGGTATTTGAAAGGAAAAGGGGAAAGGGGAAGAGGTGAGAGAAGCGACTAATTACCACCGCTTCCCTTCTCATCACATTCTCTTCTCATTTCATTCTCTTCACATCTCATTCCCTTCTCATTCTCTTCATTCTTCTTCATTTCCCATTCCCCTCCAGGTTTCATTTCACGGTTTCATTTCATTTCACGATTTTTCCTCTTCTTTCTAGATATCTTTATCGATTAAAATCGATTAAAAAAGAATTTCACAAAAAATAAAGAGCCTTTTTGTTTGAATATCTTTAAGGAACAGAATTTCCACTTCAATTTCACTAAAGCCTTTGAAAATCTCAAAAGTTTGAGGGGGTGGGACAAATGCGACCTTTTTTTTTGCGCACCTGGACATTTGCGCACCTTTTTTTTGCTGGAAAAGGCCTTAGGCAAGGCCGTGGAGCTTCGAAAATATTCCCATATAAGGGAATCGTAAGCGTAGATTCCGAATTTCGACAAATCAGACCTCGCTGACACGTCAAATTTGAGCTAAAAGGCAAAAACTACGCAACTTAACGCTTTTCCGCAGTTTTTGCCTTTTAGCCCAAATTTGATGTGTCAGCCAGGTCTGATTTGTCGAAATTCTGAATCTACGCATACGATTCCCTTACATAGAAATATTTTCGAAGCTCTACGACCTTTGCTAAGGCCTTTTCCAGCAAAGAAAAAGGTGCGCAAATGTCCAGGTGCGCAAAAAAAAGGTCGCATTTGTCCCACCCCCAAAGTTTGACACTTTTACCGTAAACAATCATTTTTTGAGTCGAAAAACTACGCCAAATTCTAAAAATTCACATATTTTTTAGCCCAATATGCCTATTTGGATAAAAAATGTAACTCTTAACAACTTTTTAACAAGGATTTTTTACACCTAATTGATGAAGATTTTTGCGAATCTTTATTTAAACTTTGCAGGATGAAATTTTGATCAAAAACTTGTTACTAATAGATAAAACTAAGTGTTTTTCTTGAAAATAAGCTATAAATAAAGCTTATATCTCATAAAACAAAGATTTTCAAAAGTGATTCAAAGGAGGGCACCTACACTACTGGACAATGAAATATCATATTTGAAAAAACACTTTCGCACTTTCGCGCGTCTGTAACTCCCTTTTACCTCCTTTCTTTACCGTATTTCTAAATATTAATATTACCATTGTGTAGCTCTTGAAAAGAGCTTTCAGAAAATGCATAACACTAATAGTTTAAACTCAAAGACAACGGAGTTACAGACGCGCGAAAGTGACGATCGTTTTTCAAGTGATGCTCGTTTTTCAAATATCATATTTCATTGTCCAGTACTGTAAATCTCAAAAACAAAAAGAAAGTGACATCAAAAAGTTGTTTAGAGTTGAAAGTTTTATATTAAAAAAAGTATAATAAGGTAAAAAATATCTGAATTTTCCTAATATGGCGTTAGTTTTTTTAAAAATAGCTTGTTTTCCAAGTTAAAAGAACCGTTTACAAGTGTCAGAACTTTTGAGACACCATTTAGTTCAGCATTTTCTTCAATCTCGAGTTAAATTCTTCTCCGATGCTTTCAAGATTGGCTTGCTTCTCACTCTACCATTCTAGAGTGAGAAGATCACTGAGTAGTTCAAAGTGCCGCAGTTTTAAATTCACCAACCCAATAAACCGATCAAATCCGATCAAATCCTCAAAATAATGGCTTAATCTTTCAGCGATAAACGTTGATTTTGTATTAGATCAATTTTCTCTATCTCGAGAGTCAGCGTTGCATAACCGAATAGGTTTTGAGCCAATTTTCATCCAAATGCAGTTAATTCTTGCTGGCTGAAGGGGTAGTCCCATTACACGGGACACACCATTCCATTTCGACCCTTATTGGTTAATGTGTTGATGTGTGAAGAGAAAGAGAATCGGGTGCCAACCGGCTGGCGTCCATCTATGGACACACTCTCTCAACCAGCTGCCCATCTCTTTTCCTGCCTTCGTCTCACGTTCTCTTTCCTTATTCTTACCCTTTCTCTAACCCTGATCTAGCCAACCAAATCCTCACTCTCTTCTCCTCTCTTTCCCAGTCTTAGTCTCGAGTCTCCTTCTTCCACTCTCCCCCTTTCTTCCTTGTCTCTAACCTCTCAACTCCTCGAATTCCCTTTCTCCTCCTCCTTCATCCACCTCTTCTCTAATCCCTCTAGTTCTCGACTTCTTTCCATTCTAACCTCTTCTTGTCTGCCTTCTAGATCTACCCTCCTTCTCCGTCTCACTCCTCCAATCCATTCCCTTCCGTGTCCCCTCAACCCTCCATCTTCCCACACTCTCTCACTTCACTCCATTTTCAGTCTGCCGGTGCTCGTTCCCTAGCCGAATCGATGGCCCTGAGCGGTGCCCAGTCCACTCAGACTCCTCAACCAGATTCGGGCGTTCCCCCAGCTCCTTCTTCTTTCCAATCCCTCAATCCTCCTCCGCTCACCGCCACCACGAACTCACTGTGTCTTTCCACGACCCTCAACACTGTCAACACGAATCCGCATATGAGTCGCACCGGCGCCACCAACTATTGCTGCGAGTGCGCCGCGTCGCAGGTTTGTTTGATTTGTTTGGTGTTAAGAAATGGGGTAATTCCTTTGTTATGATTAAAGATACAATAGTTAACAACAAAAACAATAGTAATAGTTAAAGATCACTTCGTAAATTGTTTACCAAGGCAAGTAATGCAAAAAAAATATAACAGAGTCTTCTGGATAACTTCAAATTCTTTAAAAAAGAGTTTACTTTCAAGTTGAGCCTTTAAAAACTTATAATGGCTCAATTCAATGATGCTGGTTTTTTTAAAAATGCAAATTAGGGATGGATTTGTAAATTTTCTAGTTAATAGAGGGTTTAGGAGGCTTTAAGATGTAAATAATTTAATTAAGATCAAAAAACGGGGTAGACTAATTTCCGCAATTTTTTTCGCGCAACAGGGTCATTTGCGCAACTGGGTCGTTTGCGCAACTCACCATAACTTTCTTCTAAGTCATCCAATTTTTATCATTTTGGTGTCATTTTGTAGATCTCAATAAGTGCAACAAAATGAAACCAAAATCATAAAGATTGGCCGACTTAGAAGAAAGTTATGACTCATCTAGTTCATGACCATCTTCCTTCCGACTCTTTTGATCAATAACTTTCTTCTCAGTGGGCCAATCTTTCTGCTCTTTGTGCCATTTTGTCGATCTCAATAAGTGCAACAAAATGAAACCAAAATCATAAAAATTGATCCACTTAAAAGAAAGTTATGGCGAGTTGCGCAAAAAAAATTGCGGAAACTAGCCTACCCCCAAAAAAAGGTTGTGTAATTGGTTGAAACGAGATGAAAGTTGCTATTATACTTTGTAAATAGTTAACTGAATATCCTGTTAATATTTAGGAAAGATAAAAGATATAAATGCAAATTACAGTCACGATGCTCGGCTGACATTTGCCCATGCGTGGCGGCGAGACGAATGTGCGATGAGCACTGTGAATCAGCGAGGTAGGACTTTGAAACAACTTTAAAAAGATAAACACTCTTAAGAATCTTTCAAAAGTTTGTTATTTTTCTTTTCTGAAGTATCCCAGACTTGTTTTATCTTCAAATTTTAAATTGATCTTTAAAATTGAAGATAAAACAAGTCTGGGATAGTCTTTCCAGTCTAAACAAGTCTGGGATAGTCTAAGCAAGTCTGGGATAGTCTAAACAAGTCTAAACAAGTCTGGAATAGTCTAAACAAGTCTAAACAAGTCTGGAATAGTCTAAACAAGTCTAAACAAGTCTGGTATAGTCTTTCCAGTCTAAACAAGTCTTTCCTTTTTCCTTGAGTGTCAAATAAAAAGCTAAATGATTATTATAGCAAAATTTCTTTTGCAAAACTTTTTATTTTCTTCAAGTTCTAATCCCAATTGAGGTCTAGGATTTGAATTTTGATTTTCAAGGGATTTTCTTGAAGTTCTAGAAAGGGAAAAGGGAAAGAAATCTCTTTTGAGAGTTCCGAATCAGTTTACCTTCTTCTTTTTCTTACTTTTCTTTTCAAAACCCAAACTTCTATCTATCCAGGTTTCTTAAAAAAGCTTCTTTACCCAAGAAATCAATAAGGACTAACTAAAACTTTAAATATTAACGAATTCTTGTAAGTGCAAATTTGAAATTGAATCTAAACCTTTTTTTTGCAGTTTCTAATGCTTGTTTCAAGAAAAGCTAAAACAAAAATTCTGCCTTTTTCTATTAGAACTATTAGATTCTTAGATACTATTACCGTAAATACTGTGATAGTACCCCACCGCCATAATGAGTTGCGGAGTTTTGCGTAGTCTAGCTTTGGACGCGTTTTTCTTGACACTGGTTTATGGTGCAATGCGCGCTTAGGTATCAAAAAAATAGCTGAAATTCAGGGCTATTTTTTGATACCAAAGCGCTCATCGTAGCATAAAGCAGCGCGGAGAACGGGATGTTTAAAGTTAGACTACGCAACAATCCCGAAAAAACGCGTTTTTCTCGACACTGCTTTATGCTAAAATGCGCGCTTTGGTATCAAAAAATAGCCCTGAATTTCAGCTAATTTTTGATACCTAAATGCGCATTGTAGCATAAACCAGTGTCGAGAAAAACGCGTCCAAAGCTGGACTACGCAACGCTCCGCAACTCATTATGGCGGTGGGGTACTATTACAGTATTTACGGTATATTCTTTCATCTATCCCTTTAGATTTGATCTTAAAAGAGCAATCTTTTCTCTAGCAATCGACAAATTCAAACTTTGTTACATTAAAAAGTGAATTTTTCTTGTGACAAGAATCTCTAGAAGATCTAAGAATAAAGGCTTTATTTCTTCCGTAACTTTAGACAACCTTTTTGAAACATTTAAAGCATTTAGAATACTTTTTATTTAAAATAAACGATAGATTCATTGCTAAATTTGTTATTTTTCAGATAAAAGAACGAAAAGACAAGGAAAATTGCTCGTTTTCTTAAAAAGAATTCCCATTTTCTTCCCACAGAAGTTCTAATCCCGAGTCCTTAAAAGGAAAAAAAGAGGAAAGAACTCCTCATTACTGCTTTTTACTGCTTTTCTTTCAAAAGAAGTCAATAAGAATGCAGTAAGCAGAATAAGAACTCTCGAGAATCCCCTCAATCAGCCATTTTTCAGTTCAATTAGTGTACGAAAATTTAGCTTTAGATCCAGAATAGCATACAAGAATTATAAATGCACTTTGTGCTCTTGTAAACGTCTCCTCTCTGTCACATTGGATTCTTTAATCTTTCCAAAGCTTTATCTTAAATCCTGAAAATGAGAAATCGTAGAGAAAAGAGCACAAAGTACGCAGATTGTTTAGAAACGCACCCCAGAAAGGGGTGCGTTTCTTGTGCCAGAAAGGGTGTGTTTCTAAAGCATAAAGCTCAAGAACATTGTTTAATTTGCAGATATCGAGGCGATTGTTTGAATCAAGCGATATGCAAATGCTCTTGCGAGGTCGATCCGGCGAAACCCGCGAAAAACGCTTGCACAAAGAGTGAACGGTTTGTTTTAAGTACCGCATTTTATAGCTAGCTATCTACTATATAAAAGAGGTCTGTTCGTCTGTATTCAGCATCGATTTAGATAATTGTTAGTTTATTAGGCTTAGAATTCTAGAAGCTTTTGCATCTATTACTTCGTTTTTTTAAAAAGCAAAAGTCATGACGCACCCGGGAGTCGAACCCGGACCGTGTGAGCTGTAGAAAAGGGCACTGCCGTCTGCGCCATGACGACCGTCGATTCGTCAATGGTTTTTCGGCTGGTAAATCACCTGCAAGCCTCCGATCCTTGACCTCGGATAGTTTTAAAGCGTGATTTAACTACCGTAACCTATTTCAAAAAGTTTCCATCGATTTTTCCATGAAAATTGTTCAAAATCTTTCAAATTTCAGCTGTGATTGTCTGCGAATCAAAAATTCAAAACTCAAGGTTGAGTGGCACTACGGGGGTTCGAACCCGGGTTGTGTGAGCCTTAGATAAGCGTGCGCCACGGCGACCGGGCGGCGAGCAGCTGGTAAATCGTATAAATTTGATCTGCAAGCCTTTCCGAACTCCGAATTCTGATAGCTTTAAAGCGTGACTACCGTGACCATCGATTCGTCTTCAAAAAGTTTCCATCGATTTCAAAATGTTTCAAATTTCAGCTGTGATTGTCTCCGAATCAAAGAAGGTTGCTCAAAGTTGTGCGCTTGTAAGCAAATCTGTAAAAACAAGGTTTGTCAAGGGTTTTCCTTTAGGAAATGATTTTTTTTTTAGGAACCACTGAAGAAAATCTTGAAAGTGACAAAACCGTCACAAGGCTGCACTTGTGCAAAGAGTAAAAAACAATGCGTGAAAAAGGAATGCCCGTGCAGAGGAGTCTACGAGTTTTGCTCATCAAAGTTGGTTCTTTTAATACTTTGATTTTGGTGTACATACTATACTTTGATAGCTTTAAAGTAGCTTTAAAGGAGCTTTAAAGGAACTAAATAGGAACTATAAAGGAGCTTTAGAACTATAAAGGAGCTTTAAAGGAGCTTTAAAGGAACTATAAAGGAACTATAAAGGAGCTTTAAAGGAGCTTTAAAGGAGCTTTAAAGGAACTATAAAGAATCAAAGTACAAAGTACTCTTTTTCATTTGGTGTATTTTGAGTAAACTGTTAAACGCATCATTTCTGGTGCACTTAAATACTTCATTTCCCCTTTCATTACGCCAGAAAGGATGCGTTTACAGATCTTAGGCCTTTTGCGTGTACTTTTTGCGTCAAAAAAAGGTAAAACCTTGTCTAGCTCACTGGAAAATACTGCTCTGAAGCATAAAAACCAGAAACGCACACTTTCTGGAGCACTGAATAGCAAGAAATGTTATTAAAATATAAGATATTCTATAGTTTTTGATCGTTTTTCTATACCGTCTTTGTATTCTCCATTTCTTTGGCGAATTTCCATTTTAGGATTTCCCAAAGGTCCAATAAAAGCCTCTTTCTTTCCCTCCTTCTTTCCTTCCTTCTTTCCTTTTCCCATCAAGTGTCCCCCTTTTCTGACATCTGATAGCTCTTGCTCGGTTTTCATTTCAAATTTCTCATGAAATTTACTACTAAAATTTGAAAGCAAAGCTTTAAATCAATTGAATCAATAAGAATATCATGATCAATGATCTTGTTATTAATGTGTACTTTGTGCTGTGATAAACGCGCTTCTGGTGCACTGAAACATCATCCTCTTGCTTGATTGTGTATACCAGAAGACGCGTTTCCGTTCAAGCAAAAAGTACACCCGAGAATCTAGCTAAAGATATCTATTGGGTTGGGGAGAATGAGTCGGCGCCGAAATTTAAAGAAACTTTGCACCCATAAAACCTTCTTAAATACACTTTGTTTCATCAAAATGGCCACATTTCTTTACAAAATGGCTTTTGAGAGACCACAAAGCTTCTTTTGGGATTATGGATTCCCAAACACAGCTAATCAAAATGACAAAAAGTCCGACTCATTGCTTGAACAGTTTCTTCCACATAAACCTCCTTTAGTGTTTATATAAAAAAGATGGAGCACACTCAATTACATAAGTTACCAAATTTTCAGGAAGATCCCTCCAACCGTTTACTCTAGATGACAGTTTATCGATTTTGTGAAAAATGACCTTGTTGAGTTGAGGCGCTGTTTGGTTCTCTTTAAATATTATTTGTAGAGAATTAGTTACCCTTCTACGGAATCAAACGCATACATTTGACAAAGTCTGCTATAGTTTGAAATTCTTTGATTTTCGGCGCCGACTCATTCTCCCCAACCCAATAATTCGCTAATTTAAAGTAGAATAAGTATCAACGCTAGTTAAAGTTATCTAATTAGCAAATGATTTAAAGTCCTCTCAGCTAAAGCTGTCTAATTAACATAGTATTGTAAAGTAATCAAATCTTAGTTTAAACTAGCAATCGATAATGAACAAAACCGAGCTAATAATGGGGGAAAATCAGCGAATTCTCGAATTTCTCATTGTTGTGGACGTTGAATACGTTTGTGTTCCATTGTTTGACGTTCCTAAAGCTAAAGAGTGAGGCAAAAAGGGGTAAGAGGGGTTTCTATGGGGCTGGGGGCTCTTGAGGCAGGGGAGGGGAGGGGTAGGCTGGAATGGAGGGGCCAGCTGGGCCTTGGGGGTACTGGTCCACTTCCCCCAACCATTATAATTAGCACCACCTAGCCTCACTCACCCCTTCACCCTTTCCCAAATCTCTAAAGCTCCGTGAAGAATCCTGCCTTTTAACTAGGCTTGTCTGTGCTAATTCACTCTCTAGTAAATCCAGAAATTTAACATCACAGTAGCTGGATCCTGGAAAACATTTGGTTTACCGATTACTAACTAAGAAAGAGAAAGAACATAGCTGTACTAATAACCACTACAGTACTAATAGATATTCAATTATCCAACAATTAGTGTAAATATGAGCAGATTTCTTATCTAAACAGGTTGTAATCAGATTCCCCAACAAAACCTAGTCACTAGTTCGCTAGGTTTGTAAACTAGTAAACTTAGTGTACAATAAAAACTCATACTTAGCTATCTTTCACGTTTTCTATTCTGTTCAAATGTTTATCAAGTCTAGCTGGAGCTATTTCAAAGAAATTGCCTCTAGAAAAGTGAGAGCTGGTCAAAACAGCGCCGTGCACAAACAGTGCCAAAATCATGCGTTTGCGATCAAGTTTACTTATGTTTCTTATTTTCATTGAATGTAGAGAAAACAAATTAGCTATCTGCTGAATGTTTTGGAGTTGTTTAGAACAAAATCTGGGATGAGAAGATGCCAAAAAAAACGAAAAAGGGCTTAAAAAGAGGTTAATTGAGCTTTTCTCGACAGAAATTTTGTTTTAAGTGACGCCAAAGTATGCAAAAGGTAGATAATTTTATTCTACATAAGAAATACAATAAGAAAATAAGAATAAGTATAAGAAACACATAGAAACCTAACTTTTAGCGAAAATTATTGCAAAAAAAAATTGGCCGAGAAAAATCACGAACAATGACTTATATAAGACTTTTAAAGATATTCAGCTATTTAACTGATTTCGGGGAAATTCTCTTCGAATGTAAAGGTATTTAATTGACTCGACGTGTAAAGAGGATTACTCGTAGTTATTCGGCAAAAAGACGTCGATTAATCATGCAAAGTTTACTAAATTAATCATTTACTCGCAAGGAAAACACTCTATTAAGGTAAAAGCTGGGGAGTGGGACAAATGCGACCTTTTCTTTTGCGCACCCGGACATTTGCGCACCTTTTTTTCCGCACCTAGCCCATTAGCGCACCTTTTTTCGCGTTTTAAAAAAGCTAATATTAACCAATTTCTATTCCAAAAGTTGTTTTTCTAGTTTTCTAGGTAATTTTAGGGCGTAGAATCGAAATTTTGACATATCAGAGCTTGTGGAAACAAATGGACGGAGTTATACAAAGAGAAAAATCGACAATTTTCAATTTTCTGTAATTTGATCTAGCCGTTTTATCTTTCAAATTGGTTCCACAAGCTCTGATATGTCAAAATTTCGATTCTACGCCCTCAAATTACCTAGAAAAACAACTTTTGGAATAGAAATTGGTTAATATTAGCTTTTAGAGCTTTTTTAAAACGCGAAAAAAGATGCGCAAGGTGCCGAAAAAAAGGTGCGCAAATGTCCGGGTGCGCAAAAAAAAGGTAGCATTTGGCCCACTCCCCTCTATTAAGGTAAAAGCTGATTTCAAGACACAAAAAAATCTTTCTTTTCAGTTGTAAATGTTGCGGTGATTGCACGAATGGACCATCGAAATTTCATGTGCCGAAACACGTGCAAAACTGTTTCCTCGAGCATAAACACGAGAGTAGCGGGTTGATCGTCACATTAATAGGTACGTTGTTAACATTTTCTTTAATTCAATCATTGTTGTTTTTTAAAACGGCTCAAATTTAGGTGAGGACTACATCTATCGAGGGGATTTCTTTCACGAGTCAAAAAATGAGCCGCACGTGGAAGAGCAGCTCGTCGCAGCGATCTATGATCTCATATCAAAGTACAAGGTGAGTAAAAGTCTTATTCGAATAAAAATCCTTTGTTAATTGTTTAGGTTGATCTGTACGAGATCGTGATTTTCGTCTCGAAATCCCCGTGTTTCCATCAAGATTGTGATCCGAAATGTGAAGTGATTGATGAGTGTAAAAGTAATAAAGCTTGTGCGAAATTGTTGGGGCTCTTGTTGTCAAAGGTGGGTGAGGAAAAAAATAATAAAATCGTAAGAATCGGATGGCTAATTTTAAGCACTAGTCTACTATATAAAAAGCAGTGTTTGTCTGTCTGTACGGGCTTTTTCTCAGCTATCTTTGGGCCAATAAAGCTAAAAATTCTTTAGAAAACCTTCGAATATATTGTAGTTGTGCCATTTAAAACCAAAAATTCAAAACTCAAGGTTGAGTGGCACTACGGGGGTTCGAACCCGGGTTGTGTGAGCTGTAGAGAAGCGTACACCGCTACGGCGACTAGGCGGCAGGCAGCTGGTAAATCGCATAAATTTGATCTGCAAGCCTTTCCGAACTCCGAGCTTGGATAGCTTTAAAGCGTGCCTTGGCTACCGTAATCCAGTTGCTACAATAAACCAATTATTTTCTACCATAGCAGTACCTTTTTACCGTAAAATCAGACTGGGTTACGGTAGCCAAGACATTTTTTAGAAGGCTAATCCGAATCGACGGATTTTGTGCTGGATTTGAGCCAAATTCAGACTAGCCAAGCCAAATCTAACGTTTCAAATCCCCAAATTCTCTTAAAACATAAAAATTTCAATAGAAAATAAGCACTAGATTCAATGGAATTTTTTCTTTTTTAGGTTCGCAAAGAGTTGAGCAAAGTGGACGTGAAAATGACGGTGAAATTCTTGTATCCGCATTTAAATCGTGGAGATTTATACACGAAACAAGGGATTCTTTGTATGCTACAAGCTGGTATAAAGGTTGGTTAGCTTAAAAGCTTTTTCTTCTTCTTAAAAGCTTTTTCTTTGTTCAACAAAATTGCAAACAAGTGTAAACATATCTTTTTGGTGCACTGAATAAGCTGATAGCTGCTTAGCTATCAGTTTATTCAGCTTAGCTATCAGCTATAGCTAACAAAGTACAACATCTTTTAGGTGGAACCATTGCTGATGAAAGATTGGTCGGCAATCATGGATTGGTCACCGAACATCGATCATAAAGGGGAATACTTGAAGACGTGGAATGATCACAATTTGGATAAGGTGAATAAAGTGAAAGAGTTGATGAGAAATCTCTTTCAGGCTGTCGCTCAATCCCAATCATTTATCAACGAATGTCGACGAGCACTCGGCTTATCGATGAAATTCTGGGTGGCTGAGATTCACGAAATTGTGAAAAACACAATTCTTCACTATTCGGAGATTCGGGTGAAATGTGGCGAGTTGAATGATGCACTCAAACAGGTAGAGATTGGGTTTTGATATGATTTATAAAGGAAAGATGGTTGATGAATCATAAAAGATAGGACAACTTACTGGTAGGTAAATGTATTAGTTAGATTCGAAATTGTACTTCAGTACTGTAGATCTTTTCTTCACTACTGCAGATATTTCCTGAACTGGTCAAAGGCCAGATCGAAACCTGACTGGATGATAAGCCAGGGTCAATAGGAATGGGTTTTTCGACTGTAACTCGACGCCCAATTATTTAATTCCCCTAATTTCATATTTGTATGAAAATACAGGCTAATTTCTGCGATCAATTTCAATTTCTAGTTTAGAAACACAGCGTTACGCTTTTTACAGCAGCAGCGTTACGCTAGTACTTCGAAGTTTAGAGCTTCGAGCCAACCATTCGGCAGAATCATTATTTGACAGGATTTGCAAATATTTTGAAGTATTTCCCGCTTTCTATTTACTCATTTTTGATTTTTCTTAAGAAATAGAATATCTGGAGCATCAGAAGGTTTTCAAGAATTTCAGTTGGAGAGCCAATAGTTGAATTCTTTGAAAGCTGAGCAGAACTCTAACTCTCCAAATCATTCTTGATTTGCTGTCTTGCAAAGTTAATGCGTATTTATTTTGTGATATTTCTCTAAATGTGATTAAGGAGTGGAAAAAAGGAAAAAAAAACTAATAGTTGATTGATTTTTGGGCAATTCTTGAGTTGAAAACTATCAAAAACGACGATTCTGCCGAAAGGTTTTGCACCTCTGAACTTCGAAGTACTATAAAAAGCGTAACACTGTGTTTCTAAAATAGAAATTGAAATTGATCGCAGAAATTAACCTGATATTTTCATACAAATATGAAATTAGGGGATTTTGAATAATTGGGCTTCGAGTTACAGTCGAAAAACCCATTCCTATTGACCCTGGCTTATCATCCAGTCAGGTTTAGATCTGGCTTTTGACCAGTTCAGGAAATAGGCCAGATCTGCAGTATTGAAGTACAATTTAATATATGAAATTAGGGGATTTTGAATAATTGAGCGTCGAGTTCCAGTCGAAAAATTGAGTTTCCATATTTCCCGGATTATCAAATTCTCTTTCTCTTTCAAATTTCTCTCTCAAATTTCTCACAATCCAAAAAGCCAAACCGATTCAAGTTTTATACCAAAAAATTCCTTGTATTCTTGGCTAAATGATAGATTAAACAGTTTTTTAAAAAAGTTAATCTTTCATAGATAAAATTAGCGTTTAAAATGTGCTCAGTTAGTGCTCAGTTAGTTAACTGAATATCTTTAGAAATCTATTTTCAGTATTATAAGGTATTCAGTTATATCAGCCAAACCAGCTCCTGCCAGATTCTAATTGAGCCAGCTACTGTAGACTTGCCTCATTCCTGAACTGGCTAGAAGCCATAGATGAGAATAAGTCCTAGTATAAGGCTGCTCAGGTCCTTTAGTCTGACTCATCGTCAGACTAAAAGACGTCAGACTGGAAATTCCCAGGCTTCCAGGCCGAAACCGGATTTTATAAAGTGTTAAATTTCTACAAGATCTTTCCAATCATTCTACTTTGCTCAAAAAAAGTTCGCCACTTTCAGCTGGACTTGACCGCAACTCCGCACAAGATTCGCTCAACTCCCTCGAAGCGTCGTTCATTCATCGATATGCACGAGTTGCGGGATAAACTTCTCATGCGCTCATCCACAGATCATTCGAAGAAGAATGGTTCAAACATGTCAGTGGCAAGGTATCTTTCCAAGCTTTCGCTTTGCTCTTTCACTTTTACCGTATCTTTTGAAAAAAAATCGTTCAAAAGCACCTGATTTTAGCTGTCGTTTTGTGCAATTTTCTCGTTTTTTCTTTTCCTTCGTGGCTTTCGTTTGCACCTGCAAAAACTTTGGTGATGATTTGTGTGGCATAAAATGAAAGGCAAATATTTTCCCCGTAAAAAAATGAGGATAATGTTCAGGTTTACAGTAAACTTTACTACGATTTTGCTATTCTATGATAGGATATCTTTAAACCAGTGATAAAGGGTGTATTTAAGCTCTATAGTTGCTCAAATCTCGTCTCTGATTACAGTAGACTTGCTTAACGGCTAAAAAAAATCACAGATAATCAGATCTTTCTATTTTTGCACTAATCAATGAGCTGGACAATAGTAAATCAAAAGAAAATGAGTAACAAGATCTTCAGTGACAAGATTAACAATCTTTGAACAATCTAAAAGCTATTCATTCATGGGTACTGTAGTGGACAAGTGATACAAATATCTTTACAGTTTCTTTAAAGATATTCACTGTTGAAGGGATACTGTAATACTTAATAGTAAGTTTCTTACAGTTTAATACCACAATGAAAATGGTATTTAATACCATTTTCATTGAAATTTGCATGGATACAGAAGAAATTCAAATTGCATGTAAGACTGAGAGCAAAAAATGATTTCCAAAAACTTTTAGTGAGGACGCGCACGCTCAAGCGATGGTCGCCTCATTTTGTGGTCGATCATTTGACGATTCGGAGACAAATGAAATTGCACAAAGAATACGACGAGCAACAGCGAATATTAATGTCGAAATTGAGACGCTACTCGAATTTCTCACCCACAAAGGAGCTGTTGCTTAGGATTTGGATATGTTTGAGAGAAAATCGACTCTAATCTTTACTTAATCTTAATCTTCTATAGCAACCATCCCAATGTTGCACTAAACCTTAACAATCTTATAGTAGAGCCCAATCTTTCTCCAAGTCTGTTCTTACCAAATAATGGGTTTTCTAAAAAGCACCTATTTTAGAAAACTACCGTAATCCAACAGCCAGTTTTCGTACAATCAGCCCATTTTGGTATCATTTTATGAGAAATCACAAGACTCAATAAATAATACAAAAATTAAGCTAATCGGATGTAAACTGGTGGTTTGAATACTTTTCGAAATAGGTGCCCTTTAGCCGAGAGGAATTGCGATAAAATTTGTTTATGCTTAGAAAGTTGAACATTAAAATTTCTCAACCAGAGTCGATTGTTTCAATCAAATGTACACCTTGAATCCCAATTTCCAATAATCCCAACCGTTTGCCCTCGTCTCATCTTTGCCTGCTTGCTAATTAGTGTGGCTAGGCGCCAAAAAGCCTCTCTATTTTCCTAACGATGCCTATTCCTTGCTATCTGTTTATAATGTTTTTCCTTATGATTGCCCATTCAAATCGCTCCCCATTTTTTGCTGTGTTCGTGTGGTCGCCTGATTCTTTAAGGAATGATTTGTTTCCTTGCTTTCTACATCATATTCTAGTCCTAAATTCAAAATTGCATTTGTCTCAAATCACTGCCATGATTCCTAAGTACTGATCTCAACAAAAGAATCTCTATTCAAAAATTAATCTTGTTGTAAATCGAATAAAATTAAATTAATTTACGAGTGATCATTTAAATGATTTATCGGTTAAATGAACTGGAAAAATTTGGTGTTAAATCACTCACAAACACGCGAAGATCAAAAAATCTACACGAATAAGACTTAAATTTTTGCTCATTTTGGCGGCGTTTCAGAAGATTTCACTGACTGTTGTGCCTCGTTGGCATTTTTGGGAGGAAGCGGCTGAAAATTAAAAATGAGTACTTCAACACAAAAATAATCAACGCTTAAAAGCAATTTGGCTAGTATTTTGCTCACAGAAATGTTATCTTCTCTTTAAACTTTACGAAGTAAATGTATAAAAATTAACGTAAAACCTAATGCCCTGGCTTTCCTTTAGCCATCCAAGCATGAATACCATTTCAAGAGTACACTATATCCCATACAAAAAATCCACCTTAACGAGCAACTTGATATCATTGTCAATGGGAAACAATTGAACCCGAGTCTCCTCATGGAATCGAATGCTAAAAAATTATAAAACAATTACAAGAACAATGGTTACTTTTTCGCCTTATTTTTCGAGTCAACAGTTTGGGCCGGTTGGACAGCTTCGGCCTCTTTTCCTTTCTTCGTTCTAAAATGACAAAGTACACATCAATGGCTAAAAGATTAACAAACTTTAGAATCGGTACTGCTTTCTTCTGAGGAGTTTTCGCATCTGTTTCGCGTTTCACCCGCAAAATCTCGCGTACGTCAGCTGGTAGAGGAAGATCTATTGGTGGATCGGGAGCGGCATGCTAAAAATAAGATTCAGTAGAACATTTCTAGATTAAGCTTGGGCAAAAAATTATCGGATTTCAGGTTTAGAAATTGCAAGTTGTTACCTGAATTTTGCTGCGCACGCAATTCTTCATCATATCGCAATTTGGCATCTCACAAATTAATCGAACAAAGCAGCTCTTTGCAGAGTGTTCTTTAAGTAGATCGTGAAGCTGTAAAATAAACTATGAAATAATATAGCCACTAAAAAAACCTGTTGCGTTGTAGTTAGCTTTGTATCTTCAATGGATAAAATGCAATCACCCTGACCGAGTGCGAGTGATGAAGACGAGTCGACTTCAACGCTCCCCACGTAAACCTAAAACAAAGCATATTGAGATTTAAATGGCAGCTTTTAAAAAACTCATGGTTTTTGCTGCAGGTTAAAGCACAGGGCTTAAAGTGGGAACTTTGGTGGTTGGCAGGAGTCACTTTTGGCTTGGCCTCGTCGAATCTAGTGTTTTGAGCGGTTCGTGTCGGTACTTTTCTTCTTTTCCGGGTTAATTATAAATGCTGAAGCGACTGGTGCTAATTTTAGAGTTTCCAACATGTTTTAAGTTAGTATTGCAGCTTTCCAAGTGTAATCCGCTTCGAGATAACGATCAGTGGTTAAAGTACAGCAGGCTAGGACACGGCAAACCATCGAATAGGATTATCAAAAACGTGCTTAAAATAGCACCAATCGCTTCAGCATATATCTCTTTCTTCAAAAAAGAAGAAAAGTATCGACACGAACGGCTCAAAACACTAAATTCAACTAAGCAAGCTAAAAGTAGCCCCTGCCAACCACCAAAGTACCGAAAAATTCGTAGACCCACTAACCCTTCCTTCGATATGCACCACGTCAAGATTGGTTGGAATATCACGAAAAAAGTAGAGCACATTGAGAGCATAATCGTATCCCTCTTGCAAAGCAATTCTGTAAACAAAAATTAAAAAGCAAATTAGGAAATTTTTACCCCAAATTTTTGAGTGCCGTAGCGGGCAATCGGAAACGCGTGCAGAGCCGAGCAATCTCTACTTTTACCTGAACAACTTTTAATTTTGATAAAGAAAAAGCTCCAACCCCTTTCACTCCACTCTTTGATATGTTTACAAACGCCATTTTAACATCTTCTGTATGGCCGTTCACCTAAAACAAATAAATTTTCGAATGAAAAGCTTCACAAACCGACATGATCAGATCACCAACTTTCACTTTGCCATGAGAAATCTGTAAAACGTGAATCGATAACCCTGGATTTGTAGAATTTACCGTATCAGGGCGAACTTTTATGACCAGATCCTTGAGAAGTGTGAGGCCAATCTAAAATCAATGAGATTAACAAAAGAATTTAAAGCACAAACCTTTTCTTGTTTTTCCACATCGATCTCAATTGTAAGCAACTAAAAACAAATTGATATATGTATGAAATGAAAGAAAAATCTCACTTCTATTGCGTTCTTCGGTGGCGAAAATCCGTTGAGATACGATTTGAAACGGTCGATTGGGGACTTCTGGAACAAAAATTAGATGCTACTACACTTGGGGGTGCTTTCCGGTTAACGGGGGGTAAAAGTTTTCGACCATTTTGCAGCCCGATTTTAGATATGTTTTTTGTTGATAACTTTTGATGAAATAAATATTTTCTGAAAGCTAACGTTCTAAGCTATCTAAATCTTATAAAAACTTGCTGATCTGACAGGTTTAAGGTGCTTAAAATCGGGCTGCAAAATGGCCAAAAAAAATTTTACCCCCGTTAGCCGGAAAGATCCCACTTGGGGTAGAGGGAAGTTTATACTAGTGCTTACGCTCATTTTTAAGTTCCTAGGGAAAGTTTTCTAGAAAAAGGGAGTTATTGAAGAGTTCTAGAACAAAAAAAAAACAAAAACAACCAGTGTAACCCTAACAAATCTTACAGCACTAGAATGGTGACTAATTTATCGCAAAATGCCGGGAGTGGGACAAATGCGACCTTTTCTTTTGCGCACCCGGACATTTGCGCACCTTTTTTTCCGCAACTTGCCCATTAGCGCACCTTTTTCCGCGTTTTAAAAAAGCTCTAAAAAGCTAATATCAACCAATTTCTATTCCAAAAGTTGTTTTTCTAGGTAATTTTAGGGAGTAGAATCGAAATTTTGACATATCAGAGCTTGTGGAAACAAATGGACGGAGTTATACAAAGAGAAAAATCGACAATTTTCAATTTTCTGTAATTTGATCTAGCCGTTTTGTCTTTCAAATTGGTTCCACAAGCTCTGATTCAAAATTTTGATTCTACGCCCTAAAATTACCTAGAAAAACAACTTTTGGAATAGAAATTGGTTAATATTAGCTTTTTAGAGCTTTTTTAAAACGCGGAAAAAGGTGCGCTAATGGGCAAGTTGCGGAAAAAAAGGTGCGCAAATGTCCGGGTGCGCAAAAAAAAAAGGTCGGATTTGCCCCACTCCCCGCAAAATGCGATCGCCGTGTATGAATGTATCGGCAGCTATTGATACAAAAATGACCATCGAAAAAGATATTCAGCCTTTACACAAAAAAACCAATACTTAGAAGATACAGCAGTCTTATTACAAAGTTGTAATTCTGTTTTCTAATCCGTGGCTCTTTTTGTCGGAGATTTGTTCATCTTTCTTTTCCCCCTCCATCACTTTTTTCATCGTCTTTTTTGTTTCAATCTTTTAATTCAAATCCTCTTTTCATCGTCTTTAACCGTTACTTGCCCTTATTAAATGGCTACCGTAATACCTGTAACAGTAGCCTCCGTACAGTCGCGTAGTCTAACACATAATTTTGTGACGCTCGGTTCTCCGCGCTGCTTCGACGAAAAATGCGCGCTTAGCTATCAAAAGATAGCGCTTGCAGCGAAGAATTTTTGGGTACTAACAGTTTATTTTAGAAAAAAAGAATTTTTAGGGCGCGTCCAAAAAAATGATTTACTTTAGTGACTACGTCATTCTGGAGAGGGGGGCGCTACTATTACAGGTATTACGGTACCTTTTGTTTTGTTGATATAGACTACCTTTTATTGTTTTACTGACACCCGCTCACTTATCGTGAAAGATTCGAGCACCCACCGATTGCGCTATGTAATTTGACATTTTGTGTAGTCTTGCTCTTGTCCCATAGTTCTGTCTTTGAACTAAGCATTAGGAAATTAGTTTTATAACATGACCTTTTAAAACACAAAGTTTTTCTGACTTGAAATTTTCTTAATAATTTTTGTATGCTTTAGTGCAATGCGGGGAATTGTCGTATTCATCTCGCACGGGATCGCCTTCGTGTATACGAGCGAGTCGCCGACCGAGCTTTTGCTAGATACGCGCATCATGTGAGTTTTGAAGGTTTTAGCAAATTTATATTGAATCATGCATCAGCCTTTTTAAATTTAATATGTGAGGTACTTACTACGAAGGATAGAATTGTCTTTATAAAGAGAATTTTTGAGTTTTTAGAGGCAACTCAAAGATAGAAACCGGACAATGGCTCGATTGCAATGCCTATAAGACATACGTGGAACGTTTTCGGAAAATCCAACCCAGCCTCAAAACGGAAGTCATTGATGGTAAAGTGCAGGTAAGGTTCTGATTTTTGCATGAAAGAAAATAAGCTAATGGAACTTTTCTGGAAACAGCTCTATTTTTAGGTAGAGACTGTAGTTCGCGTGACCGACACAATGCTGTTCGACTCATCTGATTTTGGAAAAGTTGCTTATCTTGCTCAAAAGCCGATGGAATTAAAATCTGGACAACTTTATCGATGTATGGTGACAAGGTAAATTTAATGAATGTTTTACCTTTACATGAATATTTTAGAGACATCGAAGGATATAGTGAAACTTATGCTAACCTCAGCGTCAAATGGCATATTTTGCCAAACACTCTCTTCCCTGCAAACAAAGATATGCCAAATGTTCAAACGGGTCAAAAGGTTTGTGAATTTTCTTGCTTTTATTAGGGTTATTAAATTTGTTCAGGCCTCAATTTGGGCTGACATGCGAAACGGAAATACTACTGTACAAGATGTCTCTTCTCAGCATCCATGTTTGCCGTTAAACGACTGAGCATTTTTCTGTTTTTTTTCAGTTGCACCAAGCCAAACCTCCGTGCTTTTGGGCGTCGTTATTGGCCAGCGCGGAAGTCGATACATTATTTATACGAGAGCTGGATTTGTTACAATGGTTTGTTTTTAACAAAAGCTAGCTATACTTGTTTTTAGACTGAAAGATGGAAGCGCGAAAATGTTGAGGCGCCTAAGGTTGGCGACTGGATCCAATTTAAATCAAAGTAGGTATTTTATCCTTTGGTTTACATTCTACAATTATCCTCTTGAGTTCCCAATCGCCAATGGACGATTTAGGGAAATCGAGCCAAAGAAACGTGTGGTTGATAGTAACTCGTTTCGCCAAGTGCCGCCACTGTACATCACGACCATTGAAAATGGACAAGTCAACGTAAGCTTTTCAAATTCTTTCAACTTCAATCCACTTTTTAGTTGATTGTGCCGGCTTATGTGAAAAATGGAAATATCTTCACTGAATTTGTAAAGGATACGAATAACAAGGAATTCAAAAATGGACGTCTCCGCGAAGCCAAGGTTCTTGTTTGGCCTGATGATAAGGGACGTTACCGCTGGAAGTTAGCTGAAAAGGTCAGTCTATTAAACTTTTGTTCGATAAGTTTTAAATTATTTTTATTTTTAGCAAAACTACCTGTTGCTTCGGGAAGCAAAGAATGATAAAACTGATTTTACAAAAGACGTGGTGGTGACTTTTGAGCAAAAAATGGAAAACTAAATTCACGTTTTTTGTTGGTTTGAACATATTTACTCTTAATTTCTTGATACTGTTTTGTTATTATGTTGCTAGGAAGTTATTGTTTGTTAAGATGAATAAATTTATTGGTTATTAATTTTTTGGTCTTCCGTAATCACGCAACATTACTTAGTGGGATCTAGCTTTCATTGAACTGATTGGACGTTTTTTATGGCTCTGCAGATCCAAGTTAAGCCCACTTACCAATGCAAGACTGCCGTTTTACTTGCTCGGTGAGGTTTTATTTGCCAAGAAAAATACTTATTTAAAACTTAAATTATAGTTATAATGTTTTTCTTTAGCAAATCTTTCAATGCGCAGAGAAATACATTTGAAGTATTGAATTTTTATACTTTTATTAAAATACCTTGTTTAGCACTACGTCCACGCTTCGTTTTATGCCACTATAGCGCCACATCATTTTCCAAATGCTTCAGTCAAGAAAGAGGTGGTTTGTATCTGAGAAATAATTCATTGCGCTCTTAGGGTGCATGGTGTCAACTTCTAGATGCATCGCCAACCTTATTTTTCCTCGCCCAATGCAAAGAGGTTTCAGCATATTTTTTTCACACGTACTTCTTTAAGAGACTTGCGAGCCTGCTCGCCAAAGCTCCCCCTGAAGAAAACATCATCGACGTTGTGGGCGATGACTCATTCGAACCTGTCATTGAGACAAGATGTTTGTTTTCAAAGTTTTCTTTCAAATAGCCATATAAAATGTAGCTTTTTAATTCTAGTTATAATGTTTTTCTTTAGCAAATCTTTCAATGCGCAGAGAAATACATTTGAAGTATTGCCAGAATAGAAACTCTCAAGTGAAGCTATTGCAAAAGATTATCTACAGAGTAAATATCTTATTTATTGCTAAATATTGTTTTATAGGACAAAGAAGACGGTTCGACTTTTGAGATAACGTTTCCATTTCTGGATGGTGTTGAAGCATGCGCTGATTTGAAGTTCGTATCGCTTCTCGGTGTAAGAAAGTATTTTAGATGTGGTATTTGTGTGCCAAACTATAATCAGTCGCCAGCTTACATGGATCAACTGGCTGCCGAACATGATGATCAGAAACCAGTTGCTGTGCTTGATATTCATCCAAATTTTGACGAGATGATGCATATGGAAAGTGATGAAAAAATGGATGAGACTTATATCACAACGATGAGAGAAGTAATTTTACATTATGTAGTTACGTAAATCCTCCTTTAATCATTGTGATCATTTGAAAATTTCCAGTTAACGGCACAGAAAGCATATATATGCCCTGTTTGCTCAAAAGTTTTGAAGAGCAAATACTCCTACAAAGCCCATGTTTTGAAACAACATGAGAACAAAGATGCGCCATACCATTTTACATTTACAGAAGTTGGTTTTTTTAATTACATGAAGGGTTTTGGTTTTAGCAAAAAAGAGGCCGTCCAGCCAACAAGTCTCAAGACCACGAAGCGCTGACTAAAACGACAAAGAGAAAATACACGAAAAGTGTTAGAAACGATGAGGAGCCAACGCTTTATCCTAGAGTTTGTTTTATAGTTGGATATTATGAGTTTGAACTATTGTTTATTCAAAATCTTTAGAAGTACTCCATCGTTCAGCCAGAGGCAATGTTCCCAATATCGATTGGAACGAAATACCGAACTGCGAGAAATGTCAATGGATAACCAGGAGTCCATTTTCCACATGATTAATCGTTTTCAAAATTGAATTAGAAATACGCTGTATAAAAGAATTTTTGTTGTTATTCATTTTTGCATTATGTTACGTTACACAGTTTATCTTTAATAAACTTTTTTGTCGAATTGGCTAAACCACAAAGATTGAGGTAGAGTGAAGGGGAATGATGAGAAAAAGAGGCGGGAATCTTTGCCTATCGTAAAAGAAAGGTGCGCGGCCGATTTGAATCTTGATTTTATGCCACACAAGTGTGGTTGAATTATAAGAAACTTCAATTTTGAAGAGAAATACCATTTTTTAAAAAAAACCACTTTAAAAATTGAAACTCACCGACGGACCAACCATTGAGCGACCAAGAAAAATGAAAATGGCACAATGGCCTAAAGAGAAAATTTTTGTATCAATTTTGATGTAAATATACTACGTATTCAAACATCAAAGTTAGTGCAATAGAAACCGCCGTTTTCTTTTTCTGACCGTAATCCTTTCCTATTCTGCACTAACGGTGCAGAAAAAATTTGCGAGTCGAAGAAATCATTTTCATTTTGTACATTCACGAGTATGCTTACTTTTTTTTCTTTTTCCTTTGCTTTTGCGGTACTTTTCCAGTATCCGGGATGACATTTTTTTGATTTTATTTATATAAAATTGACCCTAGGCTAAATTGTACGCTCTTTTTCTGCTGGATTTGTTGGCAATAGTCTAAACTTGCTAAACTTCTTTGAAACTAGTAGAATCACTACAATCCCAAAAGCCCCATTCCCGATAATGATTTACCATATCCGATACTGGGAAAGTGCAGCTTTTGCTTTTGATAACCACTTTTCAATTATTTTTAGAATGTACGGACCGAGGCCTCAATCTTTCGATTTGGAGGATGGCGGGGAAAGGTAAAGTTTTGTCAACTATTAGCTTTGTTATGCAATCCAAACGGTTTAATATCCGTTGATTTAGGTATTATATCGGATTTGAAATCGGCCACTACTTGAAGCTTGCGCGTGGCACTTTCTACAAGAAGTATCCCCTTCTATGGAAACGAGTGGCGACAATGGAGGAGAAAGGGCGAATCAAAAGCATCAATGCGTCACCCGCCTTCCTTGCTGCAAATATCATGTAAGTTGATTTGAGTTGAGTTAACTTGACTTACCTCTTACTTTTCAGGCTTGTCAGACAAACGGAGATAGACGAAGTGTTAGCGGGGAAAGACGAAAAGTACAAGGTAAGGTTACTTTAAACAAACTTAATAAACTTAATAATAAAGGGAATCGGTGGGCAATCGACACCGCGCGCAGAAGGAGAGTTCACCTCGTCGAAGCCGAATCCGCCAAAGACTCCAGTAATCAGTGGATTAATTGGGCGAAATGTATGGTTCGTGTTTAAATATAAGTTTAGTTTTTATTTTAGGTAGTATCTGGCTCACATCACCTAGAGGCTGTGCCCGCATCTCATCCATCAGCATACGGACGCGGGAAGTGCAAACAAATCGAAACAATATATTCCACGGATGATTTGGGACAAGTTGGATCTGTAGTTCTATAAGGAGATGTAATTTTATTTAGGCTCAAAGATTGATGGAGAATGCCGAGCAACTGGAAGTTTTGATGCCGATTCGATTGGATATGGAAATCGACGGGATCAAGTTGAGAGACACCTTTTGCTACAATAGAAGCGAACAACTCATCACTCCGAATCTTGTAAGTTTACAAAAATGCATAACATTTAGTTTATGGCATATAATATTTTCTTTTTTAGGTGGCCGAGCGGCTATGTACGGACCTCGGCTTACCACTCGCTTCTTTTCAATCAGCCATTTCTGCTGCCATTTTTCAACAAAGTGAAGCAGCGGAAGAGATGCAGGTTGTGGCTTAGTACCTTTTCAACAATCCAATTGTTTAGCAAGGTCCATCAGAAGTCACCGACCAACGAACAATTCTTAAGTTGAACATCAACGTCGGCAATCAGATTTTGATCGATCAGTTTGAGTAGGTTAACGCTTACAAAATTACAGCGTTTTTCTTTTAGATGGGACCTGAGCGACCCAAGCAACAATCCTGAGGATTTCGCGGAGAATCTCTGCGCCGAGTTGGGTCTTGGGGGTGAATTTCGATCTGCCATCTCATACTCTATTCGGTTTGTTTATGATATCGTAATCTTTAAATCTTTGCTACTCAGATTAGCTGTGGTTGAAATATCTAAAAGCATAATGGCTTATTTTCTTTAGTGGTCAATTAAATTGGCATCAAAAAACACACTCCTTCTTTGAATCGCCACTTCCCGCTGTTTATTGTCCATTCAGGTAAAATTTTGGGAAATGATAAAAATTAACGTCAAATGAATCTAGCTTACAAGGAAAGGTCACCGACTCAAAGTGGCCTTTTGCAACGAGACCATGTCCATCCGATGGAATCGGCTATGGGGATCTCGAATCCGATTTCCGTTTTTGCAAAACGCTTTGCAATCGAGAGACATCTGGCATAGAAAATTACCCTAAATTTTGGACTCCTTATGAGGGCACCACACGGAATCCAAACAACTGCCTCGGTGGCCTAGTGGCTTAGTGTGAGTGACTATGTCCTTTCTTGGCCTAAGTTCGAATCCCTCTCTCGCCAAACTTTTTGCTTTTTTCAAAATATTTTTTTCGACTTGTTTTGCAATCAATAGTCGGATTAGGCTTCATACACTACTTCCTGAAACTTTGAAAAATTTTCAAAATAAAAACAAGTACATAGTGCGAGTGACCCTATGGTTATCTAGATTCTTCGATAGTATCAAAACCAATGATGTAAAATTTTTGCCATAACGCTTAACTCGGCTCTTCATTGCAAACAAAACAAACCGGAAAAGAGATTTGAAAAAAACAAAGGCGATTCTATAAGATGGACATGGTGTCGTTGCAAAAGATCACTTTGAGCCGGTGACCTTCCCTTGTAAAAAGTAACCTAAACGGTTGAAGAAAATTTTAATTGTGTGGTTGTTTTAGAAATCCATCCGACTGTGAGCAATGGGGACCTTGCCTGGAGACGCTAACCGATGCGGAAATCGATAAAATGATGCGAGATCAGGATAGAAATACGCGAAGAATGAGAAGACTTGTCGGGAGCCATAATCCTTTTTAAGTTTTTGTTCTTACGGTCTTCATTTCATATCCTACCATGTTTTCTATTTTTCTCTAGCAATTTTATTGATTTTATTCCTTGTGGTGAGATCTCCTACTTTGTGTCTTTTGAAATATTGTATTCTAATAAAGGTAACTAATTTAGTATGCTTTTTGACGTCTACGAGCATTGAATTGCTGTGAGTCATTTTTCAGATGTTCAATTAAATTTAATATTCTTGGCATTTGTGTTTTGTAAAGCTTACGGGGCCAGGGTGTGACGTTGTTGCTCTTAACAAGCACGTCCTCAGGAGAAGATTAATTAAGATATACGTTATTAGCTATTGAAATAGCTTTAACATTTTTTTCTTTTTCGTTTGTTCAACCACATATGTACCTACATACTTGTTTAGAATGCCTACAACTCGGGGCCAATCGATGTGTCCATCATCGTCAAAACATGGGTTTTCTAGCATAAGAGTATATTTTAGCAATTGCTTTGTGTAAAGGAAGTTTTGCTCTCTATTAAAAACTGATCTTTTTAGGTGGAAGGCGACGATGAAGATCAATGGCAAAGTATCGAGGAATTGCAGGCTTGTTTTCTAGGCTAGGCAGCAATTATTGCTATTGTCTATTATGTTGGCTAAATAACCAAACCATGCTAAAGTTTCATTTTAGGCTTTGGTCGAAAAATACGAACAGAAGGTCGACAATCTGCGCCAAGCTACTATCAATGATGAGGCGGCTTTGCAAAAACGTTTGGTCAGTGTGTTTATCATTAGTCATTATACTGTTGCTTTAGCAAGAAATTCGTCTTGAGGCATCCAAGTTTGCCGCAATTATTGCAAAACGTGATACTGCTGAAAAGGACGACGAGACGAGTTTCTTAAAGCATACTGCAAAAGTTTGATTTCACAAAAGATTTTCTGTGTATAGTTTGTTTCTTGTTAGAAGACTTGCCTCGATTTTCTGCGCACCGACAAGCACATTGAAAGGAACAATCCAACATCTTTGGCACGAAAAATAGTTGTAGAGCTGATTGATTTAGGTAAGAGGATTTGAATTTTTTTAAATTGTCTTTGTTTAGTCGCTAGTTTCGCATGTAACGCAGAAAAACTCCCTAAAGACATCGATGATGTAGTATTCCAAGCGTTCGAACTTCGTCTAAAGGGTATTTGATATTTGATAAATTATTATATTGAAAAAGTTTCTAGACTTTGGCAAGTCATTGAACATTCAAACTAGGAAACGATTGGAGGACATTGGATTTGATGCAGGTTTACGCTAAATGTTTGATAATCAGGTTTTACCTCACAATTAGATGTCATCGAAGGCTTACTGGTGCAAATGGCGAAAACAAGTGGCGTTAAGATTGATGGAGCCAGGGTAAGCTTATTTTGATTTTACTAAAAGGAAAAAAATGAAACTTGAAATTTGGAGTTTAACTGAAGATTTTTAGGCAGAAATACGTCATGCAGCAGGAAAGTGGCAAAGTGAATTAACGACAGGAGATTTACCAGAAATCGACGACATGCTTTCAAATGATGAAGCTGCGATGGAAAATGATGTGCAACTAGATACCGAAGACGATGAAATATGGATGATGTCAGATGACGATGATGATGAATTTTCGATGGACGAAGACGAGATGGAAAAACTTGGTTAGGGTATTGAATCAATTATTTTCATGTTTTATTTTACGGGTTTGTTGTTGTCAATTTTTGTTTTTTTTTTTGAAAATGTTACTGTTACCTTCTAGTTGTTGAATCTGTTTTTAAATGCTGAATAAATTTGCTAACTTTAGTCATCTAAACCAAAAATGGAAAAATTTGGCTAGAATACATTTCAGATGGTACTTTGAAATGTTTTATTTTAACCGTTTAGTGCAAAGATATGAATGAAATATAGAAAATCTACCAGTAACTGAATGAAATGATAAAGTAAATTTAATCGAAACGAGATCTAATGGACTAAGCCAATTAAAGCAATCTAAATTTGGAATAAAAAAAAATGTTGAAAGATGAAGTTTCTCTAGCAAAAATCCTAGATAAACTGATATAAAAAGATCCCGATTTGGACATGAGCATCAAAAAAGAAAAAACACCGGGAAAAAGGGTGAATAAATAAAACCCGATAAAGATTGAGATGATGATTAACTTATGGAATAATAAATAGAATGAATTTGGATCGAGACTTGCTTATCGATAAAGTTAACTCGAAATTTAAAAAGTGCTTTTGGAAATGCTCGAGAGTGACACTAATTGATGACGTGGTGCTACTGTAATGAGACTATTGCGTTTTTTTAAAACGACCCTAATCTCATCTCTAGTTTTACGACAAAATTTTCGATAAGCAAGTTCAAAACGGATCGAACAATTTAAACCAAGAGGGTTTAAGGTGAAGTTGAAGGAGACGCGCACTGCCGGTTGGGGGTGGAGGCCATTGAGGAGATGAAAGAATTTGATGCGTTCTTTTTAACGTCAACTTTTCCAGCTGAAAATTGATTTGGGTTAGCTGGGGAGTTTTGTAAAGTTTTAAAAGTCGTTGTTCACTATCGGTGTTCGATAAGCTGACAAGAGGGAATGGTTCAAAGTTATGGTGACCGTTTGGGATGAGTGATGCCTCAGTTGATAGATCTCATGATGAATGAATGATGAACAAAAAAGTTAGCTGCCTCAAACGAGAAATGGGACCAACGAGATGCAAAAATAATGTTTTTGACCCTCCTTGACGCGGCTGGAACTTTTTACTGAATCAATATTTTTGAATAATCTTTTTTTGCATGTGACAGGACTTGAATGAAACTAAAAAAACTTTGGCTTTGGCTTTGGCTTTTCAATAAACTTTGACTAAAATCAATAGCTTTGAAATGTAAAATTTTATAAATACTTTCGGAATCAAATTTCACTATTTTTAGTTTCATTCGAGTTCTATTACATGCAAAAAAAGATTATTCAAAAATATTGATTCAGTAAAAAGTTCCAGCCGCTTCAAGGACGGTCAAAAACATCATTTTTCCTCCTTGTCGGTCCCATTTCTCGTTTGAGGCAGCTAATTTTTTTGGTCATCATTCATTCATCATGAGATCTATCGAATGAGGCATCACTCATCCCAAATGGTCACCTTAACTTTAGACCATTCCCTTGTCAGATTTATTGGGTTGGTAAATTGAAAACTGCGGGACTTTGAACTAAAATTTATTCAGCATAAAACCATCAATTCATTCCAAATAATTTCCATTATTATTGACGACTTCTGCCCATTTTACAGGCAATTTGCGGATTCCTCTTTCGTAGTAGGATTTTGGTTTGTGTGTGAGACAAGTGTGAGACTCGAAAATGGAGAACTGGAGATGTAAGCTGTCAGCCCAGTTTGAGCACTTTCTTCAAAAGAAACCCACTTTGGTGTCAATGGAAAAGTTGTAGAGAATCAAAAATTAGACTTATAGCCAAATTTTCAAAAAGATACACTTAGTAGTTTCGCTTAAAATGCAAGTTTTGTGAAAATTCGTAAATTTGGCATTTCTTGAAAACCAGTTTTTTGAATCGTTCTGAAAATTTGGATATAAGCTTGATTTTTGATTCTCTACAACTTTTCCATTGACACCAAAATGGGTTTCTTTTGAAGAAAGTGCTCAAACTGTCACTTATGACAATGGCCCGCAGTTTTCAATTCACCAACCCAATAGTTTGATAGGAAATCTTTCAATTTCTTCCCTTACCAGCCAATCTGCTTGTGAAAGTGACGCTTTCTCTAGAGTATCTTCAGTTTTTCGCATTTCTTTTTCCTCGACAAGGGTTTCCTCGTATTTACAAAGATGAACTGGAGACGCCTGAAAATTTGTGATGATTTCGATTATAATAATCTGAGATTACGATAGTTTGAAAAAAACTTACAGTAAGACAACAATGCTCATCGGGTTTCGAGTCAATGGGAGTGGTGTGAAGCCATGGGTAAGCTGGATACAATTTCACATCCGCATCAGGAGGCGGATCACTTTTGAGAGCGTGCAAGTATTTCAAGAGTTCTTCATCATTCCCTCTGAAATCGTGGCCTTTACTATATCATACATGTTTTCCCGTGCTCTAGCACTGGGCCTAGACTTGGTTTAGTGCTATCAGCCTAAAGTGAGCCCAAGAGACATACGTGTTTTGCGTTCCGAAAAGGTTTTCCCCATTTTCACTGGCTAAATCCTGGCACAGGTAAGTCTAAATGCTAGCTAGGGTTGTGCTAAATGGTAAGCCAGGTCAGACCAAAGCCAGGCCAGGCCAAAGCCAGGTCAGACCAAAGCCAGGCCAGACCAAAGCTAGGTCAGACCAAAGCCCGGACAGAAGCCAGCCAGCCTAGGGAACTAGGTCATTGTGGGATTTTGGAACGAGCTCATTCGATAGGAAATTGAATATAGATTCCGAATCTGTAATCAAAATCTGCTGAATAGCTCGCAAAGACTTTTAACTCAAAAGTTTTTGCTTTACAACCCTGAGTCGAGTTTATGTGCTCTCTCTCAGCCGGGCTCTCAGCGGCGCTCATGGTGTAGTGGTTGGCGTGATGGTTCACAGAACGAATGCGAGGTTTTTTCTGGCAGGTTCGAATCCGCACTAACCAAACATCTTTTATTTTTCACAATTATGTTTTTGATTCTCACAATAAGGTTCTGGCCATTTCAAAAGACTGGATATTGCACAATGTGCAGGCTTTCGGCTTCTGAATGGGGATTGAAGGCTTGGCCTCCTAATTGGGACTTGATTGACTTGGCTCCTGAATGGGGATTGAAGGCTTGGCCTCCTAATTGGGACTTGGTTGACTTGGCTCCTGAATGGGGATTAGCTTGGCCTCCTAATTGGGACTTGATTGACTTGGCTCCTGAATGGGGATTGAAGGCTTGGCCTCCTAATTGGGACTTGATTGACTTGGCTCCTGAATGGGGATTAGCTTGGCCTCCTAATTCTGGCCTTTAGGAAGGGCAAATTATTGAACTTATCAGTAGAAAGATTACTGTAGCTCTAGCAAATTATAAACTAAATATTATTTAGTACTAAATATGATCTAGTAGACCTAGTGTATTGAAATCTTTCCACACTTTTTTCCTTTTCAAAACTCACTTCAATCGTTTTGGTATTTGGATGAAGAGGGGAGGTCGAATCGAAAGATCGCCGAGAAGAACTGTCGTTGTCACTACAAGAGACAAATCATGTACAAACTTCTGGCCACAGTCACTGAAACAGACGGTGACTGTCTCCCAAAAGAGGAGTCTCAAAGTCTCTCCCAAAAGAGTCGGCATTGAAAAGTCGAAAAGAAAAAAAGCGGCAGAAAAGCGGAATATGTAGCTAATCAAAGAGAGAAAACCCTCACATATTATCAAAGATATCCGGTTGATATCCAAAGCGTCCCTCGAAAGCCACTTCATAGCAACGATAAAGGAGTTTATCGTTGAGCAATCGTTTCTGCTGTTCTGATTGATTTCCTTTCTTTGAGGGGAAACTCTGGAAATGTTAAATGAGGGAAAAATAAGGCTGTATTCTTACCGTTCTATTTCCACTTTTGATTGAGTCAAAAACTTCTTTGGGTAAAGCATTCAATAGAGGTTTTGCTTGAGGCATTTTCTCGAGATACGAGAGAACTCTTGTGCTGATTAAACTGAAAAGAGTTTCGTTTGGAACTTCCTTATCTTCCTTGTCTTTCCTATTTCTCCTTGGGCGCATCAGGTGCTTATGGCTCAGTGGTAGAGCATCAAGCTGGTAAGCAGAATCGAGGGTTCGATTCCCTTTAGCTCCACTTTTTTTTGCCATTTATTTCTTTACTATTCTATAGAGTTACAGCACTGGAAAGCTAGTGTTTTGCTGCCTGTAGGCCTGTGGCTGCCTGTCTACAGTAATCTTTCTACAGCAAGCTTAATAGCAGAATGTTACAGTAGTTACAGCAGTTACAGTAGTTACAGTAGTTACAGTAGATTGAAAAGCTCACTTTAAAATCTGTCTAGTGTTACCGTACTCTTTGTATTTACTTACAGTAGTCTAAGTAGCTAAGTCTAAGTGATTTCTAATCTGTTAGAAGTATTTGTCTTTCTAGTTATAGTAATCTGTCAGAAATAGAGTCGACTTTCTAGTTACAATCTAGTTACAGTAATCACTCACTCTTCCCAATATCCGAGCTTTCCTGTAGCGACAATTCCCTGTGCCACATTCTTACACCATTTCTCTTTCTTTTCCTTGGCCTCATATCTAAATAAAATTCGATAAGTTTAGCTACATATAAATATCATATTTGAAAAAAACTCTTTCGCACTTTCGCGCGTCTGTAACTCCCTTGTCTTTACAGTATTTCTAAATATTAATATTACCATTGTGTAGCCCTTGAAAAGAGCTTTCAGAAAATGCATAACACTAATAGTTTAAACTCAAAAACAAGGGAGTTACAGACGCGCGAAAGTGACGATCGTCTTTCAAATATCATATTTCATTGTCCAGTAGTGTAGCTTAGCAAACGTTATCATCCAATACGCAAAATAAGGAATTAAGTCAGCAAATTAGTTAATCCCGAAAAAACGCGTTTTTCTCGACACTGGTTTATGCTACAATGCGCGCTTAGGTAACAAAAAAAAGCTGAAATTCAGGGCTATTTTTTGATACGCCCCATAAGTGTTATGCCTAAAAAATCACCCATTCTCTCTACTTTAATTTGATACCTAAGCGCGCAGAAATAAATTTCTGGGCGCCGAGATATGAGCTATTCTTTGAGTGTAAACTTAGACTACGCGACGCTCCTATAGAAGGGGCGCTTCTATTCGAGTATTTATGGTAAGATCCAAAGCCAATAGCTTTCAATTGGCCTTGTTCTGACCTTTCTAGGACAAAATCGACCAGTCGGATAAAAATAACCACTGTAAATGCTGTAATAGTCAAAAAATGAGTTGCGGAGTTTTGCGTAGTCTAGCTTTGAACGCGTTTTTCTCTCGACTGGTTTATGCTACAATGCGCGCTTAGGTATCAAAAAATAGCTGAAATTCAGGGCTATTTTTTGATATCAAAGACGTATTTTTTGAAAGTACGGGTGCTTTGCAAATGAAATACTAAAAAAGCTTTTGCGACTACGCGACTGTACAGGGTGGTGGGGTACTATTAGAGTATTTACGGTAATTAGTTTATGTGTCACATTCACTTTGTCAAATCTATTTTCGTCAAAATATTTCATTCCACATTCAAACAAAAGTTATTTTAGAAACAAAAACGTGAAAGATGTAATAGAGAACATGTATATTTGTTTCTAAAATTGCTTTGTTTCTAAAATAACTTTTGTTTGAGTGTCGAATTAAATAGTTTGACGAAAATAGATTTGACAAAGTGAACATTTGGAATTAAATAGGATTTTGACATAAATAGTCATAAATATACATGAGAAAATGTCCACTTTTGGTAAAAAAATGATTCTTCACAAATGGCTTTTGATTTCGATAAGCATTCTTTTCGGACAAAACATCGGCGTGGCATCTTTTCACGAGCAGCTCTTCCAGTCAGAAAAATGCAAGTTACCCGGCGGGGTTTGTCATGTCGGAGAGGTAAGTTCAATAGCGAGTTTGGATTTGGTTCCTTATCTCTCTAAATTTGGTTCCTTATCTCTCTAAATTCCTTATCAATAACGAGATCAGTTCTGTGAGAATCAAAGCGGAGTTAAGTAAACGCCATTCAACCCAACAATAAGCCGAGGCAACAAGTACAGCGATCAGGACGATCTCTTTGACATCAGGACGATCTCTCTGACATCAGGACGATCACTTTGACATCAGGACGATCTCTCTGACATCAGGACGATCTCTTTGACATCAGGACGATCTCTTTGACATCAGGACGATCTCTTTGACATCAGGACGATCTCTTTGACATCAGGACGATCTCTTTGACATCAGGACGATCTCTCTGACATCAGGACGATCTCTTTGACATCAGGACGATCTCTTTGACATCAGGACGATCTCTTTGACATCAGGACGATCTCTCTGACATCAGGACGATCTCTTTGACATCAGGACGATCTCTTTCACATCAGGACGATCTCTTTCACATCAGGACGATCTCTCTGACATCAGGACGATCTCTTTGACATCAGGACGATCTCTTTGACATCAGGACGATCTCTCTGACATCAGGACGATCTCTTTGACATCAGGACGATCTCTTTGACATCAGGACGATCTCTCTGACATCAGGACGATCTCTTTGACATCAGGACGATCTCTTTCACATCAGGACGATCTCTTTCACATCAGGACGATCTCTCTGACATCAGGACGATCTCTTTGACATCAGGACGATCTCTTTGACATCAGGACGATCTCTCTGACATCAGGACGATCTCTTTGACATCAGGACGATCTCTTTGACATCAGGACGATCTCTTTGACATCAGGACGATCTCTTTGACATCAGGACGATCTCTTTGACATCAGGACGATCTCTTTGACATCAGGACGATCTCTCTGACATCAGGACGATCTCTTTGACATCAGGACGATCTCTTTGACATCAGGACGATCTCTTTCACATCAGGACGATCTCTTTCACATCAGGACGATCTCTTTCACATCAGGACAAATACATAGGACATTTGACAAATACAGTTCGCGTCATGGTTCACCAGATTTAGTGAACCCTTGGACAGTCGTATGTTGTTCATAATTTGTTGTTCGAGCAATGTTGTTCTTAATTTTGTCAAAATTGACGAGTTTTGTTGCTTCGCAAGGCAGAAACTAAAAATTGATATATTCGTTTGATCTTTTTAGATTATTTGGCTCAAAAGAGCTAAATTGTTGTTGCCCAAGAGTCGCCTGAGAAAACCAAATGAAGACAAACGTTGTTGGGTTGAATCGCGTTTACGCGTTAGATAAGGAACCAAATTTAGAGAGATAAGGAACCAAATTTAGGGAAAAGGAGCTTTCTTTTCTAAAAGATAATTTTAAAATCTAGCGGACAAATTCATTTAAATTGCAATGAACTAGTTTTGGGCGCACAAAAGCAATGGGTCATGCGCACTGATTAATTCAGACACTATTTTAGAGAGATAAGCAACCACACTAATTTATAGAGATAAGGAACCAAATCCAAACCCCGCCGGGCAACTTGTATTTTTCTGACTGGAAGAGCTGCTCGTGAAAAGATGACACGCCGATGTTTTGTCCGAAAAGAATGCTTATCGAAATCAAAAGCCATTTGTGAAGAATCATTTTTTACCAAAGTGGATACTACATTTATATGTAAACTTGCAATTTCTATGCAAAAAAAAACAGCTTATGCTAATTTCTTGAAAGCCAAAGCCTGAGTCGACTTGGGTAATTGAACCAGCCCAAAAACCATCATTTGACTACAGGAAACAGTACTACTTTAAAGCTACATGGCTTACAGTACTACAGGATTACTGTAGAATTGAATACCTTATATGAAAAGCGGTGTCAAACGGACGAATCTCTCGATAAGGCACTAGACTGTACAAGTATTGACCGTGTTCCGATAGCCAAGCGCAAACAACCTAAATACAACAATAGAGATCAAATAATAGTTGTAGAATTACTGTAGGTTACTGTAGGTTACTGTAGGTTACTGTAGGACTGTAGAACTGTAGACTACTGTAGGACTGTAGGACTGTAGACTACTGTAGGACTGTAGACTACTGTAGGACTGTAGGACTGTAGACTACTGTAGGACTGTAGGACTGTAGACTACTGTAGGACTGTAGACTACTGTAGGACTGTAGGACTGTAGACTACTGTAGGACTGTAGACTACTGTAGGACTGTAGACTACTGTAGGACTGTAGACACTGTAGGACTGTAGGACTGTAGACTACTGTAGGACTGTAGACTACTGTAGGACTGTAGACTACTGTAGGACTGTAGACTACTGTAGGACTGTAGACTACTGTAGGACTGTAGGACTGTAGACTACTGTAGGACTGTAGACTACTGTAGGACTGTAGACTACTGTAGGACTGTAGACTACTGTAGGACTGTAGACTACTAGGACTGTGGACTGAGACACTGTAGGACTGTAGACTACTGTAGGACGTAGGCTGTAGACTACTGTGGACTGTAGACTACTGTAGGACTGTAGACTACTGTAGGACTGTAGACTACTGTAGGACTGTAGACTACTGTAGGACTGTAGACTACTGTAGGACTGTAGACTACTGTAGGACTGTAGACTACTGTAGGACTGTAGACTACTGTAGGACTCTAAGTGCAACTCACATTATCGTGTCCCTGCACTGTTTTCGTTTGTGACAACAGCGTTTTACTGTGCCCATCTCGATCAACGTCGAGTAACTAAAAGTTTCTTTTTTCTTAGCTGATTATCTGAAAGTTAGTCTTCTATTTTAACTATTATACTTGAAAGTTGAAGATATACGCTGCCCAGTATTCCTTTTTGCCTTTTCGTGGCCATGGAGCCCAAACGACATCACCCAAACGGAGATTGAAAGGATTCCGCTCGGCTGGCATTTCGCCGCGCCAGAACTGAAATTCGGGACTTGCTTTTGAGTGTCTGTGATTCATTTATTGTAACTTTTAAAACCCTAGATTATGCAGTACTGTTGTACTTGTTTTTATAGCATAAACTAGCGCAGTTAGCAAAATAACTAGCACAGCAGTCGAGTCACGGTCTAAATTGAAGCGGATCTAGATATTGTGGCTTGTAGATAACATTTACAGATATAGTAGTTCGTAATTCGTAATTCGTAAGTTCGTAAGGGTAGCGCGCAATATTCTATTTTTAATTCTATCTTTGTTAATCAACTCACATTCACATTATTGATTCCCAATCGCACTGCCACACCAGATGGGAGGAATACGAATGGATGCTCTTCCTCTTGAAGTAATAGAGAGAATTCGGGGCGCTGAATGGAGAAACGATTAGTTAAAGAGTAGATTAAAAAGTATTACAGGAAAGAATTTGGTACTTGTAATTGGTACTTGTAATTGGTACTTGTATTGGTACTTGTAATTGGTACTTGTAATTGGTACTTGGAATTGGTACTTGTAATTGGTACTTGTAATTGGTACTTGTAAATCTGTGTCTTTACATGGATTCTATCTATTCAGTAAAATCTAATCTTGCCAAAAAGCCTAGCAAATGAATTCATTTATCTAGCTACCGTAAATACTGTACCGTAAATACTCGTATAGTACCCCACCACCCTCGTACAGTCGCGTAGTCGCAAAAGTTTTTTTAGTATTTCATTTCCAAAGCACCCGTACTTTCAAAAAATACGTCTTTGGTATCAAAAAATAGCTGAGATTCAGGGCTATTTTTTGATATCTAAGCGCGCAATGTAGCATAAACGAGTGTCGAGAAAAACGCCTTTTTTCGGGATTGTTGCGTAGTCTAACTTTAAACATTCTGTTCTCCGCGCTGCCTTATGCTAAGATGCGCGCTTTGGTATCAAAGAATAGCCCTGAATTTCAGCTATTTTTTGATACCTAAGCGCGCATTGTAGCATAAACCAGTCGAGAGAAAAACGCGTTCAAAGCTAGACTACGCAAAACTCCGCAACTCATTATGGGGCTGGGGTACTATTACAGTAGATATATACCGTATTTTCTGTAATAATAGTGTGCACTACTATTTCTACAACGCCTTCAACCTGCGCTTCTATTATAGACTGCACTACTATTACAGAAAATCCGAAAGTTCTTGAATGGGCCTATTTTTGTCTTTATCCCAGATTAAAGTAAGACCTAGAAGTACTAAATTTAGCTTTTTGTATGTAAATTGAGTCTCAGCATCTCAGCATCAACATCAGCATTTCCAAGCCACTTTTTCGCTAAAATTTTATCTTATCTGCACCTTGGAAACTATCTACTATATATAAAGGGATTAAGACGTCTGTTTGTCCGTCTGTCTTTCTGTGCGCGCTACTCCTCAGCCCCCAGAGGACCATTTGCAATGATTTTTGTGCCGTTGAATAGGGAATTACATGTAGTTGTGCAGCGTGCTTTTGGTTTTTTTAAAAAGCATAATTCGAGTCGCAGGTTGAACCCAGATCGTATGGGCGATAAACCGGTGCGCTATCCACTGCTCCACGGTGACAAAACCCGTCAATCCCTAAAACATCGAGAAAAACCCGCTGTTAGAACGGGTTTCTCGGCTGGTTCTTCTTTAAAGAATGGCAAAGAGAGATTTCTGGAGAGGGGATTGAACTATCGACCTTTTGCTTTTGCTTTTGCTGTGATACTCTAACCATTGAGCTATCCTATATCTTCTTTCAAGAGAAGAGAGGAAGGGGAAGAGAAAGGAAGAAAGGAAGAAAGAAAGGAAGGAAGAAAGGAAGGAAGAGTTCTTGACTTAAAGGAACCTCTATTCCAGATTAAATCTATTCCAATCTATTAAAGGAACCTCTATTCCAGATCCAGAAATCCCAAATCTCAGAAATAGTGCTCAACTCACTGATTTCTCTGGCGTCAATCTCGGGAAATTCTTCGGGTTCTTGAAATTCTCAATATTCGGATCTTTCAACGACTCGTAGAATGGAAAAGCATCTTGATAACTGGAATTTATTGGAATATCGATTGAATTAAGAATTGGATTAATGTAAAGATCAAAAATCAAACCTGCAACTCGGTTGGAAATCCACAGGAAAATGCACAGCATAAGGGAAAATCTTGAGAAGGATCGGCTCGGAGGAGGCTCGTGGATCAATCGTCATCTCTGTATTGTAATGAATCTCTGAGCAGAAATCATTCAACAATTCAATATCTTTCTCCGTCGGTTTATATAATTCACGAAATTCTTTCTCCATTTTTATTTGCTCAATCTGATCAAGAGAGATTCCATCTATCAAAAAACGATCAGTTTTTACGGTTTTTGATTTCTTTATTGATGAGATTTTCGTTGGTGAATTGATGGAAGTGATTGATCTCTTGGTTGGTCGAATTCTTGGAGATTTCTCTTCATCATCAAATTGATATGGAGATAATGATGTCAACTTCTCGATTTTCTTCGCTGTTCTCGGAGATACCTCTTTCTCTTCCTTTTCTTCCTCTTCCTCTTCCTCTTCCTCTTCCTCTTCCTCTTCCTCTTCCTTTTCTTCCTTTTCTTCCTTTCCATCCTTTTCTTCTTTCTCTTCCTTTTCTTTAGAAGATTTTAAAATTGTTGGAGTCATTTTCTTGTCCGGAGAATATTCCTTTAAAGCTTTTCGATTCAATCTCAGCACGATTTTTGGTCTCAATTCATTTGATGATACTCCGGGATCGCTGATTTGACGCTGGAAATCGAATTTCTCCTTTTGTTTCTCTTTTTTTCGTTTTATTAGAGTTTTCTGAACATTTTCCTCAATTGGTTCCTCTTTGATTTTTGGTTCTTCGCTTTGATGGCGACGATTTGTGTTCTGAAAAAAAGGATTTTTTAAAAAATACCGACTGGGGCTACTAGTGGTGAATTTATCGCATACACGAAATATATCAATCACAATACAACGACACACACAATACTAGGCTATAGCTTAACTTAACCCACGTCATGACAGACGGCTCCCTAACCCTAAGCTCAATGGGGAACTAAATAGCTTTTTTGGTGGTGAAGGGAAGATGACGATGAAGGATTTGGTTAAATAGAAAGACTATTTGCTTAGCTATAACATTTCTGGCATTCGAATGAAAGCCAATTATTTAAAAAGCTCAATTGAAAAGATTAATCCTGAGAATGAGAATCAGTGTTTGTTATTTAGAGAATTCAGAGCTGATCTTTGATTTCATTAGCCTTCATTAGCATAAAGCCTGAAACCTTTTCTATATAAAGTAGATCAAAATAAGCACTTAGCTCCCTCTGAAAGAACGGAAATGAGGTGCGTTGTGGCGTAATGGTTAGCACAGTTGCTAACCGTTACACAGTTGCTAACCATTACACAGTTGCTAACCATTACACAGTTGCTAACCATTACACCGTGAGCGAGGGGTCGCAGGTTCGAATCCTGGCGGCGCCTAAGTTTTTGATCTGTCCTAGTTCCAACTAAGCCGTAGATCGATTGGTTTATTCTTTATTTTAAAAAAGCGGAAAGGCTTTCTAGCCAACGTGAATTCTAGCCAAAGGCTCTCTAACAAACACACCTTTTCTGACACACTGAATTTGTATTTGAAAAGATAGAGTGAGAAATTGTTGTACAGTTTTCACTTTTCCTAATCGATGGCTAAGCTAAGACTTGATAAGCTGGTTTTTGGCTTGATTTACAGCCATTAGCGCGCGGATTTGAGTTGTGTCAGAGATCGTTTGTTGAAAACAAAACCACAGTACGCAAAATTAATTTAAAAACTTTCAGTGATCAGCTTATAATCAACTTACAAAATTCTCATCTGATGGGCGAGCGATTGGTGTCTGCTCAGCTATCTCAGCTTTGCGATGGATTGGTGTCTGCTCGATCTCAGCTTTGCGAGCGATTGGTGTCTGCTCAGCTATCTCAGCTTTGCGAGGGATCGCTGAAAATGGGAGAAAAGTTACAACTTGGTTTCTTTGATTATCCAATTACACATTTAATTCGAATTCAATATCGATTATATTTTTATAACGAACCATTCCCATTCAACTCCGGACTCATTTCATCTTGTTGCTCGGAGAACGAGGCGGATAGTTCCATATTCTGATCGGCTAGTTGAAGTTCTAAAATTTGGATAAAGATACGATAAAGCAGTAGTACAGTAAGGCTACAGTATGCCAAAAGTACTGTAGTTTGGTCCTCATTTGTCTAGCCCAATTTGGGCCTAGACAAGGCCTAGACAAGGCCTAGACAAGGCCTAGACAAGGTCTAGACAAGGCCTAGACAAGGCCTAGACAAGGCCTAGACAAGGTCTAGATCATGTCACTTTATTATAACTACAGTAATCATTGTAAAACCCTTGCTTATTTTAATCGTCCTTTTATTTCTCATAAAGTTTGGGGGAGTGTTGTGAGGGTTAAAAGGCTGAGAGAGAGAGGGGAAGGGATGAGAGAGGTTATCGATTGGGAATGAGCCTTGAGCCCCCTCAACTCCCCTCTCATTCCCCATTTCTCTTCACTTTTAACAAGCCTACAGCTAAAAATAAAATGGATAAAAAGGGCTAATGAAAGAGAAAATGATTAGTTGCACAGTAGTTGCATGAGAAATAAACAAATGCTAATACTGTAGAACATTTGTTATTCGATTGGAAAACATTCCTTATTCGAAATACTAAATTACTTGTTAAAACTAGTACCTTTAGCCATCAACAGTAAGCGTAAAAACCAGTCAAGATTGAAAAGAAAGAGTAAATGAAGCCTTGTTCAAGGTTTTCACTTGAACAATTTGATAGGATATATTTGATAATTTGAAACGTTGACCTATGATATTATAGCAAATTTTATGACCAAGTAAAGAAAAAGAATTTAGAGAAAAAGGACTTGGAAGCGACCCCGGGAATCGAACCCGCGACCTTCCGATTAACAGCATGATGCTCTACCATTGAGCTATCAACTCTTGCTTTGCGCAAGAAGAAATAGGAAAGACATGGGCGAAAGAGAGGGAAATATCTAGATCTTCATAGCCGTGGGCTTGAAAATCAGATCTCGAACAATTTGTATTTACAATCGTTTAGATAAAATTCTTCAACAAGATTCTTTCCCAACTTTAAACTCTTCCTTTGCACTTTGAGCTTAAGCTGTCTTAGCCAATCGGATAGGAGTCTTGTCTCCTATTCTGAGGGTCAAAGATTCGATCCCAGCGGCCAGAAATAATAGATTCTTTTTCTAATCATTATGGGTTTTTTCTTAACAGTATTTGGATAATAGGGGTAACTAAGGGTTTCCTTCTTTGTGTTGTAATTGATTATTCGTGTACTTTTACTTTTAAGGAAGAATATGATTAAACAAGTCTAACCAGATCTCATAAAGTTTCGATCCTTCTCTCATAAAGTTTCGATCCTTCCTACTACACTCAATTCGCAATTTTTCTTGAAACATTAATACTGTTGTAAGAGAAATGAAGAATTGAGGATCTTTTAAGCACAAAGCATTTGTCATGAACAACTCTTTAAGAGAAACACTTACAGGAAACACTTACAGGCTCTCATGATCTTTAAAACTAAACTAACTTGGCTCAATTGATTCAATGTTGATCGGTGAATGGCTTTTTCGTCTTTCTAGTGGAGTTTCATCGAGGTCTGGCTTCGTTTGTGGCATCGGCGATCCGTCAACCAAATGTTTTCCACCATCAAGTGATCGACGACATTTTGATGAAGAACATGGCTGAATTGAATTCGTAAAATCTATCTAACTATTGAAATTTGTGTGTACCTCAGCAGCTCTCAGGAAATTCTCGGTGATTACACTTTGTAGAATCGAGGTGCGTGGAGTGATGACTGAGATCTAAAATGGAAATTGAACTCTGAGAACTTTTAAATAAACTTACGGTTTTCTTTTGCTCAGCAGAAGCTGTCAATTTCTGAATTGTTGCATCAAGGGATCGAATCGATTTCTGATTTGGATTCATGTTCTCAGGTGATCGTTGATTTCCATTTATTTTTAGATTCTTCATTGAGTAAAGAGCAGGTGGTGGAGTGATCTGAAAGGATTGTAGAAAGGAGCTGAAAGGATTGTAGATCCTAATCCTGCAACTCCAGCTCTGCAACTCCAGCTCTGCAGCTCCAGCTCTGCAACTCCAGCTCTGCAACTCCAGCTCTGCAGCTCCAGCTCTGCGGCTCTAGCTCTACAGCTCCAGCTCTGCAGCTCTAGCTTTGCAACTCCAGCTCTGCAACTCCAGCTCTGCAACTCCAGCTTTGCAACTCCAGCTCTGCAACTCCAGCTCTGCAACTCCAGCTTTGCAACTCCAGCTTTGCAGCTTCAGCTTTGCAGCTCCAGTTTTACTATGTAAGCAGGCATGCTATCCTTTCAGAATTTCAGAATAGAATCCTTTCAGACATGTAAATTCCGCTTCCTTTTTAGTCCGTTTGCCGTTGGCAATCTACAATTTTGCTTGTTTCTTAGCCGGGTTTGTTTGAAAAAACGTTGAATTTACTCTCATTCGACTTGAAATCAAATTTTCTATAGAAATGCTGCTCATTTTGAGTAATGCTGATTTACAGACGTTTCCTGGATCTACAGATCCAGGTCTACAGATAAGTTTTTAGGAATAAGTTCTACAGATCTACAGATAAGTTTCTAGGAATCATTTAGGCAATAGAATAAACATTTAATCAAAAAACTAGAGATTGTTGTTGGAAAAATCGATTTATTCAAGCCAATTTATCAAAATGGCGATAAACCCCAAATGCAGCTTTTTTTCTACAAGCAAGATGAAGGGCATAGAGTGGCTGCCTTGGATTGTTAGAAAAGCTATACTGAAAACTGAAAACAGATTCTAATTGGGGATTACATATCCTCACAAATTTTCAGAGTTTTTGGTTCATTCATTAACGAGAAAACATCCCTGATACATCGATGTACCATGTCGAGTGAATATGCTAATTAATTAAAGTTCTCCGCCATGATCGACTGGCTAATAGTCGAGTATCTTAGTCTGGAGATCAAAGGTTCAATTCTGCCGCTAGATTGTTCGTTCTTTTTCTCCATAGATCTCAATTTCTCTTTTTTCTCCATGGGTTCTTCTTACATTAAAGGCTTAGGGATTTTGCTTGCTTGTACCACATTATGCGTGTGAATAAATGTATATTTCTAAAAGATGTGCGGTTAAAAATAAGGTTAATAAGGTTAAAAATAAGTTAGACTTACGCTAAAACATAGAAAATTTCAGATAAAATCATTTTAAACTCAATTTTGAGAATCAATTCTGAAATTGCGAATCAATTCTGACATTGAGAATCAATTCTGAAATTGAGAATCAATTCTGACATTGAGAATCAATTCTAGAGCTGAAAAAGTCGATTCAAATGATTTGAAGCTTTTTCTTTTGCAAAATAGTAAGCTCAAGTTTATTGATAAAGAAACTTTCTATAAGAAACAGTTCTTTCAAGTTATTTCAAGTTTAGATTCAAAGTTTCAAGTTTATATTCAATGTTTAGAGATCTACACTAAGTACTGAATCGATTCTAAGCTGACATTATTGTTTCTGAAATGATTGAGCCCAGCTTAGGATCTAGATATTGTTTGAAAAGACTTTGATCTTTCCAAACTTGATACTCTTGATTCTCTCACTCACTTGATTCTCTCGTTCTTTCGGATCACTTGATGAAATTGTGCATTGAAAGGTTTCATTGAGTGGAAGAGCTTTTTGTGATTCGTTGGAGTTCGGATGTTTTGATGCTTTGACAAGAAGTTGCGCAAGGCGAGCACTGGAAGAGTTTCGTTTGATCAAATAGCTTCTTAAGCTTCAAATGTCTTCTCAGACTAGGAGACAAGTCTGAGAAGACATCCTAGTCGATCGGACAGATCCTATCCGATCGGCTAAGACAGCTTAAGCGCAAAGTGCAAAGAATGAGGTTAAAGTCAAATAGCTTCTTAAGTTAAATAATATGCTTTACAGCTGTATAGCTTAGCTAAGGTTAACTAAGTAAAAACTAAGTAAACTGCTAAGTAAAAAAAATCACTGTATTCAATGGAAAAGTTACTGGTTAAAGCAAAACTGGAAAAGAAAAGCAATGATAAAAGCTATTCTTAACTATTCTTAACTAGAAATGAACTCTAGAAACAAGGTAATCTTTTACTTTGTATAATGATTTGCATAAGAATATGAAATCCCTTTATTCACCTGACTTCAGTGGGTAATCTCAATCGTATCCTTTCACCTTGATCCCCAATAAAGACACAAGTGAATCCATCATCATCCTTCACCACATCTGTCACATCTTCCACATTAAATGTCTTGTTTTGATCTAAAAACCGTTTTATCTAAAACATTTTTTCTTTAAATCTAGCTTTTCAATTGTTTTAAGTTACCTGTGTCACTTACTTATTTGATCCATTTGTGATTCTTTGTGATGAATGATCGAACGTGGATATGTTCTTGTGGGAAGGGGATTGTTTCGCGGTGTCGTGACGCGAGTGAACACTGCGTTGCGGATTTTTGGTTGATGTGAGGCCTCATTCATTCCGTTTTCACCACCAATTCCACCGATTCTGCAATTTCTTGTGTAAAGTGATTGAAGATTTGGAAAAGATAGGTCTGATTTATCTAGGGCCCTCTTTTGTCAAGATAAGAATGACGAAAACAGGTAGTTTTTTTTAAAAATAACCCTTTCCGGCATACTCAAACGTTTCCCCTTTGAATAAAACGTTTTCTAAAGAACACTAAAGCTACCGTACTACCTAAAGCTTTCTAAAGAACACCAAAGCTACCGTACTAACTAAAGCTTTCTAAAGAACACCAAAGCTACCGTACTCCGACCAAAAAAGTGAGGCCTAAGTCGATTAAACTAGGGCTTACCTTACCTTACCTTACCTTCAATAGGATTACTGAACTTTTTGATTTTGAATTACTGTAGCTTACTACGCATGGAGGATCATAGTATATGTTAAACGCTGGCTTTCTGGCACACTATTTTGCAGCAACACAATGAACTTTGTGCCAGAGCACGCACGTGTGAGCAAAAAGTACAGCCAGGATTTGCTTGCTTATGAGCGAACTTTAGAAAATTTCCAGTAAATATAATTTATTTCTTGATACCTTGGCTTGAGCGGCTTGTACATGAAGAGATTGATGAGGTTATGATGGTGTAAATCAGTTTTCAATCTAAAATTTTGTGGTATAAAAACCAAAAAATGAAATAGGGAATAAAAGTTGAATTTAGAATGAGAATATCTAAACATGTGCAAGTGTTCAATGGACAGACAGACAGACAGATAGACAGACAGACAGACAGACAGACAGACAGACAGACAGACAGACAGAGAGATAGACAGACAGACAGACGACAGACAGAGAGATAGACAGACAGACAGATAGACAGACAGACAGATAGACAGACAGACAGATAGACAGACAGACAGATAGACAGACAGACAGATAGACAGACAGACAGATAGACAGACAGACAGATAGACAGACAGATAGACAGACAGACAGACAGACAGACAGATAAATAGATAGATAGACAGACAGATAGACAGACAGACAGACAGAAAGTACTGTAGTCTAGAAAACGTCGCAGTGTCGTGACGGCCCTATAAATACACGTACTCTCCAAAATCCGTTTTTCACAAGAGCTCGCCGTTTCTCTTCATTCTTAAAAGAACCAATTTGGAGTTAAAAAGAGATACAGCTAGTTTCGTGGAAAATAGCAATTGTTGAGCTTTTTAACTTTATTTATATGCTAAGAATTATCTCTCGTTCCTTATTTCTTATTACTCATATAATCAATATTATTATCTGATAAGGTGTAGGTCGACCAAGTGTGGGCGATGCTCACGTTTGGCTAAAGAAGTGATACCGTATTTCATCCAATAGAGTTTCAAATTCTATCCCAAACTACTTACAGGAGAACTACAGTATTGCAGAGATTACGTTATTCCAAGCGGAGATTATTTTGTACAACAGTTCAAAGTTTCTTTTGAGTACTACGTTTTCTAAAATGCATTGAGAAGCTGCCGCTCGATAAAGCTGCCGCTCTGCAGCTTTATCAGCCAAATATTGGCTTCATTGATAAGCCTTGTGATTGTGATTGTGATCCAAAATGATACGAAAATAGGGCCAATTGAATGAAACTGGATACGGTAATTTTCTAAGTGTCTTTTAGAAGACACTCTGAATAAACGTCTAATAGTAAGTACAATTGTATTTAGCCAAAGATTTCTCTAGTCAGTGTTCAGAGTAGTTGGAGAGTTAGACCTTTTGTCCAGAAAGCTATTATTACCTTGAAATTGAAATTTCTGTATATATAGAGGATTGGAAAGTGTTATCTAGAGTGTTTGATTGTGATTTGAAGTTGTAGACGATTAAGAACTCACTTGGATTGGTTAAAATGAGAACAATCTAGGCAAGATCTATTGCATTAACCCATTAGCCGGCCCAGTAGACATTCTATTCATTTTAGACTCATAAAAATCAAGAAATCTTTGTTTTATAAACATCTTTCCTTCAAAAAAAACGATTATCTTAATTTAAAAGGCACCCATTTCGTGCCAAAATCCTACCGTACCCTCGCTTGTCTCATTTGGCAACGCGCGTCGAGACTAATATAAAAGTGCGAACACATGGATTTTCCTTTCGAAATGCCGAATTCAAAAAAGAGTCGATAAACAATGAAAAGGACCTGTTTGAGTCATCATCTAGGTTTAAAGCTTAAAAAGGCAAAAGTGCTGTGCGACAAGGAGTTAAATCGGTTGTATATGGGGGTAAAGGCTGAATAAATGCGAAACGATTCAAAAGGAGAGTGCAGATTGGTCAGAGATGGGGTTGTTGGGTAGACACGCAGAGGAAAGGGGTGAAGAGACCCACCACCTCGGGCGTTCCCCCCGCACCAACTGACAAACACAACACACCAAATTCGCGCTTTTAGACGGTTCTTGGTCTTCTTAGCAAGGATATTGTTAATCTTGTGCGTACTTTAAGGAGAACGGATCTGGCAAGCGGATAACCGTTGTAGACCAACTTGTTGTGCACAACTATTCTTTCCATTGTTAACATTTTGCCATTATGTTATCCGTGAAGTACCATTCTTACGCTTACCACATCTATTCTTGACCCCATTCTTGCTAAACCGCAATTGCCGTGCCGCGAAATGTCAACAGGAAACGACCGGTTGTTGTCTAGGCTTTTTGAAGTGCAACGTTGTGTCATCGCTTTTCAAATTTGAAAAGTTGAAAGTCTTATCATTATTATTTGTTACCGATAGGTTTATGGCTATTTCCATTTCATGCATTGACCTCGTTTGGGTAGCGGCGCTAGAGAATGCCAATGGCAATGAGCTTTGTGGGCGATCATCCCACGTTCTTTTGCATTTACTCGCTTTCTTTTGAGGGTCGTTGATTCTTTTTTTAATCGATTAAATTTATGTTCTCAATGGTTTACAGATTGCCGCCCGATCACTACTTGAATTGGGATCGGCGCATGGAGAACGGCGAGCACCGGAAGGAGATGCGAATGACGCAGGGGGACATTGTTGAGGTATGGTTTGGCTTTTGGTTTCATTTAGAATCGTTTAATAAGGTTTATGATGGTTTTTAGGCTTTAAAAAGCTCTAAATGTTTTTGTTTTCAAAGTTAGCAATGGTTTTAAGCTTTTTAGCATCACTGTCGATGCAAAACCTTTGGCTTATTGCGTCGAAAAGCCCCTTATAGCTTATTATAGCGTTATAGTTGTCTAATTTATATTTTTAAAATTCAATTAAGCTATTGTTTTTATTCAGGTTGAAATGAGCGACCACGAAGAAGAGATGTCGGAAGGACTCTCGGAAAAGGATGGCCTTGAAACGATGGACACCGAGCTACAGATGGAGCGTGTGAATAGCACAGCTCGTAAGTTGATTGTTAATTTACATTTAAAAATAGCTTAATGATTAGTTGGTTTAGCATTTAGCATGACTTCTAAGTGTTTAACTTTAGAACAACTTGCAAATAAAATATTTCTTTAATCTTTAGTTGTTTGTGTTTAAGTTTCACATCAATTGTTTAACTTCCAGAGAACCCTCAATATTCGGCTGAAGAGGAAAACGACCCCGAGGACTCATATCGACCCGAAGGATTGCTAGAGCTAGAGATCGATAAATTTAGGTGAAAAATTCCTTGTTGATCTTGTGTAAAATCTTGTGTTTAGTGACTTTGCTCGTGGACCAGCTGATGTACAACAACGACTTTCGAAACCGATATTTGTGAGAGGACTTCCATGGAAAATTCTTGCCATACCACGGTTTGTTTGTATTAACGTATCAATTAATGTACAAATGTTTAGGGATCAATCACGATGCTCTGGAGGTCGCACAAACAAGGCCCTAGGATTTTTTTTACAATGCAACGGAGATTCGGAAATGGTTGCCTGGAATTGTATAGCGACGGCTACTTTGAAGGTAAAGATGAAGCAATGTAGACGTGGAGCTTGGCACCAAAAATAATTAGAGGCTTACTAAACTCTTGAAAAAAATAGCTAATTTTTTATTTTTAAGCTCTTGGAATTGTCGTTAAACTGAGCTTATAAGCTGTAAAATACTTATCTCTACATTTAGGTCGTGAATCAATGCGGAGGTGAATCCCATGTGCGCCGGATCTCGCACACTTTTTATCCAAAGGAGAACGATTGGGGCTACTCGCAGTTCATGAGCTGTGATGTATGTCATACTTTTGTTTTGAGTGCAAATATTTTCTTTAGCAACTACTGAATCCAGATAACGGGTATATTTTGAATGACACAATCAAGCTCGAAGTAATCGTTTCTGCCGATGCCCCTCACGGAGTCCAGTCAGTCAAAAGATTTCCTTTCTTTTTTAAATCAGCATTTTCAGATGGGATTCGAAAAAACATGCGGGTTATATTGGTTTAAAGAATCAGGGTGCAACTTGCTATATGAACTCATTACTTCAAGCGTTTTTCTTCACAAATCAACTGCGAAAAGTGAAGATTTTCAAATGTTTCAAATTCAATAAGTAAATTTTAGGCTGTTTATGAAATGCCAACCGAAGAAGATGACTCAGAATCCTCAGTAGCTCTTGCAATGCAACGAGTATTTTATGACCTCCAATATTCTGACAAACCGGTAAGAAATTTTAAACTCAACTTTAATAACACGTTGTTCAGGTTGGGACGAAGAAACTTACGAAAAGTTTTGGATGGGATTCACTCGATTCATTTCTTCAACACGACGTTCAAGAACTGTGCCGCGTGTTGCTGGATAACTTGGAAAGCAAGATGAAAGGCACAAAGGTAGCAATTCACAAAAATGCACTTACACATTTTTTTAGGTCGAGGGCACCATTCCACAACTTTTCCGTGGCAAGATGAAATCTTTCATTCGCTGCATCAACGTTGACTACGAGAGCTCGCATGTGGATGACTTTTACGATGTGCAATTGAATGTCAAAGGAAACAATGACAGTAAGTTTTTTGACAACAATGACAGTTGTTGAAACTTTTTTAAAACATCTCAATTCAGTCTTGCAATCATTCCGTGATTATGTGGACTCGGAGAGATTGGACGGTGAGAACAAGTATGATGCTGGCGCTTACGGATTGCAACCTGCAGAGAAAGGAGTCAAATTCTTGACGTAAGTTTTGCAAATATTTTAATCCAAATATTTTCTTCTGATTTTAGCTTTCCACCAATTCTACATCTTCAGCTCATGAGGTTTCAATACGACGCGGCCATTGATGCAAATGTGAAAATAAATGATCGGTAAAAACTTCAGCTTTTTATTGTGATCTTTTTATTTAGACTTGAATTCCCGGAACGCCTGAATCTCAACGATTTTGTGGACAACCGAAGCGAAGACAACGATTTTACCTATGTGCTCCATGCCGTTCTTGTTCACTCCGGCGATTTTCATGGCGGGCATTACGTGGTCTTCATCAACACTAAGCTCAATCAGCCTCATTCCTGTGTATGTTATGATTGAACGTTAAAATATATTTTGGTTTAACAAAATTTATCTATTGTGCTTTTAGTGGTGCAAATTTGACGACGATGTGGTCTCGCGATCATCTTTCAAAGACGCCGTCACAGCAAATTATGGAGGAGAAGATTTGGAGACGCCCGGGCGAATTTACACCAACGCTTACATGCTTGTATACATTCGGCAATCATGCTTAGGTAGTGTTCGCACAACCGGATTAGCAATCATTAAATACTTTAGACGAGGTCCTTTCGACGATCAACGATAACGACATCCCAATTCATCTTCGACAAAGATTTGAGGCCGAACGGAATGAGGAGGCTTATCGCAAGAAGGAGAAACAAGAGGCTCATTTGTTCACGGAGATCATGGTTTGAAATATTCATCAAAGATAAAATTGCTCCATTTTAGTTGATCCGAGAAGAGAAATTTCAAAATCATCACGGCTTTGACCTTTTCGATGTACGACTTCTTGAAGACGAGTGCCAGAAAGAAAAGGTACCGGTTGATGGCAATCGTTTTAATCAATTGATTTAGGTAAAGAAAAAGATGAACTTGGAAGAGCTTTACCAATTTGTGGCAAGTCGGGTTTTTGGTGCGGAAGGGGAAAATGTAAGCTTTTCTTATTTATTCTCAAACATTGTCTTACTTCAGAGACTTCGAATGGATTTCCGTTTGTGGCTTTTCACTGACAATCCGCCGCGCGAAGAGACTGGCGTTAGCTTGGCAAGGATGAGGCCATCGACATTGATTACACGAGATCGAAACAAAGTAAACTTGGCAGTCTTCTTTTCTAGGCAATAAAAAGTTCAGTTGCTCGAGGACACCTTTGACAGCGATAGGAATTTGATATTTGTGGAGACTCCAACACTGTCCAATATTGGAAAACGTCTTTCCCTACAACAATATGATGACAAAAGTAATTAGAATCTTTGTAACAAAATACAAAATAATTTAGACGAAATGTTGATGTTCATAAAGCTCTATCAGCCTCGCTTGAGAACACTAACATTTTTGGGTCACATCATGATGAATTTCAGGGAGCCTTTGGCCAAGTAAGCATTTTTTTTCTCAGAAAACACCTTGTTGGTTTAGATATTCTCGTCTAATTTGTGAAATGGGTGAACTTCCCCAGGATGCCCGTCTTTCGTTTTACGAGGTACAACTTTTGATTTGTTAATGAAGTTGATGATTTTTCTAGGAAATATCTCCGGATCGGGTACGATTGGTGACAGATGTTTCCATTCAAATGTGCCATGAACAAGTTTGTTATCAACAATTTGGCAAATCAAAGTCACTTTTAGGTACTTCTCGAAATCTCTGATGGCGGAATTCTTATCGTTCAAAACGATAACGAAGCCGATACTTACAACAGCGTGGCGGTAAGCTTGATTTGTTCAGCCAGTGACAAGAGATTCTAGGATTTAGAAAATATTTTCCATTAAGTGAACGCAAATATAAGTAAACCGTTGAGGGTCGTTTAGCTTTCATTCTAGCTTTAAAATGATAATGTTTTTAGTTTTAATATTAAGAGATTTAGTTGCACATGTCCGAGTTGTACAACAACATCGAAGTGGAAATCTCTCAACATACGGAGTCGGCACAATTTGTCTTCCATCAAAACGACATCACTCCACCAATCAATGGAACCATCCATCTAGTAAATAAAGACTTGTTTCCTTTGTTCATTGTTTAATTTAGAATTGGGGAATGTACGATTTGTGTACCTGGATTGGACAAAGGATTGATTTTGACCCGCACAAGATTTTGCTTTGGAAGATGTCATCCTACAACGAGAAGCCAAGCTCATATCTTCAAGAGCCACAATATCGAGCTTATAAGGTGACTTTCAGTGCTTAGAAGCAAAAATCGTTTGTTTAGGTGAAAGATCTACTGTCACTAACTGGAAATAGCGTTCATGATCCAAGGAGACAGAAAAGGTAAAAATCATAATAAAAATTTCACAAAATAAAGTTTAGGTATCGTCTTGTGTACACCAAAATGCCAGTACCGGTGGCTGATCTCGAAAATCGGAAGCAAATAAAGGTTCAAATGATGGACGAAAAATTGAATATCACAGTTAGTTCTTTAAATTTGTATTAAATACAATGTTCTTCTAGGAGATCACTTTGTTCCCACCCAAGAATGGAAGTGTTGCCGATTTATTGGATGAAGCAAGACGAGAATTCAAATGTGCCGAGAACGGAACGGGCATTCTGAGGTAAAATATAATTTTCTTTCAAGTAATTGATTATTATTTTAGACTTGTCTATGTCGGTCTTTCTCCCAACAGCACACGTGTTTATTCCGTCTTCGAAAATCATATTAAAGTGCAAGAGGTTCATCAGAAAATTGTCAGCTCTACAATGTACACGGTAAGCTGATTACTTTATTATGAAATGCTGTTTATTTAGGCTCGAGTGGAAGAGATACCGAAAGATCAGTTGAAGATTGGATCCAATGAGCATTTGTTACCAGTAGCTCACTTTGACAAAGAGCCTTCAAGAATGTTTGGAGTGCCTTTCTTGTTCAAGGTAAGCTATTTTACAATTGCGAGTTAAATTTTTCTTTAGGTTACCGATAAGGAACCTTTCACTGAAGTGCATGAACGACTACGACAAGTTCTTGATGTTCCTGAGAAAGAATATGAAAAGGTAACTTTGATAACATGTTATTCCAATAAAAAGTATTTAGTATAAATTCGCCTTGATTGTGCAAAGCAAGATTGCGCGTCAATTGGATATGAAGGAAGAGGGTCGATTTGTGAATCTCTCCGAGATGCGGGTAGCTTCTCAAACTCACACGGTAAATGAATGCCGGCTTTTGATGTATACCACTTATTTTAGATGAGCTCTGTTGCGACAATGCCACTTTTGGGAATTGATCATCTGAACAAGTCTCGAGGGGCACGAACTGGGCATGCAACGGAGAAACCGATCATTATTCATAACTAAGTAAGTGGGTTTATTTTGAACAGATTCTAGACCTTTCGGATCTTTAAAAATTTGGCTTGTCTACTTGTGAATTACACTTTTCATTTAAATGTTTGCAGATTCGTGTACATTTCTACAACTCATTCACCCTTCGAGCTCTACCAACCAAATAAAAGCTCTCCATTTTTCCATCGATTTCTCGTTTCTTTTGGCCCATTATATTTTTTTTTCTAAACCCGGTAGCTGCCACACCCGCGTATTTTATTAAATTGTTTTTGTTACTTTAAGATCTATCTCTTACAAATCGTTTCACCTATGTATTTTTTCGGCTGACTGTTCGAGTTTCAAAAGTGTTTTGTATACATTATGCCTCGTCAGTGATATTCTTCTAATTATTCTTTTGTTGTTTCTGTATCGTTTTCATTTGCTATTGTATTTATTCCTATTTGGTAATCACGTTCGATTCCGTTAAGCGTAAATCTTGCATAAACCCCAATTAGTTTAGGCTCTCGCTGAAAAAAAATAGGATTTAAAATAGGTGGATTTGTGAGGCAAATATTGGTGTATCTAGAGTAAATACTTGAAAACTCTTTTTGACCAATTCTTTATCTGTAGAGTGATCAGGAAGTGAATTTCCTATTTAAATGGATTAATCTTATTGGCGGTCTGGTATCATTGTTGGTTTAATGTTTTATTTGGCGGCTGTTCAGCTCGAAATGCTTCGAGTTATTAAATTTGGGAATTCCCCTAAAAGTATCGTTAAACTTGGTGACGTGTGGAGGAATCTTTGAGTTTTTTATTCTCGTTATTTTTTTGTTTCGCGAGTGTGAAGGAAGCTGTGCGTATTTTCCTTTTCCCTTCTTGAGGCTCATTTAGTTGATTTTTTTGTGTGGAAAATTGTTGAAAGACATCCCATTTTTGAGTCCTATCTTCGCCGAATTCTAACCATTGGAAACATGATAAGCGAAGAATAAATAATAAAATTTGCCTTCAGATTTTTATTGATGAAAGGGTTTGCGATGGCCTTGCTGATATCGATGGTTGATTTTGTCTGTGAAATAATTTTGTTCTTCACTTTTTGCAACAACGCCTTTCCAATCGTTACTTCAGTTGAGTTACTTTCAAATAGGCGTTTTCTAGAAGGCGCTTATTTTAGAAAGCTTTTATAAACGATAAGCAAACAATTTGCAATTAGCAACGCCAGCGCCTTGATTACAATTCTTGTCACCGTCATTGCCAATGGCATGTATAAGCGACGATTCTCTATCTGCGTCAATTATTAGTTTACGCCAATCAAAGCTATAATCATTATCCCTTCAAAATTTCTGTTTTACAGGAATCTAATTACCTATTTTATTCTTCTTTTCTATTTATCTTAATTCTAATTTGGTGGCTATGCGGGTTGGGGGACCAGTGGGCTTCCAAGATGCCTCTGCCAAATTGCCAAAAAAGCGTTCCTAGGGTTTTCGGGTACGCTGATTCGATTGGCGATATTTTCAGAACCTGTTTGCGACTTATTTCTCCTTGTTTTTAGAATTTTTTTTATAAACCAACAATTTGGCAATGTGCCAGAGGGATTTCGGAAGCCCCAACTCGTATAGCTCTCTAATTTGTTTATTCAAAACAAATTCCAGGGTAACAATGATCTCTGAGACGGGTTACACGGAGCTGATGAAGAACTGCTCGAGATGGAATTCGCGGTCTTCGAATGAAAGGAAGGTGAGAAAACTGGAAAATTTACACCATTCAAAACCTTCAACTTTCCAATTCCAGCGCCGCTTGCCCTTTTTCGATCAAGAAACCTCGAAAGCACATGACGCGTCACTAGCGTTACATCGGACTCCCTATCATCGCTATCCGAGTGATGACCCAGAATATGTGAGTTTTAGAAAAACCCTTGAAAGTATGTAGTTAATTCAATTCAGATCATTCGATACAAAGAAATGCGATGGAAACAGCGAACATCGGCTCCTCCATCGGATAAGGCTCTCTATTCTCTATTTGTTCGTCAAAATCCGGCGATTGCCGATGCTGTGGCTAGACAAGGTAAAGCTTTTTTAGAGTACGAAAGTGTAGAATTCTCATATCGGTTTAGCTTCCTCATGATCTAGCTTTAGAAAGCGAGTACTGAAAGCAAGAGACTTTATGTCATTTTCGATACTTTTCTAGTTAAAATGCTAACTTTTAATAATTGTTCTTGTATCCTAGAAACGAGCCGATTAAGGCAGATCTAGTCAAGTGGTGATATGCAAATTTTGAGGGAGATCAACTTTTTTTAAAACTCTAAAATTTGCATTTAGTTATCGATATCAAGCTAAATAGTTATCGATTTATTTTCCTCAAAGCTAGTTCGATATTTCAGGTAATACGAATGTCGAGTTGGCTCCACCCACCGACAATTCGATGGACGCTTTCGTCGCTCAAGAACTCGCCGCCGCTACTCCACAAGTTTTCGTGCGAAGCAAGAAATATGTGAGTTTCAAGTTTCGAAAAAGAGTTTCTATCTAGAAAATTTGCATACAGATTTCAGGTCAAAAGTCACCACAAAAGGTTTGATCAGTTGCTTGAAAATTAGTAGATATTTTAAACGAAATTTTCACCAACTAAATTCCAGGACGAGTACGAGCGTGAAGAGGACGAATACGGACTGTCGGATAGTGGATCCGATGGTGATGATTGGGGATCGAAGCGAAAGGGTAAAAAGGGAAAACTCGGAGTGACAAAGGAGAAAAGAAAGGTAGAGTTTTCAGGGAAAAGATTGATAAAAATAAGTAGACTTGCTTATCGATAGAGTTTAGTGTTTTCTAAAGAATACAGGGGAAATTATCGTAATTTGTATTTGTAATTCTTAAAAGCTAAAAAATGCGGTGAACCGTTGTCTTATTTTAGATAACTTAAGCTTAAATCTAAACTGGCTTACTTGTAGAGTATGGTAGCTGTTTTAAAGGAGCACTTTTAAAAAAGAACGATTACTGTATTAGAATTGGGAGCATTTTGATATTAGCTTGTATGGGGATTGATAAGACTAAAGAAGCAGCCAGGATTACGATAGCTGCTTTAAAGAAGCACTTTTTAGCGATTACTGTAGTAGAATTACTATTAGGATCGACTTACTATTAAAATTTTCAGACTCGCCTCAAAACTTGATTATTGTAGGTGATTGTATAGAATTATGTATTTTTTCTAAATTCAACCCAAGCTCAGTCTTGGTGTTTTCTATTTAACACGTACTTTATCGATAAACGAGTACTGATCAATTCTATGACTATTTCAGGGGCTAGGCAATGTTGTAGACTTGACAAATGAGTAGTAAGCAAGTCTATAATTCCAGGTACCAGAAAAAGTCTACTTGCAAGTTAGTCTCCACTCTACAGGGTGACCGCGAATTATAGCGACTCACTTCTGAAGGTCAAGCTCAACGAGAACTCACTCAATGAATTCGTATGAAATTTTTGTAAGTGATTTTTGAGTATGTCTCCTGCAGCTAAGCCCATTTTCTAACTGATTTGTGCTTCTAGAATCTTTATATGTCCTTGCAAAATTGAGAGTCACGAGACACCTGGCGAAAAATCCAATTCAAGTTTTTTGAGAGCCGTTTTTGAAGTTATTTAATGAATATGATCAGATTTAAGATTCTAGAAGCACAAATTCAACTAGAAAATGGGCTTAACTGCAGGAGACATACTCAAAAATCACCTCAAAAAATTTCATACGAATTCATTGAGTTCTCGCTGAGCTAGACCCCCTCAGAAGTGAGTCGCTAGAATTCGTGATCACCCTGTATAAACCCTCTTTAAAGTCGACGGCGCCCAAGCAAAGCTCGTTCTCTCAAAAAGATGTGAAGGCAGTCCATCCATCCACTCATCGTCCCCCCTCTCCCCTTTCCGGGCCTCATCATTGCGAGAGTGAGTGTTCTGGCCGAGTCATCTCGACATCATTTTTTGTCTTTTTTTTTTTGTTCATCTTCACATTGGTCTGGGCAGGATTTTTGATATAATCTAAATATCTTCCAAGTCCTGCCACCATCAAAATGATTGTTTTTTGCTTGGCTTGGCTTTTGTGTGTCCTTTGTCCTTTTTTTGCACCATTATCTCTCGTTTCATTCACTTGCTCAACTCTTGCTTTAGCACAATAGCTCGTCTAGCGAATTTTTGAAAGCCTACTTCTAGATTATCTTCTAACTTTTAAAAGAAATGTCAAAAAGACTTACTACGTACTTTTAAACTTTGTCAAAGTACTTCAAGATGGTTTTTTTTTTCTTAAATAATGCGTTTTCTAAAAACGTGTAAACTTACGAAAAATATTGTAACCTTTTTTTTCTCTAAGTTTGAGAGAATCTAAGAAGAGATTACGATAACTTTAAAAGTTGACATGTTTTAGAAAAGACAGCGTTACTAATTAGATTAAGAAGATAATTTGGAAGTAATCTCTCAAAAATGATAATCCAAAACTGAGAGCTCAAATCGCTGAGAGTTTTGTCTCTGGATACTCGAATTTGCACGTATTTTCCCAATTTTCCAAATTTTGGCTCCCCTCCGTGAGGTCTGGGCAGAAAGGCTGTTGTTCATCGAGAAAAAAAGAAAAGACTTTTCCCCTTGATTATGGCTTTATTTATTGAAGAGATTGAAGAGATTGCTGTTTTTGATTGCGATTTTATCAACTGAATATCTTTAGAAAATTAGTCAATCAAAAATCAAAGCAAAGCCAAATTTATGCCCCTTTGTTTAACCCAAAATTCAACTTTTTTTTTTTGTAGTACCTCTGTTTTTCAAATGCATGTCTTGAGCTTCTCTTTGGTTTTTGGTTATAGAATTTCTTTTGAAATCCTTTGTTTTTAAAGTTATCTTTGATTAGATCATTTTCTAAAATGTACTCTTCACTTGAAAAGCTATCGTAATCTCTAGCTCTTTTTTTTGGATACAAAGCACTTTAGAAAATGAGATAAACAAAGAAATTACAGTCGAGAAAACCCTGCCCAGATCGAGTGGAAATCAAAAATGAATTTGATGGAGAATTTTTAATGATAAAATCGCGCCAGAGCACTCAGCATTTGTAAATGCGATCCCCCCCCCCAAAAACAAAAAGCATGTAATTTTATGTGGCTTTCAGTCGTTTTCTGTCAAAAAAATGATCTTCATTTCAGTATGCCGGGCGCAATACAAAAGTAAACCGGGTTTAATTCATCATCGTGCTTTCTGGCATGCACTTTTCCCACCACCAAACGCTCCACCACCAATGAAATGTGAGTTTTTTTAAAATTTAACATGAATTTAAACCTTCTTCCTTTAAACCTTTAAACCTTTAAACCTTTAAACTTCAAGAATTCACTGAATATTAGTTATTTCTGTATATTGTAGTAATAAAAAATAAGAAATAAGAAATTTAGCTTCTTACCAAAAAAAATTCAACTTTAGTATTCTCACCGAACGTCGATATCTCTACGGAATGCGATTTTTGCAATGGGGATCGCTTTAAGAATGCTCAGGGGAAAGCGGAGGATCTTGTTTCGTGTCATGATTGTGGTCGATCAGGTAGCAAATCGTTGCCAACAAGTTTTCACGAATTTTTTTGCGAAAATAAAAAAGTTTTCGCAGCGAGCAGGGTTCGAACCTACGCGGGCAGAGCCCATGAGATTTCAAGTCTCACTCCTTAACCACTCGGACATCGCTGCTGTGAAAGGGGGCAGCGAGAAAAGGGAGAAGAGAGAAGAGACTCTTTTAGGGCATCCAAGTTGTCTGAAATTCACGCCAAATATGCAATTGTCGACAACGAAATTTGGATGGCAATGTATTGAATGCAAAAGTTGTGCGATTTGTGGAACTTCGGAGAATGATGTGAGCTTTGAATTTTCAAATCTATTCTCTAAAATTAGTTTTATATAGAAATTTACAATCAATTCAGGTTGCTAGTTAATTCTTGAGTTTATTTTAGTAGAAAGATGCTCAATTTCTCTATTTCTTGATAGGAAAAAGATTAAAAAGACAATAATGTCACTAGATTTTTTACGATAGTATGAATCAAAGCTGAATTTCTTTAAATCTTTAATTTCTTTAACTTCTTTAACTTCAACATCTTTAAATCTTCAAAAAATGATTCCAATTCAAATTTTGATTACAGATTCAGATTCCCCGTTCAATTTTTTTATCGAATGGGCTGGGTCTTGAACGATGAGCTAACATTCTTCCGTAATTAATCTTTTTTCTAACCTGGTTCTAGGTTTTGTTTGTACAGAATGCGTCATCTTTACTCACACTCACTCTAGAGGGGTGTAGCTCAGTCAAAAGATAACCGATTCCAAATCAATTCCAATTCAAATTCAAATTCAAATTCAAATTCCAGGACAAGCTTCTCTTTTGCGATGATTGTGATCGTGGTTTCCATCTTTATTGTCTCCGTCCAGCACTTGAATCGGCTCCAGAAGGAGAATGGTCTTGTCACATGTGTCAGAGAGCGTTTGGATCGAATGCGAGTGCTCCCGGGGCACCGCCGATCATGCCACCACCAAGTAACAATAAATTTGAAGATTTTAAAGCTATAGTATTGGGTTGATGGAAAAGTCCTTTCCGATTTTTTGGGAGAGTACCTTAAATTTGTCCAATTTAGACGTTTTATAGCTCATCCTAAAGCTGAATTCAAGACGGATCGATTGGTAAAAACCGTTTTGAGATATCTCTTTTCGAAAAGTTTTTACAGCTATTTTAGTAAAGGGCGGCAGAGCCAAAAAATGGCTTTTTTCACGTTTCGTGCAGAAACCTAGGCTAGGCTGAAGTCCACGTTTCTTGCAGAAACCTAGGCTGAAGATTTTAAAGCTATAGTATCTGTCTAATCTAAAGTCTAACAAAAGTATCAATGTGTTAAGAACAAATATCGACTAGAGATAAAAGAGCATTGTCTGTTTTTCTATTTCTATAGGCTTTTTCTCCACCATCTTTTCACTAATAAAGCTAAAACTTCTTTAGAAAACCCCTTAGAATATAATAGAGTTTTTGCAATTTAAAAGAAAAAAAAAATGAAAAGTCGATGCATATGCATAGGCAAAAGAAATTCCTTAATTCCAGGTGCAATGGGTTTTCATGGAGGACCTCCAATGGGTGGACCGATGCCCGTTCTGATGCCCCAACCGCCTCGCTAAGAAGCTCGCAAAATCTTCAAGTTTTCTTTATCGATACAAAAGTGCAAAATAAGGAAACTTGAATCTTTTGAGTGAAACATCATGATGCTTTCGATTATCGCACTAATATTGGATCATTTGATAATCCAGCCGACCTTTTCCCCCCAGTATTTTCCCCTCCAATTCCTCTCACTTTCTTCAGGTTCTTTGGTCATAATGTCATAAACTTTTTTTGGTAAAAGTGACTCTGGTGAGGGAAAATTGAGAATTAGAAAATCGGATTGTTGAAATTTGAAGTTTAAAAATAGTTAGCGTATCAGCAAATAGCAAATTATCAAATAGAAATTATAAAAAATAGCTGAATATTTTAGTATTTATAGTTATTTTGTGGTTTTTTTTTAAAATCGTTACCGTATTTGTTCGAATAGAAGACCGGGTAAAGAGTATGATCGCGTACTCCTGCGTAGCAGCCCTTTTTAAAATTTCTTTTCTGCATAAAAGCTTTCAATCAAGTGCTATAGAGCTGGAAAATGGCTCAAAAATCTGTTAGCTCGTGTGGTATTTTTGAGTCATTTTCCAGCTCCATAGCACTTGATTGAAAGCTTTTATGCAGAAAAGGAATTTTAAAAAGGGCTGCTACGCAGGAGTACGCGATGATACTCTTCACGCGGTCTTCTATTCGAACAAATACGGTAATTTATTTTCTATTCTGTACCTTAAGCAAATTTACTGTAAATACTGTATTTTTAAAAAGCTTTTGAGCTAAAAGCAAAATTCTGAATCATAGAAAGCGATCGCTATCACCGGAGTCACTTTGAACCATCATTTATCATAAACATGAGCTTTTAAAGAAAACGAGTCACTTTCACGTTTTAGCAAACAGCTTTTTGTTCTCTAAAGCGTGAATACAATGCTATTTAGAGATATTTTGATCTTTAGAAGTATCAGCTTAAGAAAACAAGCTTTGCTATTAGCTTTGCTATTTGCTATTTGCTAAAATGTGAGACTGACTCGTTTTCTATAAAAAGCCCATGTATTTATAAAAAAAATCAAAAATATCTCTTACTTTATCGATTGCCCATTGCATTGAAACATTCTCATGAGATTATCGACGTTCATTTTTTTGTACCTTTGGTGGAGCTTTTGTTGTGTTTTATTTTGTGAAAAGTCATGTCACTTTTTTTTTCCTTTCATCAGTAGCTCTTTAGCTATTTCATAGCTTTAGTAAAAAAAATCGTGTACTAATTTATGTGTTGTGAATAAATTTTGACAAAAGAAAAGGAGACACGCTGAATGATTACCGTTTTCTAAAAGATGAAAAGAGCTACCGTAACCCCTCTTTGGTAAGAACAAGCCTCATTTTTGCCTCTGGCTGAACATTAGAAAGTGACTAGTTAGCATCGGGATTACGGTGTTTTCCTGAAGTGCATCTTTTAGAAAACGCTTTAGATGAGGCGTCGAGAGCTTGACTTACATCTTGTTCTTGATGTTGTTTACAATAAAATAGTTACATAATCTAGAAGAGGCTAGATTACGGTATCCTATTTTAGTCTATTCTTCCCTATTGTCTATTCTATTCTATTTTAGTCTATTCTATTCTATTCTAGTCTATTCTAGTCTAGTCTATTCTAGTCTATTCTATTCTATTCTAGTCTAGTCTATTCTATTCTAGTCTATTCTATTCTAGTCTATTCTAGTCTATATTCTATTCTATTCTAGTCTATTCTATTCTAGTCTATTCTATTCTAGTCTATTCTAGTCTAGTCTATTCTATTCTATTCTAGTCTATTCTATTCTAGTCTATTCTATTCTAGTCTAGTCTAGTCTAGTCTATTCTATTCTAGTCTGGTCTATTCTATTCTATTCTAGTCTATTCTATTCTATTCTATTCTAGTATATTCTATTTTCTAGTCTATACTTTAGTCTATTTTTAAAAGGCAGAAAAGACAAAGCTGAACATTTACTGACTAGCTCGTTTAACGTTGAATCCAGTTATCCTTGTCTAAAACGGAAAACGCAATTTATTTTTGCAATTTCTTCATCGAATCTTTTCATAGTCTACTTTGGTAAATTTTCTATTGTCGAGGGAAAACGTGAAATGAAAACATTGAAGAGAATTGTTTTGTAATCACTAAATTGATATTCGACGTAAACATTAGCAATCAAATTTTGACAACACAAGAGTTTCAATTTGTTGTCTAAAGATTCGACTTTGCATAAAAACGACTGATGAAATTGCTCATGACGAAATAGATGATGCAATTGAGAGAAAAGGATCTAGTTGGGGAAATAAGCCGTTTTTACTTGCCGCAAATACTGTAATAGTACCCCATCCCCCTCGTACAGTCGCGTAGTCGCAAAAGTTTTTTAGTATTTCATTTGCAAAGCACCCGTACTTTCAAAAATGCGTCTTTGGTATCAAAAATAGCGCTGAATTTCAGCTATTTTTTTAATACCTAAGCGCGCATTGTAGCATAAACTAGTGTCGAGAAAAATGCGTTCAAAGCTAGACTACGCGACACTCCGCAACTCATTATGGCGGTGGGGTACTATTACAGTATTTACGGTGGGTATTTTTATCCGACTGGTCGATTTTGTCCTAGAAAGGTCCAAGGCCAATTGAAAGCTATTGGCTTTGGATCTTACCATAAATACTCTAATAGAAGCCCCCTTCTATAGGAGCGTCGCGTAGTCTAAGTTTACACTCAAAGAATCGCTCATATCTCGGCGGTCAGAAATTTGTTTCTGCGCGCTTAGGTATCAAATTAAAGTAGAGAGAATGGGTGACTTTTTAGGTATAACACTTATTTTTAGCACTGACCAGCGCTTAGAATAACATGATTGAAAAATCGGCTCTAAAATCGGCTCTTTTTGCCACTTTTCAATCATTTTGCTCTAAGCACTGGTTAAAGTTAAAAATATGTGTTATATCTCAAAAAATCACCCATCCTCTCTACTTTAATTTGATACCTAAGCGCGCAGAAAAAAAACGTACTGGTGTTAAGATATAAGCGTTTGTTTGAGAGTAAACTTGGACTACGCGACGCGACGACGGGGAGGTTTCTATTAGAGAATTTACGGTCACTTTTTTTGCTAACCCTGCTCTAGACCAAAAATTGATCGACAGAGGTTGATGTGAGATCAATTTTGCGGAAATTGTGCCAAGGGCAAGTGTTCGGTCCTTTCTTTCGCCTATCTGCCCAACTATTTATCTGCAAAAGGAGGGAAAAGATATGTTTTTACCCTTTCTCTTTTCCCTATTCAATCTTGTTTGTGTGAAGAGCGGGGAGAAAAGCTGGCTTGGCTGCGCTTCTCGCATTGTCCCTATATTTCTCCATCTTTTTTTCTACTTCACCCCTTAGGACCCGGGATGTGCTTCTTCCTAGTTACTTTCAGTTTTTGATCGAAATACCAATAACATCTTTGTTTTCTTGAGTCTAGAATCGAAATTTTAGCGTCAGTTTATTGGCTTAAAATGGATTTGATTCAAATGTTTTATTTATTCATTTACTTACTTATATTTATTAACGTTAACCGCCTTAACTTATTCATTATAGGTGTATGGACACAGAGAAGAACCCATGGCCTCCGCTTGTGCATGAGTATCCGATCGACCATCAAGATGATTTTGTGCAACATGGAGATGAGGCCGCCGATGAGATTGGACCGCTTGAAGCTGTCAGGATCCGAGAACGACAAGCAAAAAGGTTGAGAAAACTTTAAAATTTGTCTTGAAGTTGAAAAGCCGTCAAAGCTATAGACTAATCGGCTTTGTCGGGGTTAGGGAACTTTTCAATGGGAAGACAAGCTTCAAATGTTTAGAACTTTTTTTATTTGGCTGTCCAGAAAGTCTTTTTGTTCCTTTTCGTGCTTGCGTTCAAGAAATAACAAATTCACCAATTAACCTATGGTTTGCTCTAAATAAAAAGTGTTGATTGTTCAATTTCCCGTCTTTTTAAGTCAATTTGGGTTCAACAAGCAAATTCAAGAGTGAAGGCGTATTTTTCGTAAAAATCTTTAAAAACCTCTACGAGGAAATTGGCTGAATGAATTTCCCTGAAAATTTGGCTATAGATCTAACTTTTTGTGCTCTATCTTTTATCTATTGACACGAAGATAGGTTTCCTTAGTTAAAGTGTCTAAACCGCATCATCGAGCCGTCGCCCTTTTTGACTACCCGACTTCAAAAAACAATCCAAACATAAGACATTTTAAACCCGTTTTAATGTCATTTAGGAGAAAAATAATTGGCCTTTCTAATGAAACAAACCGTAGTTCAATTGGTGCATTTGTTGGTTTTAAATGGAAGCACGAAAATGAACGAAAAGACTTTCTGGACAGCCTAATAGAAACAACATTTTTCTATACTTTTTACATATTTTAATAGAAAATTTTTCTAATAAGACCTCTAATTTTTAATTTTTTTCTCTAATGAGACCAAAGATTAGCTCTAAGTTCTCAAGTTGAATCGCATTCACATTCATTTTCTCGAGATTGTTCTTTCCAATTGAGCTTTTTTTAGTTTCATTCGAAAGCGAGAAATTTTTCTATTAATATTTATAAAAAGTAAAAGCAAATGTTATTGCTGAAAAAAGTTATGTGCATTTGAAGCTGGACTACCCATTTAAAAGCGACCTAAAAAAAGTTTCTAAAAATCGCTCTTAACAAAATTTCTATACGAAAGTTTTAAAGCAAATTAAAAAGCTCTCACATTCAAATCAAAAGATCACTTTTTATGTAGTTTATTGTTAGGACAAAAATCTTTATATTGATTCGAAACCAGCACTTTGAGAGATTTCATTCTTGTTTACTTCACCTAGCCATGCGTCCCCTTTCCTCTTAAGTTCCCACTATTTTCTCAAAAATTGACCAAGAAAAGAAATCCTTTTCGGGAGAATTCGAGAGAATTTTCTTTTCCCTTTTGCGTTGTTTGTTTCACAGACAGTTTCCCCCCAATTTCCTTCTCTTTTTCTCTCCTTTCTCACCGATTTCTCCACGTAAAAATAGCCAAAAATTGCCAGACTTTTCCTGGCTATGACAAAATTTTTGCAACTTTTCTAAAAACCGTCATTTCTTTGTTAAAATGAAGAAGCATGCACATCATCACCATCATCACCCATTTCGGCAAAGTCCTCGACCGTTGCCTAAACTTTCGATGAGGTTGGATAGGATCACATTATTCTTTCAGTTTAGCTGCTATTTAAATACCACAAGGATTTAGAATTTGTAGCAAAGCACAGCCAAATTTAGGGCAAGAATTGATCTCAGAAATTTGGGCATAGTGACAGGTCAAAAGTTTAAATGTAAACTTCCATCCAAACTTAATTCGAGTTCATTCAAATTATCTTAATAAGTTAATTGCCAATTTATGAGTAAAAAGTTAAGTTTTGGAATCTAAAGTTGACCAAATTTCTATATCACTTTGTTAAAGTGATGGCTTTTCATGCGGTTCTGTTTGTTTGTTTGCACAAGCCATCGCTTGAGTGCTCTCTGCCTTGGAAATAAGCTTTCACTTTAAATGAAGAATAGATTTTAAAAATTGTAATCAAATGTAAGCAATGATTTTTCTTTTAGAATGGACTCGATCATTCCAGTGATGGGCCGAGAAGGGGCCAATATTCAGCTCAATCTCTACAGGGGAAGAACGGTGGCCGTTTTCACGTCTGGCGGTGATTCTCAAGGTAATACTTACTTCTTACTTATAATTCTTCCTTAATTGCAATTGGTTATACTTAAAGGATTACACGGTTCAGCTTTTCAATTAAATCAAAATAATGAAACCGTAGAGCTTGTTTGCTTTTTGCTTCTTGAGCTGTACAAAAACCCACCGTAAGTATTGTAATAGTACCCCACCCCATAATGAGTTGCGGAGTGTTGCGTAGTCTAGCTTTGAACGCTTTTTTCTCGACACTGGTTTATGCTACAATGCGCGTTTAGTTATTAAAAAAATAGCTGAAATTCAGAGCTATTTTTTGATACTAAAGACCCATTTTTGAAAGCCTAGGAGCTTTGAAAAAATGAAATATTAAAAAATTTCTGCGACTAGGCGACTATTATGGTATTTACGGTAAAGAAACTTGAGCTTTTTTAGGAATGAACAGTGCTGTTCGATCGGTTGTTCGAATGGGAATCTATCTTGGATGCAGGGTTTATTTCATCAATGAGGGATACCAAGGAATGGTCGACGGTGGAGAGCATATTGGTTAGTTGGCAAATTGGATTTTTGGTGATAGGCATGGCAAACGAAGCCTTTTTAAGAGCTTATCGACACTTAGAAACGATACTTGACAAGAAACTAGTATCGATAAGTCTAGTCTAGCCTCAAATCTATCGGAAAGTATTGATGAATCAAAGAGGTATCGGTAAAGCCTCGTTAGCCAAGTCTAATAATATTCTTATTCCAAACAAACACACTCATTGCTCTAAAACTAGTATGTCACATTATCACTTTCATCTTTTTCCAGCTGAGGCTACTTGGAACTCCGTATCGGACATCATTCAAAAAGGAGGCACAATCATCGGATCGGCTCGTTGTGCTGATTTTCGTGAACGCGAGGGCAGAAAGAAGGTAATTTTAGTTAAATCCACCCTATAACAACAATTGACCTTTAATCTTTTTTTGTTCCTTTTCTTGGACAAATCGATATCACGCGTTTCTGAGTTTATGCTGTGATAGCTGGCAAAAAAGAAAACAATTGGTGATTTGGTTGAAAAAAATGAGAGATCAAAGATTGGTTTGGAAATTGTTATTTATCTAAAAAAACGGTGAAATTGTACAAAATTTTAGGCGGCTTACAACTTGATCTCTCGTGGAATCACGAATTTGGTGTGCATCGGTGGAGATGGATCGTTGACTGGAGCGAACACTTTCAGAAAAGATTGGCCCGGACTGCTGGAAGAGTTGATCAAAGATGGAACTGTAAGAAAGATCGCCAACTTTTACCGAAAGCTTCTAGATTTCACAAGAGCTCGCCGATCAACACCCGAACATTCAAATTGTTGGATTGGTTGGGTCGATCGACAACGATTTTTGTGGTTGGTTTTGTATTTTATGATCAAAACCCATGGAATTCCGGAATACTCAAGAATGACAATTATTTCTTTTTCAATTTTAGGAACCGATATGACAATCGGAACGGACACAGCCTTGCAAAGGATCATTGAAGCGGTGGACGCTGTCGTCAGTACGGCTCAATCACATCAAAGAGCTTTCGTTGTTGAAGTGAGTAGCCATTACTATATTGACTCTGATAGAAACCGCCCTCCAATAGAAGCCAGGCAGTTCTGGAAATAGCCCAGCCCTGTCTTTCACTTCAACCCTAATCACGCCTGACAAATTGTACAGGGTGCGGCAGGATTATTGCAACCACCTCAGGGCAGCAATGTTAGTTCCAGCAACTTTTTAAAAGGAAGTAGTTTTCCCTGTTTAATATAACTTTAAAAATCAATTGTTAAAGTTTTTGAATTGATTTCTCTGTTATCGGTTTCTATCCGTAAAAAAATATTGGTTGCAATAATCCTGCCACACCCTTTAGACTCCAATTTACTGGCTGAGTCAAGGCTCCCAATCCCCTATCTCCCATCAGATTACCCAGCTCTAACTGCAGATGAAAGAGCACTCAGCTAACCCTAGATTCTGCCGATTGGAGTTGACCTGATTAGTGGGTGTTCTTGATGAAGAAGGGATCGAAAGTTGGCTTTTATCAGGTATGAAACAGTTGTAACAATTTCTGAAAAGTTGGAGTCCAGTTAGAGTAGAGCTATAGCTGACAAAAAGCCAACTTTCGACCATCAAGAACACTCACTAATCAGGTCCAACTTTAACTCGACCCGGCAGCCAGCTCCGCTCTAGTCCCTAGCCCCACTCGGGAGAACAACTCTGAATCCAACCTCTGGATTCGAGCCGAAAAAAATAGAAGTCACGGCTTCTATTAGAGACAGTACTGTACTTATCATCTATACCTAAATTAATGTCTTTATTGCACAAATTTCGATTTTTTAGGTGATGGGTCGTCATTGTGGTTACCTTGCACTTGTGGCTGCTTTGGCGTCAGAAGCCGATTTCTGTTTCATTCCTGAATGGCCACCACCATCCAACTGGAGAGATATCCTCTGCCAGAAACTCTCGGTGATGAGAGGTGAAGGACAACGGCTGAACATCATTATCGGTACGGTTTGACTCTAGTGAGTCCTGGGGAAGTCAGAAGTTACATGATATCTTTCAGTTGCGGAGGGTGCAATAGATCGAGACGGAACAGCAATCTCAGCCGACATGGTGAAAGACGTTGTGAGCAAGACGCTCAAGTACGACACCCGAGTCACCGTTTTGGGTCACGTGCAAAGAGGAGGACATCCATCAGCTTTCGATCGGATTCTCGGATGTCGAATGGGAGCTGAGGTTGGGTTTAACAATTATAAACTATAAATTTCTCGTTTTGTAACTAAAACTCAAAAAAGTAGCAGTTTGAATTGCTTAAATGTATGTTTTGCTCAATTTGTATCTAATTTTACTATGACTCAATCGCTAACTCTCAATTATAGGCCGTTCTTGCGCTGATGGAGATGACACCCGAATCCGAACCGTGTGTGATTTCAATTGATGGAAATTCAATGGTAAGAAGATTTTGAGTACTTGGGTCTTTTCCCATTCAAAGAAATGCAAATTTGCATGGATAAGAGTTGCAGGAAATCAATCAAGTTCAGTCGTTCTTATCCACATCCCCACAAATTTCATTTGTAAATTGCTGAGGTGTATGTAAATTTGCGTCGCGAGAAGTACCGATTTTTGTTTATTTAAATTTCAACTTCAATTCAGGTACGCGTTCCTTTGATGCAATGTGTCGAGAGAACACAAGCTGTTCAAAAGGCGATGAATGAGAAGGATTGGGAAACTGCAGTTAGACTTCGCGGGAGATCTTTCCAAAGAAATCTTGACACGTATCGTCTTCTCACCAAGTTGCATCCAGAGAAGGACAACTTGAGTGGAGGTCATCATTTCAACGTGGCCGTCATGAATGTTGGAGCGCCAGCTGGAGGTGAAAACATCGATTTTTGCTTAAAACTGTGCTTAGAACTGATTGTCAATAAGTGTACAATGGAAAAACGCGATTTGATCACTTAAAAAGGCAACTTTTTCCGGGGTTTCTTGCCACAGCTTTTCAAGCCCTATCTTTGGTCTATAAAACTGAAAAAGTGCCGTTTTAAGTGGTCAAATCTCGTTTTTTCCGTTGGACACCTATTGAAAATCAGACGGACAAATGAACAGCTCTAACTGTGATTATCCAGGCATGAATGCGGCTGTTCGGTCTTTCACGCGTATCTCTCTTTACCATCGTTGCACCGTTTGGGGAATAAACGATTCGTTTGAAGGATTGATGAAAGGAAAGCTGACGGTAGCTTTTGAAAAGCCTTTAAATGGAAATTTTGATTCTTTCAGGAGTTGAAATGGAGCACGGTGACGAATTGGGTGATGCATGGAGGGTCCTTCCTTGGCACACAGAAGCAACTGCCCACCGCGGAGACGATACCGAAAATCGCGGAAACCCTGAAGAAGTTCAACATCCAAGCATTGCTACTCGTTGGAGGGTTTGAGGTTTGGAGGCCGAATAACAGTCTAGTGAAAATAGGAGTGCTTAGGGCGAAATTAGGGCAAAAATTCCAAGTTTCCAGGCCAACCCAAAAACTTTTACTCAATTGCCCCTAAATCCAGCTCAAGCCAAAGCTCAACCAAGGGAGGATTAGGCAAAATCCGAGGTGGAAATCCCAAGCCAAGGCCAATTGAACGCCATTGATTTTGGCTTGGCTTGGCTTTGGCTTGACTAGCCATTAGACTTGGGAATTTTCGATGTGAACGCCAATAGGCGTGCAACGGAAAAATGGCGCATCTCGGTACATCCAATTTCACTCTGATCTTTTTGATTTTGATATCAATTGACGCAGAATTTCATTTTCTATCGATTGGAATCAAAGACAGAAAGAGATCGAAAAATTGGCTAAATTATTGCATTTTTCGTCGGACACCTATTGACGTTTACACCAAAATTTCACAGGTCTACTAGCCATGGCTTTTGACTTCTTAGAACAGCCCTCTTGGGCAAGCCAAATATCAAAATTCGAGCCTTCCGATTGCAGCATCGATCTTTTAGGCATACCATTCTACTTTGATTCTCTCGCAACACAGGGATAAATTCCCGGAACTTCAAATCCCGATGTGTGTCATCCCATGCACAATCTCCAACAATGTGCCGGGTAACCGCTCTAGCATTTATCACGGATTAACGTCAAATTTAAGGAACTGTGCTATCTCTGGGCTCGGATACGGCTGTGAACGAAATTTGCTCACAAATCGACAAGATCAAACAATCAGCTACGGGAACGAAGCGTCGAGTTTTCATCATTGAGGTGAGGTTGGAAAGCAGCCAAGAATTTAGTTTTTTTGCTTTAGACAATGGGCGGCTATTGCGGCTATTTGGCGACCGTTTCGGCTATTGGATCGGGAGCGGACAATGCTTACATTTTTGAGGAGGACTTCACCGTTGAAGATATCATTGAGGATGTGCGGGTGGGTTTTTGGAAGTTTCTGGAATCGGTAATTTTAAAATGCAAAAATTGCAATATTCAGGTGATCACACAGAAGATGGAGAAAGGCGTTCAGCGGTACTTGATCGTGCGAAACGAGTGCGCCAACAAGAATTACACGACCGAATTCGTGCAGCAGCTTTTCGCCGAAGAAAGCCACGGAGAGGTGATTTGAAAGAAAAAGCTTTGCTATAAAATTTGCTTTTAGTTCTCAACTCGTATCAATGTTTTGGGACATGCACAGCAAGGTGGAAGTCCGACACCATTCGATAGAAATATGGGTCAGTTGATTTGATAAGATCTCTAACGATAAGTTTCAGGCACAAAGTTGGCAGCTCGAGCCACCGAACACTTGATGACGTTGATGAAACAACAATTCGACGGCAAGAACTCGGCAAATACGTAGGTTGATGTATTCTTTAACCATCCATGAAGGTTTTTCAGTCCTGATACAGCTGTCCTACTTGGCCTCAATGGAAGAAGAGTTGTCTTCACTCCGGTTGCCGAGTTGGCTGAGGTTTGTTGTTTTTTAAGCATTAAAATGGAGAAACATAGTCGGAAAATCCAAAAAGTAGCAATTAAGGATAATTTTTTTCCCTGGTCTTTGACCATTAAATTACGATTTCAAGATAAAACCGAAAATTTTTTTGCTCCTAACCCTTCTTTGAACCGGGAAATAATTCGAGAAATGACTACGATATTTTGAAAAGCGTTCTCAGTATAGAATTTTTTACCCAAAAAATGAGAATGTAGCTCGGACAAGTACATAATGAACAAATGTTGTTCAGGAAACCGATTTCACACATCGTTTACCCAATCAACAATGGTGGCTCAAATTGCGTCCCCTTCTTCGCATTTTGGCTAAACACGCGGACACCTATATGACTGAGGCACTCGAGGATTCGGAGGGAGAAGGGATTTAAGAAAATTTCTTTTTTTTTCTATATAGGTTTCTTATAGTTAGAATTTAGCGGATTAGTTGTGAATCTGAAAACTTTTCGCTACTTATTGTACTGCTAACACCGATTTTGCCATAATTTGACTGGTCATGTGTATTTTATCCCATTTTTTAACAGTCCTGAATTGCTTTGTAGTTTTATTTGTATTTTAATAAATGATTTATGAAAAAGTTTCACTTTTTTAACCCCGACAAAATCCGCGAACACAACAGTTGCACGAGGCACCGAATTGGGAACGTTGGAAGAATGAAGACATCTGGAATTGGGGAATTTTTGAGTATACTGTAGTAAGAGCACGAAAAAGAATCCGGGCTCCAAAAAGTAAGCACTGAAACGGGGAAAAGACTGTATTTGTCTGATTGTCAATGGGCGTATAGCGGAAAAACGAGATTTGATCACTTAAAAGAGCTTTTTTTCAGGATTTCTTGAAATATAGAATTTTCGAAAGCTTTATCTTTTGGTCTAAAACCCTTTGACAGGTCTACTGACAATCAGATCAACAAATGAATAGCGCTAATACAATTTATCGTACTTATCATTTTCCCCGGAATCTACAGTATACCCAAGGATCGAAATCGTCATATGATTGGTTTTTTAAAATAAAAGCTCTTCACTTACCCCAAACCAGAAGCTGCTCTGGATCACCGATTGGCAACAACGGGTGCAATCCTGAAAAGAGAATTGGGGGAAAGGCTTTTGTGAGATTTGGAAAAGTTTTTGGACATTTTTAAGCAGTATCTAGAAAGTTATTGCTCAGTTATTTCTCAAGAACTCACAAATCCTCCACCAAATCCACCGCCAAAACCGAAACCGCACGAGCCGCCGCCACCGATTGGCACTTGACGGCAACCTGCAAATGAAAGGCTTTGAAGAAATTCGATTTTGATATTTTGAAAAAACTTTTCTAGCATTCTGTAGTATTGATAAACTATCGTAATCAATTAATCAATAATCAATTTTATCTTATTTTCTGAAGAGTTCTTGTTTATTCTCGTAAACAAACTTGGTGGACACGACGGGAAATTTGGTGGTGGGAAGCGCGGTGGGAATGGGTTACCGCCGGGGAACTGAAAATTGAGATTAGAATCAAAATAGGATTGAAATCAATGAATTGTACCCCTCCTTGATTCGACGGTGGTGGGATTGGCTAAAAATCAAGGGATTTTTCTAAGCTTTATCCGAGAAAATCACCTGTGGAGGAGAGGGGAGAGGCTGCGGTGGGACTGGTTGAGGCTGGAATTGGGATAAGTTTTCGGGAAATTGCTTGTACTTCCCCAAGATCGATGCAACTAGTTTTCTAGCTCTATTAGCAAGGAGATCAGCAAGGAGATCAGCAAGGAGATCAGCAAGCAGATCAGCAAGGTGATCAGCAAGCAGATCAGCAAGGTGATCAGCAAGCAGATCAGCAAGGTGATCAGCAGCAGATCAACAAGCAGCTCAGCAAGCAGATCAGCAAGGTGATCAGCAGCAGATCAACAAGCAGCTCAGCAAGCTGAACTCGATTTTTGCTGGGTTTTCAACGGAAAATTGGTTTTTTCAGATGGGTAGCTATTTGGATTCGGTTTTGAAAGCCTAACTCAGCACTCCATTGTTGCAATCATCTCACGCTTTGTTTTAATAGAAAATAGAAATATTTTTCTATAGTGAAGTCTTAAATTTAACGAGAAAAAACTTTCTCTATCTTTTTTATAAAACCTCAAAGTTTTCAGATTGGCAGGAGTTGCTTGACGGGTTTAGGCTTAGGATTTAACAAAAATTTTAGTGATAATAAACGTTTCAGCGCTTAATTTAATTTAATTTGGTTACATTTACCTAAAGCTTCAAGATCATTTAACAGAAATTGATAAATTTCGGTTGACACGGTCATCTTTTGAGAAGCCAACGCTTAGACTCATGTGAAGCAAGGATTCCCAATTATTTTGCTGAATTTAATGTCAATGTTACCATCTAATTTGTTTAATAATGTTTAAAAGGTATTGCAAAGACAAAGAAATGCTCAATCTGTTTTCTAGAAATGAAAAGCCGCCAAAAACAAGTGCAACGTCAAGCAACTTCTGACTAACAACTTTGATGGTCTATAAAAAACGATAGAAAAGTCTTTTCTAGTCAAATCTAAAAATCCAATATAGAAAAATATTTCAATATTCTATTAAAACAAAGCGTGGGATGATTGCACATCTGTGTGTTGAGTTACACTTAAATATCGAGTCCAGGTTCAATTCAAGTCCAATCATTGAAAACCCTCGACTCTAGGTAGGCCATAAAGTGAAAAGAATTGGCCTTCTATTTCTTTAAAAGTTAGCCATGAACTGTTCTGGCTTTTCCGAAGACTTTTTGGGTCATTTTGTGAAGCAAGAGTTGTGTTAACTGACCTGTTGTGGTTGTCCACCCATCTGTCCTCCACTTCCTCCACTTCCACTTCCTCCACCACCACTGTTTGACTTAAATTTAACACTTTTCCTATTCAATTTCCTATTAAGATCTAGAGAATGATCTAGAGAATGATCTAGGGAAAGATCTAGAGAATGATCTAGGGAATGATCTAGAGAATGATCTAGGAAGACAGAAGAAGAGAAAGGAAAGAAGGAAGGAAAGGGGAAAGGAAAAGGGAAAGAAAAAGGAGGAAGGAAGGGAGGGGGGGAGGGGGGGGAAAGATCTAGAGAATGATCTAGGGAATGATCTAGGGAATGATCTAGGGAATGATCTAGAGAATGATCTAGAGAATGATCTAGGGAATGATCTAGGGAATGATCTAGAGAATGATCTAGGGAATGATCTAGGGAATGATCTAGGGATCTAAAGCAAAACTTATTAGAGAAAACACTCCAAAAACTCTCTTGATACTTGTCCATCTGTTTAGCGCTTTTATTTATTCAAAATTTGAATCGATTAAGCTAAAGCCATAAAGCTAATGAAGCCATGAAGCTTGGAAATGATGCTAATGACAAATAGCTAATGACAAAAATTCCAAAATTAGCATTTAATGATGTACATTTGATCTAGACTTAAATGAATGATTTGATAGACAAGTATCCTTTTGTAAACTCACTCCTCCTCCTGGAAAGCCACCGCCAGGGAAACCGCCTCTCTAAAACGTTTCGATTTTTCGTTTAGATTCAAGATTAAAAGGATTTATTTTAGTTCTAAATATAAGCAATGAAAATGACTGACCCCACCGTCTCCTCTCCCATCTCCGGAGCCTCTGCCACCGTCTCCTCTTCCTTCTCCGGAGTCTCTGCGACCGCCCTGCGAAGTTTTTTAATGCAAATTTGACAAAGGAATTTATGAAATAACTCTTAAAAAAATGTTGACTTTTAAAACTGTTTTTTCTGAAACATAAAAAGGTTTATTTAATTTTGTCAGCTGCGAGCCAAAAAAGCCAAAAAAAGCCAATTTTGTCAGCTCCGAGCAGTTAACCCTTTTGTTACCTGTCAGCTCCAAACCAAACTAATATTTTAGTTACTATTGTTATTATTGAATGATTTGTCTATTCTTATGTAAACGTCTCCCCTGTGCTTATCCCTTTTATTGCAGAGAAGGGGCGATCCTTGGGATTGCCTAGGAGGACAAGTGAGACTCTGGATTTGGAGTCCCTCCTTCCCCTTACACTCATTTGTAATCTATTCATCTTATTGTACTACTGTAAATAAAGATACATATCTTCCGGGTTTATGCAACTGCAGTACAGGTCGGTCATTTCCCAAGGACTCCCCTCTAATCCGTTGGAGGAGTTGAGTTGGGTTGTCGGGGTGTTAGAGATGGCGGGATATCAAAAGGGATTCATTCTCTTTAACTTAACTCAAACTTTTCAAACTTTCACAAATACCACATGAGCTAACAGATTTTTGAGCCATTTTCCAGCTAATAGCACTTGATTGAAAGCTTTTATGTAGAAAAGAAATTTTAAAAAGGGCTGCTACGCAGGAGTACTCTTTACCCGGTCTTCTATTCGAAGAAATACGGTACTTACTCTAGGAACGCACTCTAGTTAAGATTATTTTAGGCAAATTTTTCTAAAGCTTACTCGTCCTCGATCGCCATCCCCTCGGTCACCGCCACCACCCTAAAAAAGTTCTTGGATTCTTGGTTCTCGGATTCTTGGTTCATGGAGGTGCATTTTTAGGTTTATAAAGTAATAAAGAGTCTGTTGTTCTGTTTCATTTCATTTCATTAGCATTTTTTGCTAGGCTTTTACTTTGCTTTGCTTTGTGCTTGCCCTTTCTAATGTATTCAATCCTCATCTCTGTCTGGGCACAATTAGGAAAGTCTAATAAATCAAATCTAATAAAGCAAGTCTAATAGCAAGCCTTAACAAGTCTAATAAGGCAAGTCTAATAAACAAGTCTAATAAAAAGCAAGTCTAATAAAGCAAGTCTAATAAAGCAAGTCTTATAAAGCAAGTCTAATAAGGCAAGTCTAATAAGGCAAGTCTAATAAGGCAAGTCTAATAAGGCAAGTCTAATAAGGCAAGTCTAATAAGGCAAGTCTAATAAGCAAGTCTAAAAGCGTCTTAAAAGCAAGTCTAATAAGGCAAGTCTAATAAAGCAAGTCTAATAAGGCAAGTCTAATAAAGCAAGTCTAATAAGGCAAGTCTAATAAAGCAAGTCTAATAAGGCAAGTCTAATAAGGCAAGTCTAATAGCAAGTCTTAAACAAGTCTAATAAAAAGATTAACTCCACTAAAAAGATTATTTCATTTTTGAGCAATAAAAGAACAATTTAAAGATTAATTAGCAATATAAATATTGCTAGATACAGTCCTGGACAAAGAAATATGATATTTGAAAAACGATCGTCACTTTCGCGCGCCTGTAACTCCCTTGTCTTTGAGTTTAAACTATTGGTGTTATACATTTTCTGAAAGCTCTTTTCAAGGGCTACACAATGGTAATATTAATATTTAGAAATACGGTAAAGACAAGAGAGTTACAGGCGTGCGAAAGTGACGATCTTTTTTCAAATATCATATTTCATTGTCCAGTAGTGTATTTGACGTTAAAAGTAGTACCGTTTCCTTGATTTTAAGAAATCTTAATGTGAAAGCTTATAGAAACACTTTCTACTATTTTCTAACAAGAGATTTCAATATTATTGTGAAAAATGAAGGTTTTATTGCACTAGAATAGGTGTTGATGTCTTTTTTTGGGGTAGGCTAGTTTCCGCAACTTTTTTTGCGCAACAGGGTCATTTGCGCAACTGGGTCGTTTGCGCAACTCGGCATAACTTTCTTCTAAGTGAACCAATTTTTATCATTTTGGTGTCATTTTGTAGATCTCAATAAGTGCAACAAAATGACACCAAAAGCATAAAGATTGGCCGACTTAAAAGAAAGTTATAGCGAGTTGCGCAAACGACCCAGTTGACAAACGACTAGGTCGTTTGGCTCGGCATAACTTTCTTCTAAGTCACCCAATCTTTATGATTTTGGTTTCATTTTGTAGATCTCAACAAATGCAACAAAATGACACCAAAAGCATAAAGATTGGCTGACTTAAAAGAAAGTTATGGCGGTTTGCGCAAACGACCCTGTTGCGCAAAAAAAGTTGCGGAAACTAGCCTACCCCCTTTTTTTGAATCTAGAACAAATCCAGAACGAATCCAGAAGAATACTATTCAAAAAAAAACGAACCCGTTGAGCGAAAGCGATTCCGAAAAGCACAATGAGAATCCCGAATTTCATTTTTGGTTGAGAGAACCATAAGAAAATTTTCTAGTTTTCAAGAATTTATATGAAAACATGATTCAAAAACTTTCATATATTTTGTCTGGGAGAGGGGAAATCGAAGCTGAATCGAAAAGGAGAAGGAATCTGAATCCAAAAGGAAATAAAATCCAAAAGAAATAGAAGAAATGAATCAGAAATCTTCTAGAAACATTATTTGTCTAAAGATTTTTGCGAAGATCAAAAATGAAAATCTGAGTTTTTTTTTGTCACTTTATATGTACTTCTATTTTCTTTATATTCAAAAAAGAATTCATTTATTCTCCATTAAAACAGAAAGATTGTGTGCAACAAGAGCAAAATGATTGACGACCGTCGAATGAAAGACGGGATGAAAGCTGAAAATTGGGATATTGAAATTGAAAGATATTTGGTAGTAGGGTCAATATCGTTTGCGCAACTCGCCATAACTTTCTGCTAAGTGAACCAATCTTTATTATTCTGGTGTCATTTTGTAGATCTCAATAAATGCAACAAAATGACACCAATATCATAAAGATTGGTTCACTTAGAAGGAAGTTATGGCGAGTTGCGCAAATGACCCAGTTGACAAACAACTAGGTCGTTTGGCTCGGCATAACTTTCTTCTAAGTGACACAATCTTTATGATTTGTGGTTTCATTTTGTAGATCTCAACAAATGCAACAAAATGACACCAATATCATAAAGATTGGTTCACTTAGAAGAAAGTTATGGCGAGTTGCGCAAATGACCCAGTTGCGCAAATGACGCAAATGAAAGTTGACGTCATTTCCTTTTCAAACCAAGCGCAAATGACCTTGTTGCGCAAATAAAATGGCGGAAATTAGCCTACCCCCTATTGGCTTTGGATCTTTGGATCACTTATTGAGATCTACAAAATGACACCAAAATCATAAAGATTGGTCGACTTAAAAGAAAGTTAAAGATTAAACGATTTTATAAAAGTTTCTCTGAAAGTTGACGTCATTTCCTTTTCAAAACCCAATCGTTAAGATTAGGGGGTAGGCTAGTTTCCGCAACTGGGTCATTTGCGCAACTGGGTCGTTCGCACAACTCGCCATAACTTTCTTCTAAGTGAACCAATCTTTATGCTTTTGGTTTCATTTTGTAGATCTCAATAAGTGCAACAAAATGAAACCAAAATCGGTACTAGAATAGCACTACATCTGATACTTGTACCTTTTGAAAGCAAATTCAACGTTTTTTTCAACGTTCAACAGTCAAGGTACGAAAATTCGTAGATTGCCAACGGCAAACGGACCGTAAAAAGGCGGTAACAAGGCTGCTTGGTGGCGATAGAAAATAGAGTGTGTTCCTCGCGAGTAAGTAATTACTGGAGTAATAGCTCGAGTAAAGCGTTTTCTAAAAAGTGCGGCTGCGCGAAAAACATATAAAAGCTATTTTTTGGCGCAACTTTTTCAAAAAAAAAAAAAAAATTTTTATATTGAAAGGGGAATTTCCCACCGAATCAGTTAAACGGCTGAGTATCTTTAAAAAGTGTCGTATATAATGCGGGGCTCGTCATTTTGACCGGCATTTTGGGAGTGGGACAAATGCGACCTTTTTTTGCGCACCCGAACATTTGCGCACCTTTTTTTCCGCACCTTGCCCATTAGCGCACCTTTTTTCGCGTTTTAAAAAGCTCTAAAAGCTAATATTAACCAATTTCTATTCCAAAAGCTGTTTTTCTAGGTAATTTGAAGGTGTCGAATTCAAATTTTAACATAACAGAGCTTGTGGAACCAATTTGAAAGACAAAGAGAAAGACAAAACGGCTAGATCAAATTACAGAAAATTGTCGATTTTTCTCTTTGTATAACTCCGTCCGTTTGTTTCCACAAGCTCTGATATGTCAAAATTTGAATTCGGCACCCTCAAATTACCTAGAAAAACAGCTTTTGGAATAGAGATTGGTTAATGTTAGCTTTTAGAGCTTTTTTAAAACGCGGAAAAAGGTGCGCTAATGGGCAAGGTGCGGAAAAAAAGGTGCGCAAATGTCCAGGTGCGCAAAAAAAGGTCGCATTTGTCCCACTCCCGGCATTTTGACTGTTTTGACTAGTCCTCACTTTTCTAGAGGCAATTTCTTTGATATAGCTCCAGCTCCAGCACCAGCTATTTTTTGCAATCATTTTCACTAAATGTACGCTAATTTTTCCCAATTGTGCGTTTTAAACAAACGCATTACTCGCGAGGAACACACTCTAATAACAAATGTGTCGGTGTAGCTCATTGGTAGAGCGTTCGCCTAAGCGAGAGGTCACGGGTTCGACTCCCGACTTTATGCAGTTGTATTTCAATCGATAAAAGGACCGACGTTCAGTTTAAATGATAGCTTTGACTGGATCTGATACAAATTACACCAGAACCAGATAGAAATGAACCTTTGAGTACCAACTTTGAGTACCAGCGCTCCTGATCAGTCAGAAGTGTTTAAACCAGAATCTAGGACAGCTCCGGCTTCCGGCTTGCTTAGGTTTATGGATTAACAGACCAAGACTCAGGACTAACCAATCCTAACCCGGTTTTGAAAGGAAAATCCCTAAACAGGGTCTGGTACTAGAGGAAATTTGTTCAGCGTCTCTGGTACCATAAAGGTCTGGTACTAGAGGGTCTGGTATTCATGAAAATTCACTTGCCAATAGGTTTTCAATGGGTTTCAATGGTTCAATGGGTTTCGATGGTTCAATTTCAATGATACCATTTAAAAACTGACCCGATTCCAGTGACGAGAAGAGATTTGACTGCGGCAACAACGATCACAGCTCTAAAAAAAAGAATTTCTAAAGGTTTTATAGTTGTTAAGTGACTAGTTGTTAAGTTTATTTTTAAAATAATCTTTTACCAATGATTGAGAACCACGTCGGAATGTCCATGTGCACGGATCATGATCGGAGAATTCCGTTGTGAAAACAGGGATTTGTTGGCAAGCTGGGTAAATGCATACATGGTGCGTCATAATTATTGCAACAAGAGTTCAAAGACCGTTTTCCAAACAGCTTTCTTATTGTTTTTTGCCTCCTTTTTTGTTGTGTTGCGTTCTATCTTCTTTATTCTTGCCTAATTGCCTCCCGCTGACACGAAGAAGACGGTTCAGGACTGGTGTGTGGCCAACTTTCCCTCAGTGATCACCAAGGATGAATGGCCTCCAAACTCACCGGATCTCAATGTGATGGACTTTTCCATTTGGGCAATCTTAGAGGCTAATGTCTGCTCTCGAAAACACACAAGTTTGGATTCTTTGAAGAAGTCTTTGACCAAAGGATGGAAGGCGACTCCTCAAGCTGACATTCGGGCCACAGTGGAGGCATATCCGAACCAATTAAGGGCTGTTATCAAGGCAAAAGGCGGTCATATCGAATGATCTCTTGTTTCCTTATTTGTTACTGTTAAATAAAGCTATTTCTGTTTAAAAATCTTCTTCCAGTGAAACTTCTTGGTGTGCAATGCCTTGAGTATCTTGTTGCAATAATTATGACGCACCCTGTAGTTAAGGAACTTGGGCCCTTTGGTTGAATTTTAGGAAAAATGAAAAGAAGAAGAATTGAGTGCACTAGAAAGGGTATGTTTTTAAGCACAAAGTGCACCAGAAAGGGTATGTTTTTAAGTACTCACTTGGCCGACACGATCGTGGTGGAAAGGGGAACTGAAGAAGGAAACTTGAGTAAAGAAAGTTCAAAAAAACAAACTCTTTGCAATGGTCGAGACGGGAAAGTGATGAATGGCTGAAATGGGGAATAAAGAGATCACGATAAACGGTAATTTGCAAAAGTTGACACGCTTTAGAAAACGAATCAAAGAATTCTGGCCCAGCTACAGCTTTCGTACTTCATTTTACTATATAACCTTCATTTTACTATAAAAACTAAAGCCATTTAAGTTTCCTTAAGCATTTTACAACTCACAATTGGCTGTAGACTGAAAATCACTGAAATAACAATCAGAAAACTTTCAGGAACTTATTTTTAAATCAAAAATTGTTCTATAGAAGGCAATTGAATACAATTATTATCTAATTATCACCATAGGAGCTGAAGATGGAATGGCTACAGATGCTGGAACGGGCTGAGGTTGAGGCTGAGGCTGGGGCTAAACAGCTTTTAAATTAGAAATTCTTGAACTATAATTCTCGCTAAACATTATCGAAATATAATAAAGCTGTGATTTACATAAAACTAGATAAATATTAAACTGGATACCATCATTGGTGCAGGACTTGGCTGGGGTTGAGGCTGCGGTTGAGGCTGTGGCTGAAGCTGTGGCTGAGGCTGAGGCTGAGGCTGTGGCTGAGGCTAAACAGCTTTTAAATCGAAAATTTGTTAAAAAAGCTATTAAAAACAACAGAATTGTTAAGTTGTAGTTGATAGTTTGTATCTAATTGTTACCATGGGTGCTGGGAATGGAGTTATAACTGGAACAGGAGCCGGAGCTGGTTGTGGTTGAGGCTAAAGAGAGCCTGGCAGTTAAAACTCTGGGTGTTGGTAAAAAAAGCTATAAAAGTTATAATAAACTGATATATACATATAAAGTTTATATTCAAACATTACAGGGATTGGTGCTGGAGCTGGAGCTGGAGCTGGAGCTGGAGCTGGAGCTGGGGCTGGAGCTGGAGCTGGAGCTGGGGCTGGAGCTGGAGCTGGAGCTGGAGCTGGAGCTGGGGCTGGAGCTGGGGCTGGAGCTGGAGCTGGGGCTGGAGCTGGAGCTGGAGCTGGAGCTGGAGCTGGGGGCTGGAGCTGGAGCTGGAGCTGGAGCTGGAGCTAGGACTGGAGCTGGGGCTGGAGCTGGCACTGGCATGGGTTGTGGTTGAGGCATAGGTGATGGTTGTGGTTGAGGAGCTGGCTGAAATTCCCACTAATTCCGTTACTGTTTTATAAAGCTTTAGTATTACAGTACTGTCAAATATGCAAATTTAAACTTGTAGACTTGAATGGGCAATGAGTTGCAATTGCAATTCATGCATGAATTGCAATTCCAGCGCCCGTGGTAAGGTTTATTGCAATGAATTGCAATTAAACCTTACCACGAGCGCTGGAATTGCTGGTTGCGGCAGTGGAGCTGGCTGAAATTCTGAATGTATAAGGGCTATTTAAAAACTGGAATCACTAAAGAATACAAGTTCTAACTTTCATAAGTTCGATTTGTTTCAATTTTAATGAAATGAATTCCAACTCGAAACCATAAATCTATCCAGAAATTCTTCTCGTTCCTTTTTTCCAAAAAAATAACAATAACCTATGATTTCCATTAAATTAAAAATGTTCTAAGTGCTCTAAATGTTCTAAAAAGTGCTCTAAATAATGTTCTAAATCTTCTAAATAAAACATTGTTCAGTTTCCCATCTTTTTAAGCCAATTTCCGCTCACTTAGAGGTAAATCCAAGAGAGAAAACACGTGTTTTTCGAAAAAATCTTTCAAAACCTCTACAAAGAAAATGGTTGAATGAATTTCCCTGAAAATTTCGCTATATACCTACCTTTTTGTGCTCTATCTTTTATCTATTGACACCAAGGTTTCCTCAGCTAAAGTGTCCGCATCAACAAGCCGTCGCCCTTTTTGACTACCCGACTTCAAGCTCTCAAAAAATGCAGGCATAAGACATTTTAAACCCATTTTAATGTTATTTTGCAGAAAAATAATTGGCCTTTCTAATTAAATAAACCGTAGTTCAATTAATGCATTTGTTGCTTTTAAATGGAAGCACGAAAATGAACGAAAAGACTTTCTGGACCCTCTAATACCAACCGATGGTTGTGGAGCTGGAATTGGAACTGGAGCTGGAACTAGAGCTGGAGCTGGTGGAGCTGGAACTGGAGCCGGAACTAGAGCTGGAGCTGGTGGAGGTGGAGGTGGAAGTGGTTGAGTCTGAGGTGATTGTGGTGGAGAGGCGGGTGATTGCTAAAAATTTTAAAGCTCTAACAAGCTTGCTGAGCAAAGGATCATGCTTTTAAGTAATAAAGCTATACTTAGAATGCTTTTACACATATTTTTCTCACGATTCAAGATAAAGGATCCATTTGTGAACCTGTGGTTTAAATGGTGGTTGTCCGGGTTGTTCAGATTGCGGTCGGGGTCTCTGAAAAGGGAATTTTTGAAAGCGGAAGATCTTTTCTTACTCTAGGCCTGTGTGGAGGTGTCGAATTTGAGAGATTTGGCTTAAAAAAGGCTTTGAAAAATGACTTTTACAAACCTGTGGTTGTTGGGATGAGTTGACGACTTTGGGAGTGCCATTCACCTTAGAAAAGGGGTTATTTTGATTTATTAAGTACACAATAAATCCGCAAATGGAGACTTATCTTTAGCAGTTGAAAGACCCGGCTAATGGGTGGGTTTTTCTAGTCAATTTTCTGGTCACCGTGGCGCAGTCGCGCGCGCTCTTGTTCGCGCTTTGTTTCCAGCTCGCAGGAGCTGGGTTCGACACCCCGGTTCGACACCCCGGTTCGACACCCCGGTTCGACACCCCGGTTCGACACCCCGGTTCGACACCCCGGTTCGACACCCCGGTTCGACACCCCGGTTCGACACCCCGGTTCGACACCCCGGTTCGACACCCCGGTTCGACACCCCGGTTCGACACCCCGGTTCGACACCCCGGTTCGACCCCCGGTTCGACACCCCGGTTCGACACCCCGGTTCGACACCCCGGTTCGACACCCCGGTTCGACACCCCGGTTCGACACCCCGGTTCGACACCCCGGTTCGACACCCCGGTTCGACACCCCGGTTCGACACCCCGGTTCGACACCCCGGTTCGACACCCCGGTTCGACACCCCGGTTCGACACCCCGGTTCGACACCCCGGTTCGACACCCCGGTTCGACACCCCAGTTCACTTAATTTTGGAATCATTTGATGAGGAATTACAAGCGTCACTCAAAAATTGGCTGATAGCTGATAATTTGGCTGTAAAATGATAGCTTGGTTGCACTAGTTTTCCAAAATAAGTCTAGAAAACGTTCTAGAGTCAAAATACGTCTAAGAAGCGCATTCGGGGTGTACTTTGTGCTAAAAAATCGGAAACACATCGTTTCTGGACTCGCCGAAGAGGCCAGAGGGTGTATTTTTGATTTTTGAGCTCAATCGAAAGAACAAAATCTTTCAACGCCTTTCAATTACCACAATAACAACATCTTGAGCCAAAATTGCACCAATGAATAGCAGAAAAAGTCTCATTTTTGATTTCCCTTTGAAAAGAACTAAAATCCAATAAAAAAATGAGCTTTTATCGTAGATTTCGTTTATATTTTGGCTTGATTTTTTGATTCATTTCATTTCAAATATCAATAATGAATTATGAGCAATTTTTCATCAAAATCTAGAACTTTTTTTGCTTTTTCTAACTCGACTGTCAAATGTTTATGTTTAAAAAGCTTCATTTTAACTTCAGATTCTGTTTTGCGGGTAGAGAAGCTGCTGGAATGTAGATAAGACTGAAAGCTGACTGAAATATGACTTATTTACAGGTTTAGTTTGAATGATTTATTGATAAGTTGAAGGTTTTTGTTGAAAGAATCACACAATTCCCGAAACTTGAGTTGAAAGAACGCAATTCCCGTATTGGAACCGTATTGAAATCGTATTGGAACCGTCATGGAACCGTGTTGGCACCGTCATGGAACCGTATTGGAATCGTATTGGAATCGTATTGGAACCGTATTGGAATCGTATTGGAACCGTATTGGAATCGTATTAGATCCAAAGAAGAACCGTATTGGAACCGTATTAGATCCAAAAAGGAACCGTATTGGGACCGTATTAGATCCAAAAAGGAACCGTATTCGAACCGTATTGGGTCTATTGGAGTCTTTTCAAAGGCCAAACTGAAATCGGCCTTTGATCTTTTGATCGGCTTTTGCTGAAACGGGAAATCTTTCGATCATTTCCATCCAATCACTGTCATTCTCGAAGATTCTGGATAAGACAATTGTTTTTTTCTTTGAAATTCTTCCCACCATTCAGTTTTGGGAAAGAAAAATGGACAATCAGACTTTGAGCTTAAGTCCAATTGTTCTTCTTGTTCCAATTGTTCTTAAGTCCATGTTCATCTGCTCCTCTTTCCAATCCACTTAAATCGTCGAAGATCCAGTGAGCTTTTAATTTCTTGATCGATTCCGGTAGTTTCAAGCATCTTTTAGAAAATCGGAAAGCTTTTATATAACTATTTTATAGATATTTTCTTTTTCGAAGCCAACAAACCGTTACGATCAAAATCAGAAAGAAATTCCAGAGACTAATCAATCTTTTTTGAACATTTTAAAGCATTTTGATTCATTTTTTTTGTTTACAAATTGATCAAATTGCAAAAAAAAACATGAAAACTATTTAAAGCCGCAATTTTGGCAATTGATTTGACTGCTCTGTGATTCTTGAGGTATGTCAGCTCGGAACCAAACTGATATTTTAGTTACTATTGTTATTATTGAATGATTTGTCTATTCTTATGTGTTCTCCCCTGTGCTTATCCCTTTTATTGCCGAGAAGGGTCGGTCCTTGGGATTGCCTAGGAGGACAATTGAGGCTCTCGCTTGGAGTCCCTCCTTCCCCTTACACTCATTTGTAATCTATTCGTCTTATCGTACTACTGTAAATAAAGGTACGTATCTTCCGGTAGTAGCAACTGCAGTTCAGGTCGTTCATTTCACAGGGACTCCCCTCGTTGGAGGAGTTGAGTTGGGTTGTCGGGGTGTTAAAGATGACGGGATATCAAAAGGGATCCACTCTCTTTAACTTAACCCAAATTCTAGTCCATATCCGTTTATACCTAGGAAGGTATCTATCTATCTATCTATCTATCAATCTCTCTATCTATCTCTCTATCTATCTATCTATCTCTCTATCTATCTATCTCTCTATCTATCTATCTATCTATCTATCTATCTATCTATCTTTTGGGTTTGTTTTGAGTGGTGTCCCGGGTAATTATTGTGATTTTGTTTGTGTCGCTATTCAACTGAATAAAGCATATATCTAATCTACCTTCAAAAGTCTTTGTTTTAAGAAATCTCTTCAAAAACTATTTATTAAATTTATTCAATTAACTGATAGCTCAAGCTCCGACTTTTCGTGAACAATATTGAAAATCACTTGAAGAAACAATGAGAATTTGTCTAAAGCTTATTTAAATCAAAAAAGTGAAAGAACTAACCTTCAAAGCCATTTAATTTCCGCAGCACATTTCCTTTCCAAGAAAGCAAATAATAAATGGCAATAAAAACTGAAATTCTCCGAATTTGGAGGTCAATTTTTGATGATTACTCAAAAATAATCCAAATCCAACGATTGTCCCTGATGGATCTTTGACTATTGGAATGATTATTAGAGAAATTGAGATGACGAAAACGGTGAGATGAATGAGCATTGGGAACTGAACGAATTCATTGGATAAGCCACAGTATTCTTTTGCTAAAAGATGCTTCCCAGAAAAATCTATCGTAATCCTTAGCTTTGGTGAAAAAAATGGCATTAAGTCACCTCAAAAACAGGCTCGCTCATTTGTTTTAATTTGAAAAACAGCTGGATTACAGTGACTACAGTATCTTCTTAGAATCGACTACGCTGACTCTGAATCCGTTTTCAGTTTTGGCCCTTGAGGCCTGTAACGCGAGAGATTTAGGTTACAAGCCTCCTTACTTGGGTTCATTTTTCGCGAGCCAACGTGGTGCATTGCTAAAGGCTTAGGCTTAGGCTTAGGCTCAGGCTTAGGGGCTTAGGCTCAGGCTTAGGCTCAGGCTCAGGCCCAGGCTTAGGCTTAGACTTAGACCTTGAGCCTGAGCGTCCAAATGAATCTTTATCGATTCTTTTTTATCGAGTCTTTAATTGAGAGCCTCTTATAACGTGTAAACCTGCAAAACATTAAAAACAAAAGAAGCCTCAAGACAAAACCCTGGGAGGGAATCGAACCAGACCTCTAGACGGCAACTTTAGACCCGTAGTCGACAGCTTTGTCAATGCACTATGTTGCTAGCTGGGTCCGTCGCGAAAAACGAACTCAAGTAAGGAGTAAAACTAAAAGTAAGTAACACTTGTAACTCAGATATCTCGAGTTACAAGCCTCCAGGGGAAAAATTGAAAACAGATTCAGAATCAGCGTAGTCGATTCTATAAGATGGAGTTGCTTTCGTTTTAAAAGGACACAGAGAACTGACGTCTTTCCCTAGTTAATCGTATGGGACAATTTTTGCACCTTGATAGCCAGTGGATTGACGGGAATTCGCTTGAGACGGAGAAAAATCAAAGCTGCCACTGTGGTTGTACTGCTCATTGTACCTAAAAAAATGAGGATATCAATTGTATAGCACTTTTGAGCTTAAAATTTTGATCTTACAAGTGCTCTTACTTGCCACCATTGCCCAATTGATGAGCGTTTCGATTTGGCCAACGAATGAAACGCAAATCGCGAGAGAGACATGGAAAAAGAGGGCCACTCGGGGTGATCCGCTTTCCTCATGGATAAGTGACAGAAATTTTGGCATCATTTTCGCTCGTGATCCAGCCAGTAACGAGCTGAAGAGATAGATTTATTTTATTAAGCTAAGAAGCTAAGAGCTAAGAAGCTAAAAGCTAAGAAGCTAAGTTTATTCAGCTATTGAGCTATTGAGTTTGGCAATTAAAGTAGCTAAGAAAATGGGGACAAGAATGTACTTTGATCACTAGCAACATTCTCTGGCACACAGCTGCTTTGTCTCTCTGTTATCTGGCTTTATCTGGCATACACAACAAAAGAATTGTGCCAGAAACGTTGGTTTACATAAGGAAAAGAAAGCAAAACCAACCGACTCCAGGCAAAAAGATCGGAATTGATTGCACTGATCATTAAAAGAGCAATGATTACAGGCATTATATAGGACAAATCGCCAAGGGTTTTCTCGCTGAATTTCTGAAAAATGAATGCTGAGAATTTCTTGATGTAAAGAAGTTCAATTTTCACAAACACTAGCCACCACATCGGAGTTAAGAATTTCTTGTGGAGTGAGAATGATGAAATAAGCGATGTTTACGAGAAGATAAGTGATTGCAGCAATCGAGAGACCACCAATCACAGCGATTGGGAGGATTCTAAAAGAAAAAAAATCTACTGTGCTCTTTGAAACACATCCTTTTGTGGCGTATACTATTGATGAAGGAAATGCTCATTAATTGTACGAGGAAGGGTGTGTTTACAAGTTTAAGCACAAAGTACACACACTTTTCTGGGAAGCTGAAAAGTTAAAGCTATCATTTTGCCAGAAATGGTCTGTTTTTGAAAGTACAAAGTACTGGCTACAAAGTACTAGCTTTCCAGTACTTTATAGCCAGTGCAAAGTAGCTACAAAGTACTAGCTTTTCAATGTTTTCCAAAGTACTGGCTTTCCAATGTTTCCATAAATAAATCAGCGTAATAAATTCGGTTTATCGTTTTTCGATCAACAGCTTACTTTCTAATATCTTTCTGTTCAATATCTTCAGTTCCAAAATTGAGCGTATCAAAGCCACCATAAGCCCAGATGCCAGCATACAATGAGAGAACGATTGAGCCTAGAATTCCCTTTAATTTCTCTAAACAACTTTACCAGAAAGGATTTGTTTCCATTTTTTTGAGCACAAAGAACAAAGTAGTGTAAGTCTAAATATTAGCAACTCATTAGCAACAAACCCGGATCACTTTTTGAGTCCTTCCACAAAACATCAAATGAAAGATGTGATTGATTTACTTAAAATCTTGCAATAATGAATAAATTTGCATATTTGGATACCTTTAAAAATCATATAATAAAACCCAGTGATAATCAATGTCGAAATTGCAATCAATTTGCTGATAGTGATGACGATTTGAATTTTGGAGGCGTACTTTTTCAGGGAAAAGAAATTCGCCCATAGAAGAAGCCCTATTCGAAAAAAATTTTTTTTTGTTAAAATGAGTAGTTGACATACAAATCAATGAGAAACCAAGTAATTGCTGAAGTAATTTTCGTGACGTTTGAGTGAATGCGAAATTGAAAGGAGAAAGAGATTCGAGCATGTAACTGCCAAAAGTTTCAAAGAGAATTGCGCAGACACAAGAGCTAAATTTTGTTCAATGATGCTTTCAACATTTTACCGTAATCTATATAAGTTTTGTATAAATTTTCCAATCGATAACATACGATTGAATCAAATTGGAAAGCCAAAGAAAAGCGAATGCTAACGGTTTCCATTTCACGAAATTTATATAAGCAAAATCGGAACCATTAATCGGAATCGATGTCGCCAATTCGATGTAAACCTGGAAAGAGATTTTGGTGCAAAAGTGGGGAATATTGCGCCAACAACAACTACCGTATTTCTTCGAATAGAAGACCGGGTAAAGAGTATGATCGCGTACTCCTGCGTAGCAGCCCTTTCTTTTCTGCATAAAAGCTTTCAATCAAGTGCTATAGAGCTGGAAAATGACTCAAAAATACCACATGAGCTAACAGATTTTTGAGTCATTTTCCAGCTCTATAGCACTTGATTGAAAGCTTTTATGCAGAAAAGAAAGGGCTGCTACGCAGGAGTACGCGATCCATACTCTTTACCCGGTCTTCTATTCGAAGAAATACGGTATATGATTGCCATCTGTAAACTCGTCTCTTGACATGTTGAAATTTTACACTGGGGCTTTTTGATGATGCTAAATCGATTGATATTTTCAAAATATAATTTCTTATTATTTTGATGCTATTACATATAGGCCCGGCTTTGATATTTTCTTTTTTGATGCTCAATTCGAAAAACCTCGATCTTTCTAAAGCAGTCCCATATCGATCAGCCAATCATCGAAATGCTTGTCACTCCTGATCGCGAGTTTGGGTCGTTCTTCTTAAGAGGTTAAACGCCTTCAATTCAAGCCTAGCCACCGCTGCTAAACCTGCTTGCGCCATACACTAAAAAACTTCAGAAAAGTTACAAAACTGAGGAAAAAGCATCAAAAAGCAAAAAAAATATCAAAGTCGGGTCCATGTGTAATAACATCAAACTAACAAGACATCATAGTTTGAAAATATCACCAACTGATTTAGCATCATCAAAAACCCCCAGGGTAAAATTTCAACATGTCAAGATGAGTTCACAGATTGCCCTCCCCCCAACTACCTTTGCACCGAGATTTTAAAATTTTTATCCGAAAAAGGTTTTTAGATTGGTTTGAAACCGTAAAAGTGAGTCGAATCATTTGTGGAATAGGGGACAAACCAAAGCTGTTAGCAGAGCGATCACCGCTCCAATCAGCCAACAAAGAAGTGAGAGCCCGATCGAGCCGGAATGCTCGAGAACGGTTTTTGGAGAAACGAAAATGCCAGCTCCAATGATCGATCCTGGAAATGTCTGTAGAGTTAAATGCGAATACTTTCGTACAAATACCTGCAATGTAACTGATTGCTCCAAAGATACCCAATTTGTTGTTGCTTCTCGGCATCGTTTGTTTTGCAAAGAGAAATCCTTCAAAATATAATATTTTTCAAGCTGACGAAAATTTGCTCAAAAGAACACGTATTCAATTTTTGTCCATTTTTTCTTATTGTTAGATCTCTTTTTGAGATATCAGTGTTCATCACAGAGCAATCCTTTGTTCAATAATAGAGCCTTTTGCTTGCTTATCTTCTTTTGTTTGGTCAAGCACAGAAAAGGAAGTGCTTTGAAAAGGTTTAGCTATTCAGAAACTATACATTTGTGCTTTTGTTCTAGCATCATACACTTACACTTTCCAGACTGCTTACGATAGCACCAACGATTTGACGTTGTTTTAAGTTTTTAAGACTTTTTGGTCGCCCAAAATAATATTAATATCTTAACGTTTATTCAAATCCATAACAAAGCGTTGCAATTTCCAACTCGGGGAAAAAAGTATTAGCTGAAAAGATTTAAACTACTAGATTAGGGGGAAAACAATTGTTAGTGGTGTTTTTCTTTCTTCAGCGAAGAAATGTAAGAAAGATAGAAAAAGCGTGAAAACAATCCGACAAAGCTCAACTCCATGAATAGGCAGATGTAGAAGGTCGGGAAGTGGGTGGCTTGTTTACAATCTAAATGCTTAGGTTAAGAATTATTGCAGAAAGTGAAACTGACCCCATTTTAAATAGAGGTAATACGCGTAGAATTGTGCACTGATCGAGAGGAAGAATTGAGTGATCTGTGCCATCGTCAAGCACTTGGCAAACCAACTTGGAACATGGAATTGGGCAGCTCGGCAGAAAAAGTAGCTAAAGTAGATATATTTTTCGAATTCAACTAGCTTTTACCTGTACATGAAAGAGTGAATTGCAAAATTTATGAGGCCAATGTATAGATGAACACCCTTCATCGTTTCGTAAGACCAGATACTGAAAATTTCGCAAAATAAAAAAGATAGTAAGACGTACCAGTAGTTGAGAGTAAAGATGTGGTGATACCAGTGTAGAAAAATCAATGGCCGCTTTCTTAGCACGATGAAAATTGTATCTCCCAGCTCAATCACCTTGCTCCACACAAAGAGAACCTAACAATGCTCCATAGTTTTTCAGTAACCACGTCTAACAACCTGATACCACCCGGACCAACCATTCAAAATGTTTGTCTCCAGTGGATTGCAAAAAGCCGCTATAAAACAAGCTATACTCTCTCGAAACAAAACCTACAATCAAATCCATTATGATAAATGTCCACCAATGTTTCATGTCCGACCACACAAAAGCCAACACCGCTGAAGATCCCCAAACCAAGATTCCACAAAGCCAATGGAGTCGTTAACTAAATTACAAATTGATATATTTCAATACAAAAATTAACCTGAAACGGCTTTCGATTGCGAAGAAAATATCTGATTGAAAATATTGTGATGACGTAGAGAAGCGTTATGATGAATCCGGCAGGTCGAGCATTTTCCATAAACTCAACAGACTCAGAGAAGCGAAATGTTGATGGAGGGCGTGAAAGCTAAACATCGTGGTCGTAAAAAGAAAGTTTGACGCCATAATACATCAGTTGCCAACAAAGTAACTTTTTAGACTTTAAGTAGGTAACTAACAAAAGCTACCGCATACCTGTAATAATGAAAAAACTCACCATGGCAAACATTCCCAACATTCTTGAGCAACGGTGCAAGTTCTCTAAAATCGTCAACATTAGCAAGTTTATTTTTTAAACACAAAAGAATATCAAGCATTTACTTGCCATTTTCAAACCCAACATTCAATGTTCCATTGTACTAAAATTTTTATTTCTAAACGCTATACAACAAGCACAATAAGCAAAATGTTAGCAGTTATTTCACAGTAGTTAGCAAAAAAAAATCAACAACAACAAAACACAACAATTTTTTAACTTCAATCGTAGCGACGCTTCTCGAATTCTTGTCCAGTAGTACATTCATCGCATCCCTTACCAACTTCCTGATGCTCATTGTTGATAAACTAAAAGTTTTGTTTAGAAAGGTCACAGCGTTGATTTGCTACAACAGCAAACACTTACGTGAATTGTAGCCACGGAGAGGTCGACTATGTCTTGCGAAGAGATCGAAGTAATTTTGCCAATTGTTGCAGACACCTAAAAAGCTAGTCATTACTTTTATGTAGCATTTAATCCCACCGCGTCAGCACGCTCGAAGCCATACACACAAGCAATGGCACAAGTTAAGCATGAGCATCCAATCAACAGCCAGTCACCTTTTACTGGACTAAAAAAAGGAGATACTTAAGATCCACATTTTTAAAAAAATACATTTTCCGGCTCGTCAACGTCTGAGATGTAATATTGGCCAAGTTAGTTTGCAACTGTGCTATGATCTAGAATACGTCGGATAATACGTCGCAATACTAAATTATATCTCACTTCATTTAAAAAGCTGAACATGACATCAAGGAAAAGCACCGCATGTTCCCAGATCACATTGGGATGCTCGAGATTTATATCGTATCGATCTAAAAGCAGTTGATGATTGAAAAAGTAATATTATACCCAAAGTTTTAAGAACGCTTTCAATATAAGTGATCGGTGAAAATGGAAGAACGTAATCAATCGCACGTAGCATTCTCATCTCAGATCTAAAAATGGAATTAACTTGCTACATACACGTGGGCATGGTTGGATCACTGCGTACCCACCTAATAATAGCCCTTGGCGTAAACGGCGATCCAACAGCCAGTAAAATCTTTGCCGTAACGGCATTTGACAAGCTCTAAATTATAGATTTAAAATATATTATAGAGATTTAAGGCATACGTCGTGGTAATAGTTGTCCTTTGATGCTATTTGAATTGCCGTGACAACGCGAAGCGATAACTGCCGAATGATGTTGCATTGGGTCTTGGTCCACTGTTCAGCTTTTTGCTCTGCCGTCATATCCAACGTGTTAATGAAGAGATGTGCTTCTTGTACATGAACGGACATGTACCTAGAAAGAAAATAAATCATCTAACAAGCATTAAATCGACTAACCGGTCAAATATCAAAGCAGCAACGAAGCGAACATCTGGAGGCATCTTCAAGCGAGCGCAAATCGTAAAAATGTAGTCAATTCCTCGACGATTCAGATAAGACAGATGAGATACTTGATTCGATTGCTTATTGACTAAAAAAATTTGATTTAAGAAAAAAACGAAGCGTCATACCTTTATTGGAGTCTTTCAGAAAAATGAAGAAGTCGTCCAGATATGGACCAGGCATGTCTCCCAACGGGTCGAGAAAGTTGCGGGCAAACGTTGGCTAAATCACATTGCATGAAACAGTCAAAATGAAACTTTTACCGATTTGTCTCCATCCATTTTGGTCCTCCAATTCCTGTGAGGAGCTAAAAAGTTTTTTTTCAAAAAAGATTGGGGAAATTCTTGGTGCTAGGGGGATCGAGAGCAACGTTTTCAATTGAAAAATGACTACCTATCCAGAAATAGAAAATTGATTTCAAGAAAATCTTTTGAATACTCCAAACAGACGTTTGGCACAGAGTGGTCCACTCAATTCTCTTAGCAACAAGTCCTCCCTTTGTCAAAAAGCAACACAAGAAGAAGCACTGTATAAGAGAGGGAATAATTTGTGAAACAAAATGAAGAAACATGCGAAGGCGACTCTATATAAACAACAATTCCGCAAAAACACTCCTTACGAATCGTCTTTTGAGATTTGCATAATATCGGAAAAGACAAATATAACCAACTTTTGCAAAGTGCTAAATTTACACGCAGTCGGGGAAGCTGGTTAAAACAGCGCCGGCCAAAATAATGCGTTTGCGGTGAAGTTTATTTGTCTTTCTTATTTTCATTGGATGTAGAAAAAAATTAGCTATCTGCTGATTTTTTTGGAGCCTTTTAGAACAAATCTGGGATGAGAAAATGCCAAAAAACGAAAAAGGGCTCAAAAAGAGGCTAACTGAACTTTTCTCGACATCGATTCTGTTTTAAGTGATCTTAAAGTATGCAAAATGTAGATAATTTTATTCTGCATCCAATAAGAATAAGAAACACAGAAACTTAACCGCTGAGGGACTATTTTTTCTCTGGTGCTGTTTTGATCAGCTACCGCAGTCGGAACTGCTTGGTTCACATATTTTCTTGTTTTGTTGTGACGCTTCCGTTAATGAGTTGATTAGATGAATTGCGACTTGGTCCCAATTTTCGCGTATTCGAAGAAATGGGTGTTCAAGGAAAACTATCAGGTTTGATAATATTAAAGTTTAATGTTAAAATTAATTGTTTAGCCAACAACCGTTTACCAGGGAATGCCAGTCAACATTGAGCTTACGCATCGCCGACAAGCAATTGATTACATCTACAAATTGCAAGAAATTCTCAGCAAATATGGTCAGTTGATGTAAGTCTTTCGTTTTATTAGCCTCACACTATTTTATTTTTAGTCCAAACGTAAATGTACTGATATCAGCCGTTTACTTGCAGCGATTCTACTATGTTCACTCATTTTATAGTGTTGATGCTAAGGTACGTTTTTTTTATTGTAATGTCCATATTGTAATCTCTTTTTAGCAACTCGCCGCTGCTTCACTTTTTCTTGCTTGCAAAACGAATGATCCGTGTGTTCCAATTGGAAAATTAGCTCGAGCTTATTGGGAGCTAAATTTTCCAAATACTCCAGGGCTTCCAACTTCGGTAGGTGATCATTTGACGTAGCAAGTGTTTATTGCAAATTTTAGAAGTTGGATGATGTAACGCAGATAATTGTGGAACTGGAGAAAGCGCTGCTCCTAACACTAGGTACCTTTTTACGATGTACTTTAAAACTGAAAAGTTTTAGGCTTTGACATTCATGTTGACTTGCCGCATCCAGTTGTCTTGAAAATGTTTATGGAACTCTCGTGGACTAGTTTGCTCCCAGTGTTGCATTAACTTTTCTGGTTTAGATGTTAAGGATCTTAAAAGGCTGAGCTATCAATTCGCCACTGATGTGTGGGTTTTGATCTCGGTTTTCCATTATTAAACATTTTCTTTAGAA